GAGTTTTACAAAGATATTATTTTTTTTTTTTTTTTTTAACAGTGCGCAACTTTTCTCCAAATTATTTTTGCTCTAACTTTTAATGACAGTAATGTTTCTAAAAGGAAATTTCATTAGTGAGGTATTTTAAAGAAGTCATTTTTCGATTTTCTCAAGAATTTTCCCATCAAATGCAAAAAAAAGAGACATTTAACGATATATAATAAATATAATCTTACGATTTTTTTTTCTGTGAACAACTTTTCTACCATTAATTTTGCTCCAACTTTTAATAATAGCAATGTTTATAAAAGAAAATTTCATTAGTGAGGTACTTTAAAGAGGTCATGTTTCGATTTTCTCATCAAATTTAAAAAACCGAGAAAAACAGGAACAAAGTAGGAAAACTGAGAAAGTCGGTACAACATTCAAATAAATATTATAAGAAAATGTATAAAGCCTATATAATTATTTTACTATAAAATTTCATATATTATTGACAAAGCATCATTATAAACTGAATTCCACCCGAAATCGTTTTTTTCGTAAGAAATAATTTATCGTTGCTTATAGGTATACATTAAATTATCTAAAACAGTGGTTGCACCCGTCCCTATTATCCTAAGAAGTCTGTTTTGTTTATTAATTTACTTTTGCAAGCATTAAAAATTGTAAACAGGGGGGTTAGTAATGAATTAATAAATACTAAACAATGTTTTTTATCGGTATTTTCTGAATAGTTTTTTTCTTCTTTTTCACATAATCTTTTCCATAATCATGATCTTCATAAAAATCATTAACTATAATTAACACGTTTTCTTGTTCTACATTACTTATAGACTCCTCCGTAAATTTTTTTTTCCCTCATTTTTAATTTTCATATGAATCAATATTTAATTTTTCAGCAATTAAACTTTCAACCATATCTTATTTTTCTGTTTTTTTTTTTTTTTTTTATTATTTCAGAATGAGATTTTTTAGTTATCGTATTATCATCGTTATTTGTATTATTATTTAATACAAATATTGTTGGTATCGTACCTGATTTTAAATGGGGCGCTCTTAGCATAAATGTGCAATACAACGTACATATTATTGTATATATTGTCCTGACACACTGAAACACGGAACAAATTATTACATGACAAACTAGTCAAACACTACGCACTGACTACTGATAATGTGTTATTGAAACCCTATAACAGTGTTGTTAAAGTTTCTTTTAAAAAATAATTCGTTCCCGTTCCTCGTTCCTTAAAAAAGGAAGTCTTTCGTGTAAGCGTTCCTTTTTTTTTTTATATAAATACCTAATGCACACCAAAATAATATTTTTATATTCTCAATTTGAAAATAATATCACTAATGATTTTGCTTTGGGAGTATTTAAATATATATAATTAATTTGACATTGAGAGTCATGTGTTAACTATGTAGATACTTAGTTTTCCTTAAAAAAATAAGTGTTGTGTGAGTTGATCAAGTCAATTCAAACTGAAAACTATTTTCACTTCTTAGAATTGACTTGTTTTAAATCCTAATAAATTAAATTAAATTTATTTTCTTGTTAAAAAAAAAAGAATTACAATATTTTTCGTTCCTATTTCTAAAAATAATGAATTAATCCACGTACCTAGTCCTTTAAAAAATAATGGAATTAATTCCAGGAATCGTTCCTTAACAACACCGTCCTATAATTGGTATATTAATGCATTATTCGGTAAACAGTACTATTTATAAGTATTTATAAATAGAACTATTTTTATAATTTATAAATAATCAAATTATTTTTGTAAATTAAAATATATTTAATTGACGAACAACGGTATTAATATTGTTGGTACATACGTTTGCTGCCGATGCCGCGCAAAACGGCCGACGCAATGACGGCATAGGTACATTCGGAACCCGTGCTCTATAAATAATTTGTTTTTCAAATTCTATAATCGCAAAAAAACTTTTCACGACGTAAAGTATCAAAAAAAAAAAATGTAATGTTTTTTTTTTGTGGGTTGTGTATGCCCTTAAGAATAAATACACACAATTTTTTCAGACTATTTATAACCATATCTTATCGTTCAAGTATAATATTAATATTTGTGATTATTATTAGATATTTACAAATGTGTTTAAATGTTATTAAATTTGAACATATTTGAGCATATTCGATAATAAAAATAAATTACGATGAAAAAGTAAAAAATTATATATTGTATTCATAACAAATCAGTGTATACACAGTATAACAAATGTTTACAAAGTTTCACATATTATTTTTATTGATAATGATTATGTCAGTTCCTAAAAATGTAGCAAACACAACAAAGATGTTTTAAAAATTTCTATAAAATTTGATATTCAATTTGTGGTAACTCGTAATTGTGAGTTAAACTAAAAAATGCTGTAGTGAAAAGTTTAGCTTTTTTTTTTGATAAATAAATTACTATCAAACTCAATTTTAAAGGGATGGGAAAACAGGCTCAACTTAGAATATCAGTTTTAAATTTTACACAATTCTTTAATAACACAATTAATTTACATCTAAGGGGAATTTAACTACATATATTTTGATTTAAGAATTAGTGATTATCTCAAAAACAAGAGCAAATCTTATATGAGATCAGATTCGTAATTAGTAGCGAAATACAGGATTATAAACAGAATTCATTATTAACTTGCTGACCACAAAAACTTTGTTAACCAGTATAATCATTGTTTCTTGATTAAATCTAAAATTAATTCTTCTAATCATATGACTCATAATTGTATAATACACATTCATTTCTTCTTTTATTGAAGACATATAATATTGTCTATTTGAACAGTCAATTTCGATGGACACTTTTCTCTTTTTCAATGGTAGTTTAGCAATCCCATAATGTTGACACATTTTTTTTTTGTATAAATCTCTATGAAAAAATTTTCAGTAGATCTTTTCAAAGACTTAACGATTTCTACAGCAGTTTTCAATATTGTATCTTTTAATTACTAAAATAATTGATTGTACCAAATCATTCAAAATGTGTACAAACAATTTTTCGATCCAGATATGAAATTTTCATATTTTCTTAGATGATCAACACTATCAAGAAAAAGACCTTTGTGAATATCATATCGTTTTTCTATATATGCATGCAAAGGTTTAATACTGATCCACACACAAAGTTCAATACCTTTCTATCTATAAGACATTTTAAAATATTATGATTTTTTAGTTAATGAATTTCTTTCTGGCTGTTTACATGTTTAGATTTCTTATCCAAAACAACATCAATGGACTTTGAATTTACAAAACTTGGTAAGATTTTAGAATTATTCAAATTAACTTAAATTTTTTAATGAAGATTAATTTGATTATAACCGATTTCCAATTTCTAAATCCCGTTTTTGAATATACTATATCATACTGAACAAACATTATGTACAGTGGCACCACTGAATATACAAGGAAAACGAAAATGCCATGTATTTTTTTGGACTATGCCATTGCCAAGGACTTTTTTCTTCTCTTTCACCTACATCCCAACTATTTTGGGTTGGCCACCCTCATTCCAAAATTTTACTTGACTCGATTTCCCATCTTGCATACAACTATCGGCCTCATATCATTCTCAATCGCATCAAGTCACCTGCTGTCGGGTTTTTCTCTTCTCATATTTTCTCTTACGTTTATTTTCATTACAATTCTTACTGCTTCAGATGTATCTCTCCCCATGGCATGCCCAAACCATATCAGCTATTTTCTCTAATTTTCTCTACTATCAAAGCCACTCCTAATCTACTTACTTCTTATATACTAATTTCTTAGAATATCCTCTTTCGTCACTTCACTAATCCTCCTAAGCATTCTAATCTCTGATACACTCATTACCAGTTCTATTTTTCTATCTACAGCTCAACTCTTAGAAACATACAACATAATTAGTATCCCTACATTATAGTAAAACTGACCTTTCATTATAATCCTCTTGTAACTTAAGACACCTGATGCTTCTTTCTACTTTATCTAACCACACTTATTCCTATGTTTCTTATCTTCATGAAAACAATCGTTCTTTTATACAAAAGATCCTAGGTAATTAAAACTCTCAAACTCGTCTATAACCACTTATTGTCCTTAATTGTCATTTTCTGTTCTTCCAAACTGATTATTTTACTTCTAATTATCCTTTGTCTCTTTTCTTCAAAGATGCAAAATATATATAATCTATATCATTTGCAAACATCATGCACCATGATACCTCCTTTAACCAGTCTCACCTATTGTCCCCACGCACATCTGAAATGATACGATCCGCCAAAATCTTGTTCAGAATTCTTCATACTGTTCGACAGAATTTTAGGTGGTCTGTCAATCTTACATCACCTCATTTAACGCCTTGTACGACTGGTAGAGGTACTGTGATCCCGTTCGATTTCTACCACAAGGAGAATGGTATTTTCAACTATAAGGCTAATTCCTCCACTTTACAGAAACAATATCATACGCCTACTGGAATCACCCACCTGGGCTAGGTAGCTAGGTAGGTAAAAATTAAAAATCATTTAAATGGATATTGATTTGGATATATGTAACATTGTCGAATTACTTTATACAATAATTTATTTGATACTGAAAATCATTGAACTTGAAATGATATTCTGCTGGTCTGGAAGTATCTATATGGATTCAATATTTTAGCCACTAGTCGCGTTACAGTCGAGTCTCTAATTTCCTAAAACGCACCAAACTATGACACACGAAAGATAGAAACCACGTTTTCACAAAAACTGGCCAGTGACGTGCACCCTCCCACACCGCTCCTCGTTTCTATTAACAGTGGTAGTGGTGGTGTGGAGCTTCGTTTCATGCGCAGAACAGTACCGTTCTACAGTTTCGTGAGACAGACTATATATGTGTTTAATCTATATGTGTTTAATCTCCCTACGTTTTAAAATTGATCGATAATATAAAAAAAATATAAAAATATCTTCAGACTAATCAAACGTCAATGATATTCGTAAAAATGAACAAATAATATTAACTGACATCAATTGGCTCATTATAAATTCGTTTTGCTTGAAACCTTTCAGTCATCTTAACGTGTTGATTATACTGATAAGAACTGATAAGGAAAACTGTTTCAACGGTCCGCCCAACCCCCACTATCGTTATACGGATACGATTTATACAACATACTTTGTGCCCGTGCGATCTAACAGTGGCGCATCGAATGAAATTGTGACTTTGGCGATTGATGTGTATGTGTGTGTGTAGGTACTGTGACGTTTGAAGACGCGTACATTTTGTTCGAACTGTTCGGTGAAACTTCTTTATTTTTCTGTATGATTGAAACTAAACTAATATCAACGACATTCAGTGCATTTAAGTGAAATCGTTCATACGTTCGTCGGTCGAACGGTTCGGTAACACCAAAACGGTTTTCGCGTTTCCGAATCCCGAATTTCTTAATCGCACTTGTAATGCCGCCATATTGTACGACACACATCCCGTTTGTGTAAACCGTATACATACACTATGTCTATGTGGTAGACAGATTTGTGCGTATCTATAATATTGTTTTATTGTATCCGTGTAACTGTCCTGTCGTGTCATTTTCTTCAGTTTTTAGTGATTAGTGATATCGAACAACATCTGTGTTGTCATGAGTAAGCACGCATGTTATATATGCCGCCGTTCATATCCAGACGAAGATGGCCTTATCAATGCATTTTCAGAAGAAGGAAAACGAATTTTTCTCGAAGATAAGGTTCTATTACTTACTTCTACTTTGGTGAGTTGGTATACAATTACTGCGCTCGTTTAAAGTTGTACAATAGTTGCTTACTATTTTTACCTAATACTTTTATTTTATGTAGGTAGTACTTACAACCTACAACCTACTGTGCATTATTTGTGGTTTTCTTGAAAAATTAGAAAATTGAAAACTGATTTAGTATTGCTTATCTAGGTACGAGGACATACAAACAAGTTATAGGAACCTAGAAGACGTTTTTTCAATAGTTTGATTTTTTTTTTCTAGAATCAGAGATCAATAATCTATTAATTTGTTTTGCCATTGTGATTCTTTTACAAGATCAATATTATGGAGCACTGTTCCGTTTAATTTATCAACTCCATTTATTAATATTTCCATTAGGGTGTCAATCTTATTATTGGGTACTGGGTATATTCATTTTGTCATTAAACTAATTGATAGATATCTAATCTAATAAACCAGTTAATGTATACCTACCTAATTACTAAATTACCTAATACCTATTTATTGGCATTTATTAGCTAAGTCTTAAATAGTATTAGTATTCCAAAATTAAGTTTTTTTTAGGTAGGTAGTACATTTTTTAATTTTTAATAATTAGTTATAGGTACCTACCAGTTTTAAAGGGTCTATGTTTGACTTAAATTATACTTATTTTAAATTAGGTACCTACTTAGGTAGTTGCTCGATATTTTAAAATTATAATAATAGTATGAGTACCAATTGTGTAGGTACTACACACTTAATACATTTATTTATTTATTTAACATCAAAACGTATTCATATAATACAAAACAAAGTTAAACACGTAATATTGATACCTAGGTACTCTCTGTAAGCAATGCTTATTGTGTCTTACTTTACTTTAAACAAAAACATAATATTAATAGTACATAATATGTAAACATCACAATAATAATTAATGTAATATAATATTAAAAAAGAACATAATAATCTTTTCTGATGACATATTCAACATACATAATAGATTCAAATAGAGGAAATAAAAAAAAAAAAAATAACAAAAACAAAGATATGTAAGATAAAAGAAAGAAAAATTAGACATTAGTGAAATAGATTTTTGAACCTTTTCTTTATCTCAAACTTAAATTTTAAACCGTTATCAATTACTTTTATATAACTAGGTAGTTTATAAATAATTGTATGCCCCTATAAACATAAGAGTGTTTTATTAAATTAGTGTTAAGTTTAATTAAAGCTAAGTTTACATTTTTTTTCAGATGTATGAACATGACACTGCATCAAATTGTGTTTGTAAAACGTGTATATATAGTATTGAATTCAATTCTAATTTTTATATTGATTTTAAAAAAAACTATAACAAAACTCTAGACGAATTAAGAAGTATTCCAGGAAACAAATCTTTTGTGGAAGAAAGGGAAGTGTTCGAAAAAACATTCACCGTACGCGAGATAAATGAGGTAAGTGCATATTTATTGTAACTAATAGTTGAACAAGAGAATAGAAATAATACAAGTATCTAGTAGGAGCTTAATGTACTATTTCATAAATAATTACCATGAACTATTATAATGCAGACAATTTTACAATATTGGAAATTTTATTATTAATTATAGGTATTTTGAAATATTTTGCCAATCAATTACTGAAATTGAAAAAAAAAACATGTAAAGTACCTACTTAATATTAAAATTGTTTTATTATTAAAATCAAGTGTGGTTAATTGAAATCAAATGTACCTATCTTAAATTAGTTTTTAAGTTTGGGGTAGGTATACCACCATCATATACATATGATACCATACCATCATATTGTAACAATTTAAATTTATTTTAGTAAATAATATTTTATAAATCCTAACTTAAATATAGTTTGTTTCAAAGCTTTTTTTTTCAAAAATCATTAAATTAGGTAAAATGATTTTTATTTTTGAAGATAGTGACTATGATTATTGCCACACACCTATTGTCAATTTGTCAAGTGAATAATACAATTAATATAATTTAAAAATTATCTTAAATTAGTTTTGTATATATACCTACTTATTACTTGATAAATGATCTAAATTTGATTTATGTGATTTTGTAGCTATTTTCACATTCTACAACTTTACAAGGCAAGAGTGAAGAATTAAAAAAGAAAATACAAGAAAGATTATTACAAGCCAGACTTAATCAAGACCAACCAATTCTCCACCGTAATAATAATGACAGGTCAGTTATTTTAGTTTATATAGAAAATAACATTTTTTTTCAATATTAAAATTTTAATCATATTGTGGTTACCTATCTATGTTTTAAATTATTAGCAGAAGGCATATATTTTTCTTCAGAAAAGTAATTAGTAAGATTAATTAATAGTTAAAACATTTTTTGATGTATTTAATTTAGTATGATAATATCTTTACTCTATATAGATGTATATTAATAAATAATACTAGAAAACCCTTTTCTGCCCTTTCCCTTTAAGGGAAAATTATAGGTACTGCTACATAATTGTTTATACATTTACAGTTAATGCACTTACTAATACTATATTAATAATATAAGTTTTGATAATAATTGAATTGTTGTATATCTTTATTATGAATATGGCATGTGAGGATTTTGCATATAATAAGCAGTTAGCTACCTAAAAAGAACAAAGACCCCTTAATTAGATAGTAAAAGGTTTGGTATTCAAAAATTATATTAATTACAGAACTATTGTTGGGATCACATATTGGACATTATATTTATATAAGTATTATTTATTATTTTTTGTTATTAGAGTTCAAAATAGTCATGTTGGTGAAATTAATATTGTTGATGATAACAGAACCAAAACAAGGTCTTCATTATCAATGCGTATCCCTGTTACAGATGAACAGGCGATTAGACCAAAACTGGCAAAACTGTAAGCATATAAACAGTAAAATTTTTTTTATTTGAGACTACTATTACTAATTAATACTATTATATTCATATTGAATAAATATTTATAATATTTTTAATTTAATTTAATTATTAATTTTTGTTTTTAGCATTATCAAAAGAGCTAACAAAGAAAATACTAATTTGGCTGACAATGGATCCCCACAATGTTTTCTTATATCTACTTCAGATATTCCTGATACAGTTACACAGGAAAATAAACGAAAAATGTAAGTATATAAAACAATATATTTTATTTTTTTATTAATTGCTACTATTTCTCATAGTTTTTTTATACCGAAGAAATATTGGACATAATATTCACATGATTATTAATTAAATTTCATTATTTTTTGTTTCTATGTGAAAATAGATTTGTTCAAAAAAATAATGTCGCTGACAATGAAAATACAAAAAATACTCCTGTTCCAGTTAAACAGGAAATTATTCCAGAAATGTAAGTATATAAAACAATATATCAAATATTATTATATTTTTAAATGCGACTATTTCTTATACTTTTAAGTTGTTTCTATGTAGGTGCTAAATGGTTTTATGATTATATTTAAAATATATTTAAAATATATTGTTTAATGTATAAAACACAGTTTAAATTCAAAATAATAGTACTACTACTTTTATTTTAGCATATTGACAAAGCTGTGAAATTGTTTTTGTCTCATCAAATAATATTAAGCACAGCAGTGAATAATATACAGCATTACTTATTGTCATATTATAAAAATGCTGGATATTAGATGTCTTGTATTATGCAAAAATATCTGTAAATTGTATTTAAATATTATAAGTGAGATTTAAAATTTAATTAATAATATTTCCAATAACATTTTTTTTAATTGTATGATCTTAGTTTTAATAATGATAGTTATTATCAGGGTTCGGACTTATAGCATATCAATTTCACAAAGAAGCATATAAAACTCCAAAAAAATTACTCTAAAAAAGTACTTCAAGTAAATATTAGACCTAACGGTAGATGGGTTTAAATGTCCTCCCTCTAACAGCTTTAATTTATTGAGTACGATTTTCTAACGCTATACAAATTATTAACTCAAAGTTATTTTTTTCTATAATACGTACTATTTTATTTAAACAAAATACATTTTTGATAATAATTTATGTCGTTTTAGAAAATAATATTTAATAATTTAGAGTCATTAGACATTTAAACCTTTTACTATTTTGTCTAATAATATTTTGTTCAAGGTTTTTTTGGCGCTTTTATGTGCTTTTTTGTAAATTTTAATTGTTATAATTCCTGAACACTGGTTATAATGAATATTATATTAATTTTCTTATAATTTGACACTATTAGTAATTAGATATTAAAAGATTTTATTTTATTAGAATTGAAAAAGAATTGTTCATATTGTATTTATTAATTAGTTATATGATTTTTATGTATAATGGTACGAGTTATTGTACTGCATTTAAGTGTTATTGAGACTGCATTAAGAGATTTTTGTGGCCTTGTCCCGTCCCCCATTGAATTTTGAAAATTCAGAATGCTGTCTGTGATGTGTTTTCTAGCTACTTAAAAAAGTGTGTTATGCATTTAGTATTTTTTTGGTGATTTGGTAGGGTCAAGTTGGTTCTGAATGCTGTTGAGTCTTCATAGTGAGTCACTTAAGAACTTAGTGAACATCTTTAATGTTTTCATCTTGTAGAAAGAACATATTTTGCTTAATAGTTTCAGTTATTTGAGAATCTCTACTTATAATAGCTAATGTAGGCACATAATTATTTTAGTGGGGTGTTATGTTATATTTATTTTTATTTTGTATATGACATTGGCTATAATATCTTAACTTACACTAAAGCAACAGAAATAAAATATTAAATACATAAATAAGTTTATGATTAGATAGATAAATAAATAAAAAAAAAATAAATAAATAAATAGGTAGTAAATATAAATATAAATGTGAATAAGTATATTAACGACAAGTAAATAAGTAACAAAATAACATAGCAACATAACAGGATAGCTACAGTTATATCTAATGTTTAAAGGAATGACAATTTCCAAATGAAATATTATTCGGGTAATTATATAAAGGCATCTTCACAAACATATCTCCAGGTTATTTATCCATGTTACTGCATCCTCTTCGGCTTTGTGCAGTCTTGTTATACCCCCGTTGAACTTAGTATTAGGACACTCTTCAATGATGTGTTGTATGGTTTGTTCAGCTCTGCACGAACATAAAGGAGAATCGGTCATGTCCCATTTGTGTAGGAGACTTTTACTTCTACCCTGATTAGACTTAGCTCTATTTAAAGCTGTCCACATGTGTCGGGGCAGATTGAATCCCGGAACTATCATCATTGGGTCATCAATTAATGTTAAGTTCTGCACTCTTGAATTTTTCCAACGATTTTTCCACATCTCGGATATTGATTCTGTCGAGAATTCCAAGTCCCAGATAGGGTGTCTTGACTTCAATCTTTTTAGGGGGTGTGAAACGATGTTATTATATATTGGGAGTTCAGGGTTGTTCATTACTTTTGTTACTTCCTGGTGAGCCTTCATTAACCCCTTCAATTCTGGAGATTTTATGTTTGCCAGCACTTGCAATCATTGAGTTTGGGTCGTTTTCACAGTCTCCGATATAATTCACATTGACTTGTTGAGCTCTATGTCTACTTTTTTACAGTAAGCACTCATTGACCATACCGAATCACAGTACTCGGCCATGCTGTAAACCAATGCTAGTGTAGATGTTTGTAGGACTTCCGCGTTACTACCCCAACTTGTGCCCATTAGTTTTACCATTATATTATTTCTAGATTTCAATTTTTACTTCATTGTCTCTATATGGTCTTTGAATGTTAAAGATCTGTCTATTTTTATCCTTAGATACCTTGGGCATTTGCTATTGGCCACTGAAGTGTCCCCTATCTTTAGTTCTAGTCTTGTAGATGTACTTATAAAGTATTAATATAATTTTGACCTAATTAGGCATTAAGATGTATATTTGATAATATTACGGCTTATGAAGATGTTGTGGAAGAGAATAGAATAGAAAATGGTTTTTTTGGAAATTTGCACTATTTGTAGTTATTCGCACTAGGTGTGCCCTAGACATTTTCAAGTATGGAGGGATGACCAATTTTTATTAAGATATTTGACTTTAAAAAGTTACAGTGAAGTTTCTTTTTGATGTTATAATAAGTTTATTGGTTTTTCTTCTTTGCTGAAGGAAAATGTTTGCACATCTTATTTATTATTATATTTCATAATACACTTTGAAAATAAAATAGGTACTTACAATGTATGAACAAAAATTATTATTTTAGAACAATAGTATTATTATTTATTTATTTTGCTTATTTACTCCATAACAGGCATTCATTTAAAAAAACAGTGACTTGATTATAACATAATTATAGTAAAATAGTAGCTATATATAACATTAATATTAAATATAACAGATGTATAATATTGTTAGATAATACATTGATTGTGGAGAAGTGGCCAAGACTAAGCTGAATTGAGGTTATGTGATGTTCTGTACAGTGGTTGAAGCCATAAGAAGTATGATGATATGATAATTGTAAAAGAGAATGATTTCTAGTAGAGTAGGTAGAAATGCAATATGAGATAAAAGACTGCAAGTCAGGAGAATCAAGAGATCCTTCAAGAAATGAAATGATGAAGTAAAGATCAGCGTTAGCCCACCGAGAGGCTAAAGTAGGGATTTGAAAGGTGGAGAAAACTAGTGAGTTGTCATGGATGGGATGCTTGATATTTAATTTGAAGGCAACATATGATAGAAATCTGTTTTATACTCACTGTAATCTTAGTTCATCACGCGCCTGGTATAGGGGCTATATCACCACCCCATATTCTAAAGAACTAAGGAGAAATAAAGATTACAAAGACAGGAGCTACATGAGAAATTGATGGTATTACATTTTAGAAATCTTAGAATCCTGAGTGCTCTACTGATTGTAATATTGATGTGGTAGTCAAAAGAGAGTGGGCATAAGATAGATACCTAGTTCTTTAATAACAAATAGACAATCAAGGAGAAAAACAATAAGGCAGTAAGAGTGATGTAAAGGTGAAGTACTTTTTGAGAAGGACATTACGTGGCATTTTTCGATATAAAGGAAAAGATTAATGTTGCTTATTTAACACGAGAAGGTGTCAAGATCAAATTGTAAGAGACGACAGTCAGAAGGAGAGTTTATTTAGAGGTACAGTTTTTTTTTATATCATTGGCGAATAAGAGAACTTTAACAAAAGGCAGATAATCATTAAGAGAGTTCATAAATAAAATGAATAGAAGGGGACTGAGATGACCACCCAGGGGAACACTGGATGGTATGGTAACAATATTGGAGTGCACATCATTAATGGAGACAAATTGTCTTCATCGTGTTAGACATGACTGGCCAAAAGAGGAAAGGATTATCAATACTGAGACTATCAAGAGTATTTATTAAAAGACCGTGATCAACTATATCAAAGGTTTTATTAAAGTCTGTGAATATGGTATCTATTTGTGAACTAGTTTTAAGATTGTCCAAAATATAAGAAGTGAATTCTAAACTACGTATCATGGTAGATTTTCCTGGTCTGAAGCTGTATTGAGAATTGTTAATTATGTGATTGAAACTTCTTTTAATGTAGAAGTATATAATGGATTCGAACAGTTTTGCCAGGTGAGAAAGGATGGAGATGGGCCTATAGTTAGACACATCATTATCAATCAAACTAGTTTGTTACTAAAATAATTATAATTGTAGACATTAATATATAGGCATGTAATATAATGGACCAGAAATGACCGTTTTACATGAAGCAAATATTTGTGTGAGAGAAACAGACAATTCGAGGTTTTTTTTTATGAAAGAAAAAATATGTGTAGAATTACAAAAGGTATAGAGAAATTATTACCTAATATTCTTTTTGAGCTTAACATATTGATTTTGTTTATTTGATTATTATTATGATTTTTATTTTAGAAAAAAAAATTAACGATTTTAAGTGTATATTAAATTTTATTAAGAATGTTTAGACCAATGAGGATTAATCCACCTTGATTTAGACAAACATTTTCATTTTACATAATCTTATCTGTTGATTATCAGCATATTTTGTGATTGTAGTTATAATCTCTTTGATAAAACTGTAGATTTGTTATGAGCCAAGTAGACTCAGAACGAGTTTATAAGGATTTGGATTCTAAACTTAAGAAAATAAACAACAATTGTTCTAAACTTAGTTTATTATTTACACAAATATGACACATACATAGGTACTTGTCTCACACTCGGTTATGACTGGTTGACTAGTGTCCCTCGTGTTCTTTTTATATACCTTAAGAACCTTAAATTTAGACAGTTACTATTCTAAGTACATATCTGTGCTACTTTTTCTTATTATGCTCATAATATTAATTAATTACAACACAAAATGATAATTTAACAAAATAATTTGTTTATTTTTATTGTATAGATATTGTAAAAGTAATAATGATATATGTGTAATCGAAAGACGAGAAATAGTACCATTAAGTACTAGAATTTGAGTAAATATTAAGTATCGCATGATAAAATTGTAAGGGCGAAAGATCATTCTTATTGGAAGCATGATCCTTTGTCTGGTAGAGGAAGTGTTAGGACCACCCGGTCTAATATAATAGATGTCATAAAACGTAGTAATTAGTATTCAATTGATATTGTATTCAGAAGACCTCAATTGTCTTCTAGGGTGGTTCTAACACTTTCCCTACCAGACAAAGGATCATGCTTCCAATAAGAATGATCTTTCGCCCTTACAATTTTATCATGCAGTACTTAATGGTACTATTTCTCGCCTTTCGATTACACATACATCATTATTACTTTTACAATATCTATACAATAAAAATAAACAAATTCATCTAATACATCTAATAAAATTTTATATTAATTTTGTGATAAATTCTCTAACCCAATATTATTTAATTTAGTACGGTTTTTCAAAGATATTACCGTGTTTGATATTTTTGCCCCTAGTATTATGTCTACAGTTCTACTGGTCGACAAATGCTTAATTGGTATGAGTACTGAGTCTGATGTAAATGCTCTACAATCATCCCTTATTGATATCAAACCTGTCCCTGTCAATTGAACTTAACACTCATTTTTTCTTTCTCACAATCTGACAAAATGTGCTCTTGTATAACTGAATATACCCACGTATTTGTAAATTTTAATTTATGAAATATATTTTCTAATAGTGTAATGTACCTCACATGACAAATTTTCTGCATTTCTGTTGTTCCTAATATCAATTTCATTTCATATATCGCTTTTTCATGTCTATTATATATTACTTGCTCTCCTATACACAACTTATAATCCAGTGTTTGTTTGCATTTATATAATTCCTGTGCTCTATACGAAATATAGCTCTCATAATTTTTACTCACAGTTAAGTAATCCATTTTCGGATTAACATACATATGTAACGGATTGCTATTCTCTTTTACTGGTAACGAAATTAAATTATACAAAGTAAATTCAAAATCAACAATTAATGGTATTCTAATTCAAAATATCAATGTTGTATTTTTAAACATGCATACTACATCTGCTATACTCAAAAGCCTATGAGCCCCTATTATGTTTAATGAAACTGGTAATGCCCGATGTTTTGGTAAATCTCCTTCAATTTTCTGTAACTGCTCTAAAATGTCTTTTGGAGTCAGCATACTATAATGAATTATCTTCCCTTGTGCTGCTGTTATAATTTCCTCTAATAAATCCACTTCAAATAACACTTGACTTAACATTAAATTAAATAGTATTATTTGTTGTTCTATCAATTGTCGTAATTCTATATCTACTATTAAGCTATTCATATTTTTTAATTGATTCTCTATTTTCTTAAAATTTTCATTCAGTATTTTTTTTTCCTTATTTATATTAAAAACGTATTATCATACATATTATATAATTCAATTTGATGATAACCCGATGCTAGATCGATTGTTGTAAAATACTTACACTCTCCTAGCTCATCTAAAATTTCTGTTATTTGCGGTAATGGGAACACATCTCCTACTGTTACTTCGTTTAATTTCCTAAAATCTACGCATACCCTATATTTTTTCACTCCCAATGCATCATCTTTTTTAGGTACTACCAATAACGGTGCATTCCATGCGGAAATGCTTTTTAATATAATTTTACTATCTTCCAATTCTTTTATTTGCTTCTCTATTTTCTCTTTTTTTACCCTAGGCAACCTATAAGGTTTTTTCGTTTATCGGCGTAATCCCTTCTGAAATTGGTATTTTATGTTTAATCGACTTTGTCGTTGACAACTTATCACCTTCCAGAAAAAATAAATCTGCGTATTTAAAACAAATTTCATATATAGTTTCCTTTTCTTCTGTATTCAAATGATCTACCCTTAATGCATCCAATAATAAATCAATCCTATTATTTTTGTTATTGCAAACTAATACTTGTTCACAATCTTCATATTCCTCGTATTCTAAATCCCTCAATTTTAATTCATCTATTTCCTGCCATTTATCAGAGTTATTTAAAATTATTCCTTTCACACCTACAATTTCTATATTTCCTATAACACTACCTATTAACACATCCGTCGTAATGTGTTTGCCTTGTATTACTAAACATTTATTCTGTATTGGTTTGTCTACTCGTATAGGCACTACTGCTTGTGCTCGTGGTGGAATACTAATTCGATTATCCGGTACTATTAATACGTCATTTTCTAGATCAATGCACATTTTATAATCTTTTAACAATTTTTTCTGCTTCTAATGCTGCCTGATACGCTTCTCTTAACGTATTTTTATTCTGGAATTTCACCAACTCATAATAAGGTTCCCTTAAACCTGCTACGAATACTGTTAATGTCTGTCTTTTTATCATTTTATTAATAACCGTTTCCTCAGATTTTTTTTGTATTCTCCAATAACAGTGCTTCTATTAACTGAAAACAGAGCGCTTCCACTTTTTCATAATATACCTTTATTTCTTCATTCGCCAATTGCATACACGCTGCTAACTCTAATTGTAATTGTCCTACTGTCTGTTGTACCCCAAAGTTTTCTAACAATACTTCTTTTAATTCTTCATAATTATCTATACTTTTAAACCTTGTTACCTGGTTCGCTCTACTTGTTAATTTTGCTAATATGCCTTCCAACACCAACGGTTTGATAGTTTCTACAATATTATTAAGTACATATTCGCACGTTTTCAAGAAGCTCATTAACTCTTTTTCTTCCCCCCCCATACCTAGGTATGGTTTTAATCCCTGTTTCATGTGTCAATTTTGGAATTTTAACTTTTTTTTGTACCTTAATTTCACACAAATCTACCAAATTAACACTCTTGTCAGAATCGGTATTACAATTACTATCACTAATACTAGACATGCAACCCTACTTACTGTAATTTCTTATCATGTTTGTCTCCTAATTGTCTGCTCCTACACCAAATGTTCCTCTGCAATTTCTCCTGTTGCTGTCCTATGATACCAATTCTTTACTCTGAATGGTGTCTTCCGTCTGTTTGTATACTGCTCCTAGGTTGAACCAAACCAAAGTTGAAACCTGTTCTCTTCGTATTGTCTGTGTGGTAACTATCCGTTCCTTGATTATTCGCTTCAAAAGAGAGATCACACCTATTGTACTACTACTGCAGTTATAATACAGTATGTGTTTTCCTCCTGTTTTGAAGAGCACTATTGCCACCAATTATGTTATGAGCCAAGTAGACTCAGAACGAGTTTATAAGGATTTGGATTCTAAACTTAAGAAAATAAACAACAATTGTTCTAAACTTAGTTTATTATTTACTTACACAGATATGACACATACATAGGTACTTGTCTCACATTCGGTTATGACTGGTTGACTAGTGTCCCTCGGGTTCTCTTTATATACCTTAAGAACCTTTAATTTAGACAGTTACTATTCTAAATACATATCTGTGCTACTTTTCCTTATTATGTTACATAATATTAATTAATTACTTACAACACAAAATGATAATTTAACAAAGTACAATAGAGGTCTTCCGGATACAATATCAATAGAATACTAATTACTACGTTTTATTACATCTATTATATTAGACCGGGTGGTCCTAACAGATTTATATAGTTGTGTTAGCATCATATATTTTGTATCATTTCTGATCTATTCTATTATACGTCAATGTATTAATTAATGGACTACCCCTAGAGAGAGACAAAAGCAGCTAACTTTGATAGAGAGAGATAGTCATATCATAGAGGTAGTAAATTACAATTCATTTCTTCCACTGTTTAAAATTTTGTATTTTAATATTTTATCCATGTGTTCCTTAATTCATCTGTGATGGGCCATCCGAAAATATCTGAGTGCATCAGGATGGCTTTATCACTCATCGTGTTTCCGAGTCTGTTGATGGTATGTGGTAGACTATATGTGTTTAATATCTCATTTTTTATGACGATAGCAATTAACAGTTATAATATTTAATTATTATTATAATATTATAGATTTAAGTTTCATGATAAATTGATAACACTGCTTAAAACGATGTTCCTTTAATATCTTATGGTGCCATCAGTGATGCCACTGATGACATCACAGATAAATTAAGGAATATATGGATTATATGCTCGGAAGAAATTCATTTGATTATACTGGTATACTCAAATAATTATACCAGGTATCTTATTTTATATTCGTATACCGAATTGTTTTATACCGGTGTATCAAGAAATTCATTGACTTGTAATTGGTACAAAATAACATTATCACCTCTTTAGTCCATGCTTATTTGTTATCACACTGTACACATACCTTTGATTTAATAATCATTTGGATCTTTATTCTTCACAATTCAAAAATTACAATCTGACGAAAAATGAATGTAGAAAATAATTCAATCACAAATGTTATAATATGTTATGCTATGGTAATTTGATAAGAATCTGAAACAGGGAAATGATCGCGATTTTGAAATTAAGAAAGGAGGGGATTTTACTGGTATAAAATATTTGTCCATTCTTTTTTGTTTTGAGAATTGAGCTAATAGCTGGCTATACACGAACAGTTTAACTGTCAGATTTGTCCCATGGCCGACCAAATCGGTCATGTTGGTATGTGCGTATATGGATAAAAGTATCACTGACCGGCAATCGAACGTTTTCACTAAAGATATTTTTGGAAGATGAATACTATATATTACCTATATTAGGCCTATTACTTACTTAGTAAATTAGTAAAATCTGTGCCATTCATTCTTAAATAATTTTTTAAGTCTTCTGAATTATTTTCTTTTAAATCTTTTAAAAGAGTACATTATTTTGTTCACTTTTCTGTTCTATCCATTTTATACCCGTGTTCGATTTTTCTTTTTTTTTGAAGTGTCTTGCGCAATAATTGCCATAGCACATACAATGGCAATCTTTTTTTTGTTTTTATACATTTTATGTGGATAAGTCAGGTATAACGTCAAATAATATATTATATTGTGAACATACTCTGTAAACTAAATACAAATTTGTAAAAATGATCACATAGGTATAACTAAACAACCTATACTTTTCTTAAATTCTATAGGAATGGCGAAAAATATTTTTAACATGTCGGAGGATCAAGGGACAGATCATAACCGCATGAAAATTGACAGTTTTAAACATAAACTTACATGTCTAGTCTTTATATTCCAAGGGGCGGGATAATTCGGCAGATCTGGAATAATAGTGTATGGGTATCAACAATTATGTACTTCGACGAATTAGAACTGACGACCTGATCAGGAGATCTGGAATACCATTTCAAAACTAACGGGACATCTTCCGAGTATGAGGGGCTAATAGCATCTTCAAGCTGAAAGTTTCCATAAATTAAAAAGGATTGAGGAGTGAATTGATTTTATAATGATGGTTACTATTTTTTTTTCTGCGGATAACTTTTCTACCAGCAATTTTGTTCTAATTTACAATGATAGCGCTTTTTCTGAAAGGAAACCGGACTCGGGAGATACTTTGGGGTGGCCATTTTTTGATTTTCCCTATAAATGAGAAAAACCGTGAAAAAAAAATAAAAACGGGAAAATAGGTACAATCTTAAACTTTAAATAAATATTATTAAAGAAAATATATAATGCATATTATGTAATTATTTTACAATAATTTGACATACATAATATTGTTGACTAACAACCGAACTCCGCTTAGAATCGTTTTTTCGTTACCAATGGTTTATCGTTACTTATAGATATAAATTAAATTTCCCCTTTATTTCCTTCCAAACTTCTCACCTATGACAGTGGCTGCACCCATCCAATAGGGATAATAATAGGGATCTATTATCCCAGGACATTATTATTACATTATATATTTTTTATAAAGTTAATGTTGAATTAATTGTTTAAAAAACAAGACATGTACATATAGGTATTTATATTTTATAACTACTTAGTTTCGGCATAATTGATGATTAATAATTAATTCTATTATTATTTATAAATGAAAGGTATTAATTATTCCTTTTTTGTACATAATATATATATCAATCAATAAGTAAATAAATATAATATATAATATAATTGTAAAATTTAACTAAAAATTAAGTATGAATCACTGTTGAAACGTATACAAAAATCTTTCTTCGGGCGAATGCTAGCACACTTTGGTGAATTGCCAATTTGCCGTAATTTTTTTTGTCAATGTCGTTGCATTAAAAGATAAGAAAGTGGCGTCATCTTATCTTCTTTACATCGTGATTATATAGGAGCGTTTAAATCATAGACCTAATAAACTAGTTATTTGATAACATGTTGAATATCGGCAAACTAAAATTTTGAATAAATATGGTGTTGTATTTAAAACTTACTAACTGCTGCCCAAAACAAGTTATAAACTATCTTTATAATATTTAATTTAAGGAGATTGGTAAAACCCACTTTATCTATACAGGCATGACATCGAAATTTAGACATGTTCTATTTTAACATATTGCTTGAAGTAAGTTTATGAAAACAAAATATTACAAATAATAAATTTTTCTGGATATTCACTGATGATATCATACTAAAATCTGATCAGTATTAATTAGTGTTTAATTCTGTTAAATTCACGATCTTTTTTTTTCCTAATTAATTTTCCTTGTGATATTTGTAATAATAATAAAATCCTTTCGAAAACATGCCCGTAAGGTAGAAAATATTATTCTTGAAAAATATGATTTTTCAAAACGTAATAAATAATTGCTTCAATCTTGATTTTTTTGAAAAAAACTATTGATTGATCATCAAAATTCTGAGTGTGGCGTATCGATCAATAAGGTAATTTTACAATTTAATTATATTACAGGAATGTTCTGAGTTTTTCATTATAATAATATTTGCTAAAATCCCTTTTATTTATGTTACTTTTATTAATCATATTTATTCAAAATTTTAATTTGCAACTGATAATCAACATGTTTTTTATACATTACACGCACGATATTGCAATACACGTGTGTACTATGAGGTGCATTCCTGTATTTAAACACTCCTAATTATATAACTAGATGACTTGACAATGTTTTGCTACTGATAATAGTGTAAATAATAATAATTTTTATCTTGTCCATGATAACCAAATTATTATTTGTATCATCAAGGTAACCTACGAATAGACAAAAATAAATAAATATATTTTCATAAAAAATTAGATATTCATATCAGAAATAACTAAAAACTCCTATGTAATTCACAGAATTGTTAATGAAACGTTGTGTCAAAATTTGAAAATGATTGGTAAAGAGTTTTTTGTTTTAAACTATTTTTCATTTCATCCGTGTAACTAGTAACCCATAATTCGACAAAAATAATTTAATTTTCATACCAAAAATATCTTTTTATCTCTCATTTCATCGTCTCATAGGTCATTGAAATGAAGACTATGCTATCTTTTAAGTTGGACCAAATCACACACATTGAATATTATTTTATCGAAATTGGTTGAGTAGTTTCAGAGTGCATCAATTCGTCGTACGCGTGATTTGTTTGATAATAATATGTGTTATTAATTATCTATATTATGGTCAAACAATTTTTAAGCATTCTTTCTTTCTTCATTCTTTCATTTCTTTTTTCATTCTAAACAGAAATGCTTGAAAATTTAACAGTAGGTTTCTTAAAAGTTTTACTTCATGTTCAAAAAAAAAAAAAAAATTGAGCTTTATGTAGTATTTTTTCTTTTTATAAAAGAATTTTAATATTCAATTTTTAAAAATTATTTTGAACATATGTATATTGCTGATTTGAGAAATGATGGCGAAGACAAAATTGAGCAGACTGATTTAGTTTTGAAATTATAGCTTTTTGAAGTTCTGATATTATATGCCGGATATTATGTGTTATGTTAATTATCTCAATAAATTCATCTCTGAGATCGCAAATTTAAACCAGAATTCCGAGAATTTTTTTTTGCAAAACCGTGTTGGGTAGGTAACGGAAAAAACAAAAGCACTTTATTTTCATTAAATATTATTGTGATTGTAATTTAGTATTATTATTATTTTTTTTTAAGATAAAACCAAGTTTTAGAAAAATCATAAATATTACATCCTTTCAAAACATGTATAACCGAATTTTGCTCCTAATCGTTTTTCGTTATCGTTATGGTTTATGGTTGGTTTTAGATATAAATTAAATAACTATGTATCCCGCATTCCCCACTACCCACCTACAACAGTGACCGCATCCATTTCCAGTAGCAGCTCTTTTATTTTTTTTCGTCTGTTTCTCAATCACTTTTAAAAGAAAATTTGCTTTGATGAATCGTGTGTACCAACTTTTCTGAAAGGAAATTTTGTTTTGTTTGTGCATTTGAGAAGTTATTTTATGAATTTTTAAAGAATTCTCAAAATAATTAAGAATAGCCGTAAATAAAATTATTATGAGTGAAACTGCTAATATTAACGACGTACTATAATATTGCCGATTTTATTGTTTTTAATTTTGACGAATTAAGTTTTCTACCAGAAATAATACTTTAATTAAAAAATACCAAGAGACCTTTTTTGTTGAATTTTGGATCTAATTATTCACGAAGTAAGAAATTTTATGATTTTCCCAGCTGTCTTTTTTGGTTTTCCCAACTGTTATAATATAATTGGAAAAAAACAAAAAAATATGTAAATGAAAACGGGAAAATATAGAACATTTAAAGTAGATACACCGTGAATATCATTAAGGCACTGTAGAACACCCTGAATAAATTAAATTATCCTTTTTATCTTTCTTTACCAGTGCTTGGACAAACAGTTTTATAAATATTTTCAATAAACTTATACATAAACATCAGTTTTTTAAGTATGGGCTATTTTTTTTTTTTTTACTAGAATCCAACTCTCTGAAATCATTTTAATCTAATACCCATTGACAAAAAAAAAAATTATGATAAATCTTTAAAATACCTAGGTCATCAAAACTCCTATTTGATTTTAAAATTGTATCAAATATTGAAAAATGATGAGAAAATAATAAAATTCTACCTTCTAGATTATTCACTAGTCGAATAATTTACTATCTTCAATCTAATATGGGTTTAGACCAAAGTAAGAAATAATTGATAACAACAAAAATTTGTTTTAATATTTTTAGACTTTGCCAAGGCTTTTGATACAGTAGACCATATGATATTATCAAAGTTGGAAAAATTGAGCTCCGAGCCTAATTAAATTATATTTATCACAGATAATGCAATTTGTAAATAGTAAGGGACATTGAGTTTGAGCTAACGTATTCTATGCGAAGTTCTACAAGTACTGCATTATCTCCCTTTCTCTTTAATGTTAAAATAAATGGCATTGATACAAAATGCTATCTGTCAAAAACCTATTTTATAAAGTAGCTGCTTGATTTATTTTTGGTATCATTGTTTAAGTTGTTACTACAAGGCCCCAAGAATTCAGAAAGAAGGAACAATTGATTGTTAACTTATAAGCATTATATAAAATAATATGGTCTGTTGTGAATCAGGAGCTAGGGAAATTATAATATTATCAGAAGACCAAAATATTTGAGAAATATATGAAAAGAAACTAAAGAACAGTAAATTTGTATTACAGAAATAAAATAAGTTTTCTGAATGGGATACTGTTGGAAATATTTGATGAATTTTCTAGTTTTCTTAAAAATAGAAAACCTAAAACCTGAAACTAATAATGAAATTAAACATGGAACAATTTTCAAATCATTTTGGTTTTTGAGTTTTTGGGTTTTCAGATTTATTGGGTGTTATTTAGATACTATTGGATTATTTATCTTAAATGCTTAAATATTTGATGAAATGTTTATCATAATTTGTTTTTAGTGGTAATGTAGTATTTTTTTATATTTTACAAGTATCTTAATTTCATGAAAACAGTAAAAATCCTGTATTTTTCGAACTTTTTTTCATCTGATTAAAATTTTTTTCTCTAGAAATACATATTGATTAATTTTAATTGACTTTTTAATTATAAATAAGTGGATCGAGTTTTATTGGTTTTACAATGATGTTTATTATTTTTATTTTTTTATGTGAAGACTTTTTACCAGGAAGCATACTACGATTATCAAGTATGACACCTTTTTTGAAAGGAAATGTTCTCTGGGTGGTACTTAAGAGAGATTATTTTTTGAAATTCTAATTAATATTCGAGATAATGAGGAAAATCTGGTTCTTAAGGTCAAAAAGATTGAAAGATTAAAAATAAGGTTGTCATTGGCAACTGTTTTATTTAATTTTTTTGTTATTAAGTTTTTATTATTTTACAATCTTTTTAAACAATCCTTCTTGTCATGGAAACGCACATTTTTGAAATCGTTTTACCATAATATGTCATATATGCAAATTGTTGACAAAGTAACACTATCAATTGAATTCTGCTTAGAATTGTTTTTTTGTTAGCAATGGTTTATCGTTGCTTACAGATATACATTGAATTCCCATTTAAATCCTACCTTCCCAAGTTTTTACCTACAAAAGTGGCTGCACCTATGTGCAAATTATATCCGCTATTTTTTTTCTATGAAGTCCAACATAATGTTGTTATATTCTTAATTTGAAAATATCATTAATCAATTTACTTTAGAAATATATACATGGGTATTTTACATTAAAAGTTTTCAAAAAGTTTTAAAAGTTATGCCTAGTTTACACGATGCGTAGTAATTATCATTAACATTTCTCACTCTCACTAACCCTTCCGTGTTGTAAGAGCAGGATGGCGTGGCCGAAAATTAGTCTGTAGGAATTTTAATAAATAAACTACTAGTTAACTAATCAATAAAAAGCTAATAATTTTATTAGTTTTAACACAATAGCAATTTCATTACAATTTGTCACTTGATTAAACAGAAGTGAAATTGTAAAAAAGATTCAACAACAAAAAAAAAAGAAAAGATGGCACAGAGCGTAGCATTACTGCATACTGGCCATGGAAGAACTAAACTTACTAACAAGCCTAATCCCCACAATATTCATATATATTACTACAGTGTAAACAGTAAAAATAGTGCGAATGTGAGTGGAAGTGGCAATAATTGTAACTTATGAATTAATAGAACAGTGTCTTATTTATCATCAACAAGTAGCTAAAAGCTCCTTAGCTCTGTAGAGGAGCACTACTATTCTATTTATTGCTGCTCATGTAACGGGTGACCTCTAGATGGTAGTACAAACTACAAGTGCGTAGTAGTAGTGATGAATATGATAATACAATAACAAAATATTTTTTTATCACTGGTTCTGTGTGTAGTGTTATACTGTTTGCGTTTTAATTCATATTTTTAAATAATTTTAACAAAATTAATGTCTGAAATACATAAAGGACATTTCATTTATAGGTACATTATTTACTCTCAAGATTAGTTGCATTTAAAAATAAATTAACTATTTATTCTTTATTGAAAATTGATATACATACATTTCTAGGCAAATATTTTTTCTATTATTTGTCATATACAACAGTTACTTTACTATTTATAAATTAAATCTCATTCATAAACAATATTTCATTTTCTATATTTATATGTTTGTAGTGCTGCAGGTCATGATAACAATAATAGTATTGTTTCCAGAAAAGTTACAAATGATCAGCCCAGTACAAGTATATCTGACATGTAAGTAAATATTGATATTCAAATATTGATGGTGTTTAGGCAAAAACTTGGATCCAAGTGATATTTTTCTAGCATTTAAAAAGAGCAAAAAAGCTAGTTTTTATTTTATTTTAAATTTTGAATTCCAATAACTTTTTTTATTTGATTTTTAAAATTTTATTTTGTCATTTTTTTAAGTAAATTATTGTCAGTTTTTAATTTATTGTTATTGAAATTCCATGTTTATGAAAAATTTTGTTTCTTTTACAAATTTTAATTTGAATTTTTCGTGTTCATACCCCTTTTGATAATAATGAGTTATAACTAGTTATTGTGTTTGTAATAGTGAGTTAACAATTTGGAGTTTGACATTTGTGGTTATGTGATTACGTTTCTTTGTCCCCATAAATGTATTATTATTGATGTTTAGTCCCCAAAAATGTCATCTTGGCCCATGATATAGAATTAACACATAAAGTACCATTTAGATAATAAATTCCTGAATGTTAGCACTGGGAAGCTACTTTCCTTAAGCTCTCATTTCTTGTATGCGTATACTTTTTGTTTACTCTAATATGCTTATTGTTACTGTTATTACAGATAGTATATTTTATAATAAACGTTTAAAAAAAATCAAATTAAAGTTGAGAGTTGAACCATACATTGCACTTATATTTTTTCTACCATATTTTTTTTATTTACTTTATTGAAATATTGTTGGTCGATACATCTAAATTAGTTTCAATATACTTAAAAATAATAGCTGCATTCAAATTGTGTGTCAAAAAAAGAAAGCGATGTTGGTCACCAACCGAGTTGTGTGCAAGGTTTTTTGCAACAGGAAATTTTTAAATAATAATATACAAATGACTTATTTACTTGGGTAAAGTGTTGAAAGGATATAGGTTTAAAAAATGAGTACTTAAGAGTACTAGGCACTAGCTTAGGTGTGACTTCAATAGTAGATAAAATGAGAGAATGTATATGTGGCGTTTGAACAGCACCAAAAACCATTTTCATATTTATAGTAATAGCTATTTTCAATAAAAGATATATGTTTAAAAGTGTGGAGGGTCACTAAAGATAAAAGTTATAATAAATAAATATAAAATTAATAATAAGATAATAAAATAGAGTAAATAATATTTTCCGATATTTGGTCAATGTAGGAGTTATATTACAAATGGATATCTTTCAAGGTGCCTTTAAATGCACAGATCGGACATTCGTTGGTGATGTGTTTAGTCGTCTGGGATTTAAGGCCATAGTTACATGTTTAATAAATCCTCATTTAAAAAAAAATGTGGATACTCCTACTATGGCCTGTCCTGATACAGTTTAGTGTTACCCAAGTATTTCTTTAGAAATCAAATCTGGGTTGTTTGATTGTAGTTGGGTTAGTCAATAGTTTTTAGTCTTCTGGATTCTCTATTATTCAATAGTTTTCCAATTTATAACTTATGTTAAATTTTTCTCTGGTGAGATCCCGTGATTTTCTCCACGATAATTTTTGGGATTTGAGTCGTATGTTTTCTAATGTAGCGTGTTCTCTACGTAATTTTGAAGGGGCAGTGTTACTAAGGACTGGTAGTCTTTTGCCGGTGGGAATTTCTTTAGTCCGTAAATTGAGCGCATTGCTGAATTTGACGTTTGTATACATTTGTGTGAACACTATAAGGCAGACAGGTACACTGAAGCTTACTTGGTATTTTTTACTTCTTGTCCACTGAAGCTGACATTTATTTCTGGACTTGCTTTTTTGTTATTTAAATGGAACACTGTTACTTATGTTTTTGATAGGTTCGGTGTAAGTCTTCACTTTATAAAATATGAGTCTAACTTGTCAAGGTCATTGGTTACTAACCTTTTAGTCTCTATTCTAGCTAGAGCAATATCATCCACATAGTTAAACTTTTTGGAGGTTGTCGGAGGTAGGCTTTTTGTATATAGGTTAAATATAATAGAACCAGATCTAAGCCCTGTGGTAAGCTATTATTTAGCACTTGTCTATTACTAAGCATGTTTTTTTGAGTAGTGTGTGTAATGTTTTATATGGGATTACATTGAGGAATTTAGATAGAAGACCCTTTTACCAGACTGTCATAGGCAGATGACAAATCTATAAAAGCTGAAGTAGTTTTTGATGTAAGTGATTAGTGCCATAACTTGATCACAATAATTTTTTTGTGAGCGGAACCCTACCTGTTTTTACGGTAAAAACTATAGTTTCCGATATTTGGTTATAAATTAACCTCTCAAGTAGCTTGTAGCACGCTCTTAATAGCGATATAGGTCTGTAATTTTTAACCTAATCGTCTGGCTTATGTGGTTCTATAACTGGTAGTACCTTGGTTGTTTTGAGTAGTTTTGATAATTAACTTCAGCGGAGTATGTCTGAGAATGATGTCTAAAAAAAGGCAATTTATATAAAAAGTACAACTTCTGTTGAATGTGAAATGTTATTTGATACCATTTAATAAATATTATATTTGTATAATGTGATGTACAGCCCCCACATGTTTTTTTTTGATGGAACACCTAAAATAAAAGTATGTAAATATCGGCAATTGTCTCTTCTACTAAATTTTGCTATCAAAAACTAAAGTTTCAATTTTATATTAAATTTGTAATTAAATTAATGATTTATATACATAAATACCTAGATAACAATAAAAAAAACTATTTTTACACAAAAATATGTTTCATTTAATATCTAAAATTATATATTTATGAGATTCGGAGCATATCGAGGGATCTATTGGTTTCACCATGGTCTCAGAATATTAGATCTGGTAAGTCGCCATGATGTGTGTTTTTGTATTTTTTTTTTGTTTTTCTGTCTGTGAACAATTTTTCTACTGGAAAACTTGCTCCGAAATACAGACTGTAGCACTTTTTCTGAAAGGTAATTTCTCTCATTGATGCATAGAGGAGGTAATTTTATGATTTTCCGAGAGGTTTTTAAAATAATTTGGTAAAACCCGAAAGAAAAGTATAGGTAAAACGGCTCGCTGCGGTGTTACGTTTTCATTATTTTTATTATAACATGGTGTTTTTTACCAGAAATATTGCTCCAATCAAAAAACTACAAGAAATTGATTTTGTTCCTTATAATACTTTGTCAAGAACAATGTAAGTCGTTTTTGATATTTAAAGTATTTTTCATAATAAATGGGAAAAACCACAAAAATTAAAATGTACGATTTTTTTTAAATTACGACACAACAATTTCATTATTATTAATTATCACGGCTTATATTTTCTACCATAAATATTACTCCAATAAAAGATCATCAAGATATCTTTTTTGTTGAATTTGTAATCTAGTTAGCGAACAAGAAAATCGTTTGTTTTTTTTCTTTGTAATTTTAAATAATTAAGCAAAACCGTTAAAAAATGCTGAAAGAACGGGAAAATGTACGGAAATAATAATTTTATTATTTTCAATTTTGTTTTTTTAATGTAATTTAATATATTCATATATATTCATAAAACCTTGATATTTTGACAAAAACTTATATTTGCTTTTTCTAGGTGTGGTAAAATTTTCAAAATATTTGATCTACTTTTGAGCTAATTATAGACATTTTAATTTTGCAAGTTTTGTACTGCATTATTTTTATTTAGTAGATACTCTGTGGATACAATTGTTAGATTCAACAGAAATTATAGAAAATTTAACAGGAGATTCCATAAATGTCGTACTTAAGGACTATTTACACACAGCAGTGACGTGACCGTGCCATACCCGTTCCGGGATTCTACTGACCGTGATTTTTATTCACAATGGTCAGTTATTCATCCGTCATTGAGTACTGTGCATCGTATCTCGCACTTATTCAATAAGATTTTCATCGTTCATTTTCAAAAACTGAGAGAGAATGAAACACGACAAAAATCACGGCCGTGAAATATGAAAAATATCGTCGGCAAGTAATCGCGAATTTACGGTACGATAACGGCGACTGTTTGCGCCGGTACGGTCACACGCGGGGCGAGTGAGAACAACAATCTTATCTCTCCTTTAAGAATATTATAAATTTCGCCGGGGGAATCCCAGAACGGTCACGGCACTGTCACGTCACTGCTGTGTGTAAATAGGTCTTAGAGTTTTAAAAAAAAAAAATTGAGCTTTATGTAGTACATTTTTTTTAAAGAAATTTGAATACTAAATTTGGCGAAAATTGTAAATATTACGACCTGTCGAAACATGTATAACCAAATTTTTCGAATCGTTTTTCGTTATTAATGATTTATCCTTTGTTAGAGGTATAAATTAAACAATTTTATGTATTTCAATTTCTTACTACTCACCTACAACAGTAGCTGCACTTGTCTCTAGTATCAACCTTTTTTATTATTATTTATATAATAATCAAAATAATATTTAATTATATTACATATAATATACAATATATATTCTGCCCTCTGTCAGTAAGGCCTGCGCATACCCATGCATAATACTACATCTTCCTCATTAACATAAGCTTTGTACTCTATCAGTAGCTATTTATATATTTATCGGATCAGGCCGAAATATAATACCTGTTCGTATACCTATGGGAATGTTTTGTTTAGCAACAGCTAGAACAGCTCTTACAAACTTTTTTAGTTTTCAAGGGTAGCAGGGATACATTTTACAGCAGAGTTAAAATCTTTCGCGTAGTTAATCCTATTTACTTTAGATAGATTCCTATGAGGTTTTGGGGTAAATTTTACTATTGAAATTTGAAGGCCAATTTAATCCGAGTGATGATTAAGAATTTCGGTCAAAGCATTTCTTGCAGAATACACAAAAGTACAACAGTAGTACCTTTTGACTTTAATATACCTGCCGACCGGACCTTTTTTTTTTAGCGCTGAGTGCTGTTTAAGAGCCGGATGGGGAACGGGGCAGAGCCTCAAGTGTATTCAATGCACTGTTCTGATTCCAACGAACTTACCGTTTAAATTGAGTGTCCAGTTTCTTGTTCGCCTTGCATTCACAAAGATTATTTATAAATCACAATGCCAATTGGTTTTATTAAAAATAAACCTTAAATTACCTTGTTTTTTCCATGATCAGTTGCACATGTTTGAGAGTCGGTAAACCATCGGCGCTATTCGTTTTTCTATGAACAGAAATAAAAAAAAATATTGTTCATCAGTAAGCATTAAAAACACCAATAAATTATTGCCAAAAAAACTAATTCCGATTTTTTCATTTCAATAAATAAATTTTTGTAACTGAAACTGTTTTGTTTCAATTTACATAAATTCAAGAAAAAATTCAGCTGAATGAATCCTTTATCGACTAATGGACCAATTTAAACCCTGCCTTTCGTAAAACAGTCTGCGTGCCTGGAGAAGGTTTATAGATTACGAAAATCATATTAATTTTTATTAATTCATGTGTCACTTATGATACACTTTTAGTTTGCCAAAGTCAGATTGCCCATTTTTCACTAAACTTTTTTTGTTCAATAGTGGCACGAAAAATTACGAGTGGGACAGCTAGTTTATTAAACACTCTTAAGTGATAAAGAAACCAATTTAAAATTAAGGAGCTTGTGTGGGACCTTATTTTTAAATGTTGAGTGGAACAATGTATAATATATTTGTTTTACTGATTTTTTTTTTTTTTTGTGTGAGCAATTATTTTATCAAAAATCGTGTTTCAAATGGTTTTCTGTGTAGTTTTCAATTAATTGGAAAAAGTTTATGACATTTATAGTTTCATTATTTTAGATTTTGAATTTTTCTTGTGATTCAGGTTAAAAATACCCTAGAGACCTGAAATTTTTACAAAATATTTATATTAGCCTTTTCTAGATGTGGTTTAATTTTTAAAAAACATACAAGTGATTCTTGAGCTATTTATAGGTATTTGGGGATTTCTAATTTGTTCATATTTTTTATTTGGTAGGTATAATGTGAATGAAGTTATTTAACCAAACAGAAATGCTCAATAATTTACTTGGAGATTTATTATTAGTTCTATTTAGTGGTCAAAATCAGAAAGTATTACTCTTTACTTTCTTATAGTAACTAATTTTAAATTTTGAGTAAAGCGAAGTAGTTTATGGTTTTACAAAAATTTACAAAATATAATAGATATAATATTACAATTGTTTTTTTCTGTGGATAACTTTTCTACCAGCAATTTCGCTACCAACTTTTAATGATACCAATGTTTCTGAAAGGAAATTTCACTGGGAAGGCAATTTATAGAGGTCATTTAACATTTTTCCTGGAATTTTCTCAAAAAATATAAAAAATTGAAAGTACAATATTAAACAAATATTATTAAAGACAATATATAGATACTATTTAATTATTTTACTATAATATGGCATATATATTGTTGACAAAGTATCGCTATCAACTAAACTCCACTCGGAATTGTATTTTCGTAAACAATGGTTTATATATCGTTGCATACAGGTATACATTAAGTTACCTATAACAGTGACTGCACCCATCTCCATTATCCTAGGATGTCTTTTTGTATTTAATGATTTTAAGATCATTTAAGATCTTAATGAAAATCTTAAATATTATGCCCTTTCAATCGATATAAAAACAAACTTCCCTCAGAATTGTCATTTTTTGCAGATATAAATTAAGTAACCGTATATACTGTACTTACCTAATTTCCTACCTACAATAGTGGTGGACCCATCAGCAGTATTAGCTCTTTTACTATGATGTGTTTTTTTATTATTCAGAAGTATTCTTTACAGAAATTATTTTTATGTGTCATAGAAGGAATTAATTTCAAGTTTAATATTTTGTTAGAATCAGAAAGACTAGAGGGTCACAATTTACTTAGATTTTAAAAATAATATTTTAAAATGCTACATTTATTGTTTACATACATTTAATCAATTCTCATCATTTTTTAAACTGATTTGATATTGTATGATTTTGGTTACATAATTGAATTCTAATGCAGTATAGGAAGTTTTTCTCTTTCAAACAGAAAGAAATTATTGATATTTTATCAATCTATGTGGCATACAATTTTTTTTCTATAAAGCATGTTTTGAACAAATTAAAACCGATTGGTTTTTTTGTTAGAAAATTTTTAGACTCGATTTGTAAATTTTATTTGTTGTTAAGAGGATGCCATCCATCTACTGTCTCTGTCTTACAAACACGAGACATAACAAATTTGTGTTAAGTAGGACACATTTTGTGCTGTTAGATTTAATATTAAAACACATTGACTTGTTACTAAACTTAAAGGTAAGAAGATTATATGTGCTCTAAGCATTGATACTTTTTTGATATTTTTATTTTTATGAGACATGAGTATGTTAAATATCACAATTTAAAAATGATTATATCTTGCTTAAAAATATAATCTTCTAACTTTTAATTTTGGCAATATGTCAATTTGCTTTAATATTAAAACTAACAGCACAAAATGTGTCTTACTAAGTACAAATTTGCTATATCTCACATTTGTAAGACAGACAATAGATGTCTGTATGGTATCCTCTTAATTATTATTATCAACTTGTTAAAAGCTATAAGTTTCACCCAAGAAGTTTCACCCAAACAAAATGAAATGCAAGAGTAAAGCATTAAATTAATTGTGTTCACCAGATCTAATTATTACAAATATTTTGGATGTTATAATACAATTTGATAAGAAAACTCATAATGTAGCTTTTTCTAGTTGTATAAATATATATATATATATATATATGTTTGTTTTGCAATTAATAATTATCTTATTTATAAAAAATAAAATGTTAAAATTAAAACTATTAATAGAATGTCTTGAGACACCTGAATCAAATATAAAAGATCATAATTATTAATACTACTAGTACTCTAAAGTTTTTAGATTTCATTAATTCAGGTTCAAAAAGTATAGACAATCAAATATTATTGATTGGTGTATGATACGCATACTGTTGGAAAAATGATTGAATAAATAATACTATTTTTATTAAATTTAAAATTATATTGTAGTAGATACATTACCTATATAATCTAAACTTGAAGTTCTTTCATTCGTGACCAATTTGAACATTTTAAAAATGAAGGCTAATTGGCTAATTAATTTTGTTTCAATTAACTTGTGTTTCTATGAAAATAGGAAAATAGAAATGATACAAATTCTAATTGAAACTTATACATAGAATAACTCAAAGAGATTTAAGATTAAATAATTTAATATTGTTTTTTTTATAAATAGATATAATAGACCAAATTAATAAAGATGATTTAGCAAAACAATTGTCTACTTTTTTTAAAAAGATTTTTGTATGTGACTTACTCGTATGGCCTACTCATGGGCCATGTTTACTATCATTATTAATTATGCTAATTTATTCAAAAATTTTTTCAGTGTTGTGAATACTAATAAAGATCATGATTATAGTAGCCATAGTCAAGCTCAATCAAGTTCACACTGTACTCTAGTGTATGTATGCTTATTATTGCAAAAGATTGTATAAATATTAAATTAAAATTAGTTTTGATATAATTTTGAATCTACACAGTGATGATGATATAATAATGATATCCGATGACTCCAATGATGCTCATGAAAATAATGTTGAAAAAGATAATGATGATGATGATGTGCAATTTGTTTCGGAAACACCTGCTATAACTAACTTAGTTAAACCCTTAATCAAGTATAGGTATATTAAATCCAACCCTCCAGCCAAGCCTGTGAAACGTGTTTCCAAAAAACGTGTTAATAAAAAAGCTTTAAATGCATATAATGTTATGGTCTGCAAAGACAAAGAACGATCTACATTAGTCTTTAAAAAAAGGTAAGAAAAGTATATTATGTATAACATATAATATGAAGTATATGGTTTAAATCATACTTATCTAACAGAGTCAAATTTGTTGTTAAAGTCTTTGGATATAAATCTAAAACTATTAGTGTACCTTCAGGTGTTCCTCAAGGTGGTCATTTAACTCCATTATTGTTTTCTGTATTAGTAAATGGACTTAAATTTATTATCCTTAATATTAAATTCCTAATGTTTATTGATGATTTGAAACTCTTCAGTTAAATCGAGTCAATTAACTCAATTTAATGCATAATTTCCAGAAAGGGCTTGATGCTGTTGTCTTGTGGTTAAATTCTATGTGATTTAAGCTTTAATACATGTAAATGCTAATCTATGTCTTTGACTAAGAATAGAACTATTAGCAATTGCATGTACCTAAATAATGTTTCTTGTATTACTACTAGGAAGAACGATTTGGATGTTCTTTTTTGCTCAAATTTTGAATTTCATTTCCATATTGAAGAAGTTTGCTGTTATGTGTTTAAGCTTTTAGGTTTTTTTATTCACATGTTCAAGGAATTAAAGCTCACTCTCTAGTTCTTTTAAAGCTATGTACTGATCTCTTGTAAAATCTCTTTTGGAATATTCTTTTATTCCCTGGGACCCTTTTACGGTAGTGGACTCTTCTCTTGTTGAACGAGTTCAGAGATGTTTTTGTTCTTCTGCATCTTTCATTTTAAAAATTTCTTGCTCACCTCACGATTATAGCCCAGTAATGAATTAACTTGGATTTACGTTTTTTATTGATACACTGTTAACCTTAATAAGTATTATTGTAATTGGAATATTACTCCATAAATAAATATTAAACAACAACTGTATATAGTAAATAATAATTTTTATTTTTTCAGAGATAATTTAATGGTTACTCCCATTTTAACTGAAGAAATGACCGTCACGCCAGATATGCCCTTGCCCCTTTATCAGGAAGACCCAGCACTTCATAACATCAATATCCCTATAATTACTTTGCCACAGGTCACACAACTTCAAAATTCTCATATGTTGACAAATGGTCCTACACTGGTTACACCCGAAACTGGGTTTCATTTTTTGTATGCAAGTGAACAGTCTGTTGACTTGACTCATGAACCTGAAAAAAAGTTAGATAATAGCATATTATTAAAATTTTTAATAAAGTTAACATGGTTTACCTAACATCATTTTTTTATCCGGTCCCTATTTTCTATGTCCTTATTTAATTCTGTCCCTGTTCATCACTGTTTTGTTTATAAGTTATGGATATCTGAATGGGAAAACCTCCCTGCTACTTACATCTTAAGTTATAAATGAATGTACCCTAACATCCCCATGCAATCATGGTTCTGAGCATTCATTAGTTAGTTAGCTTTCATTCAATTGTTTTGTTATATTCTAGGTTCTATTGGGTCTTGTTAATTATGTTTACAAGTTAGGGCTCAATTAATATTTACTACCCCTAATAATGATGGCAAATCATACTTTTGTTATCTGCCTTTAGATTATCTAACTATCAACCGATTCATTTTTTTAAAATACCTTCTCTTCTCTCCGTAACATCTATTCAATTTTTATAAAAAATGATCTCGTAATTAATTCCATTTTTAACTTCTTTTTTAGCGGAGATATTAGTTCAATTGCTATGAGCTCTGTACATAATTCTAGATTTTTTACTTCCTTTCTTCTCTCTTTAGCCAATATGTTAATAAGTTGAATTGTAATAGATTATAGTTAATTTTGTTAATAATAAAAATATTAATAATTATTACTTAAATTTAAATATCAATTTCAGACAAACAGAAAAAGGTAAAAAAAGAAAATATCAAACTGATGACACCTCCCATTTGGTTATGCCACCTCCAAAGTATTTATAGTTTATATTGTATTCATAGTTATAAACTAGGCAGTATATTTATATATATTTTTAATTTTATTTTCAGGAAAACAAATGTAAAAATTAAATTTGTAAACATGCAAAATCAACCAGAATGTTCTAAACCTAAAGAATTGTCACCGGTTATTAGTAAAATGTTAACTGCAGCTAAAACATCATCAGCTAATAATAAAACTAAGTAATTCTTCCTAGTTATTTAAAACCTGGGAATGTTAAAAGTTTCATTTACTTTACAGCACTTATATTAATAATAATAATATAATACTTATGAGTAGCAATTTATTATTCTGAAATGTTTTTTTACAGAATGACTAAGTTTTTTTTAAAACACATTTTTTAATTTTATTTTTAGAAAATCTAAAACAGTAAATCTACCAAATTTACCAGGATGTTCTAAATCTAAAGAATCATCAGTAATTAATAGTAAAATGTCAACTGCACCTAGAGCATCATCTTATAAAACAAGGAAGTAAGTTTTTTAATTGCAAAGAACTTTTTATTTTCATTCTTGTATATTTAGAATCAATGATTTGGGGAGGGTAGTACAGACGCTAGATATTTCACCCTCTACCTCATTGTTTATTAATTAATTCACAACATATTCGCCACAGGTGGGTGGAGGATAGTTCCTTCCCGCTCCACCCTTAGAATTATGTTTTAGTTTGGTCTTGGACCCACATTATAATTCTTATAAAGTTTGAGTTTTTATCTTTTTATTTCCTCCTCTTACTTTGCCTTTATGACTTCGATGACGAAATCATTTACCGCGTCTCATTTTTCCTCACTGCAACATTATACTGACCATACTTTCTGGCTCCAAGTCCTGTCTTATCTTAATACGACATCTCCTTGGTTTCTCCTTATCTTTGCTTTGTTGCATTTTCGATCTAGTTGCTCACAAAGAAAGACATTTTTTTTAAATTTCTAAATAATTTCATAGTAATTGTGATAAACCATAAAAATGTTAAAATACGAAAATGAAAACTGTCAAATTGACAATGTCATAATATCTTTATTTTGAATTTGTTCGGCTTACATTTTCTACCAGAAATATTGCTCCAATAAAAAAATGATGTGATAGTTGTTTTATTGTTAATAATTTTGTTGGTTAGTAAAAAAATCGTTTTTTTAATTGTGAAAAACCAAAAAAAAAAAAATCCTAGTTAGAAAATAATAATTTTCAAAACTTTTTTGCTATTTATAGACATTTTAATATTGCTGAGTTTTTACATAATTTGTATTTGTCAGGTATTCTATGGATATAATTGTCAGACTTAACAGAAATGCTTGAAAATTTAAATAATTCCTACTTGGTAGTCAACAAGAAAAAATAGAGTTTGATGGAGTATTTTTTTAAAAGAATTTTAATATACGATTTTGATGAAAATCGTGCCGGCCTTTTAAAACATGTAAAACCAAACTTCACTCTGAATCATTTCTGAATGGTTTATTGTTATGTACAGATATAAATTAAATTATTTTCTGTATTCTACTTTCCAAACTTTTCAACTTTTTTTTTTTTTTATATATTAATATTTCCTTGTTAATAATAGACAACTTAAATCTTTTAACATTGTTACATATTGATAATACTTACATTAAATATTTTTTTCCCTAAATAGATCTAACAAGTCAGAGCCAAAATATACCAAAAGTCAAAGACCTAAACGAGCATCTGTAACTTACAATAAACAGTTAAAAAAGTAAAATTAGTCATACTATTTAAATATAATATACTTCAACGTTTTTAAAATTTTTTAGGTCGGGGTTATGGAAACTAGGACACCAGTTGAATCAGAAAGGCTGGTCTGTTAATTTAGATCGTGCACCAATACATTTGTATGAATGTTGTATTTGTAAAATGATGTTCCCTAGTATTGAGTCTCGTGAAAAACACGAAAAATGTCACAAATTACCTGAGTTTAGTGATGAAAAATTAACTGAAACAGATATATCAATTAGTTCTGATAAACGAGACTTTCTTCTTAGTCTCAATCTTGTCAGAGTAAATCGATTCAAACAGAATGTAATGGTCCGGTTAAGTCAAGATAAGGAAATTATTGATGCATTGAACATTAATGGAAGCTCCATTGGCATTTATAAGTGTCAGCATTGCATGTATGAAGTTTAACTTAACTGGTCGTAAAATTATAAATTAATGTATTTTTTTTTTTTTTTTTGCTTTTTTTTTAGGTATAAAACATGTTATATGTTTATTTTATGGGCTCATGTAACTTCTGTGCATAAGGTTCTTCAAGGACAAAAACTAAGTTCATTTTGTTTTAATTGCGATCGTTCATTGGGTAAACGTACTCAGTTCCTGAAGCATTTAGACAAATGCCTAACAAATCGAATAATAATAAACAAACCAATTAAGAGTGGAGATATATCCTGTGTATATTGTCATGGCAAAGTTTTTTCTTCAAAGAAACGTTTAAACATTCATTTTATGAATCATTTTCCTAATTTTTTTATGGAAAAATAAAGAAATAAGTTTAGGTATCATATTTATTTATAATATTTTATTAAAGTGGTATTATATACATTGTACATGTTAACAGTTGAATGTAGTTAATACTTGAAATATTTAAAATTTTAAGTTTGGGTAAAAAGAAATATACTAAATAATGAATTTAAATAATATAATTTTCATTGTATAATACTGTCAACAATTTTATATCTTTATACATAGTATAATATTTCCTGACTTACTGACTGATTAATAATCACATAAACATTTTTTGTTATATTCTCCCTATGAATAAAATATTTTTATGGGAAGAAAGAAAATAATTCTTTAAGCAATAATAACTATGTTAAAAAGGATGGGAAAGAAATGCATTTAATTTGTCATAGTCAAAGCCGTTGGGTCAGTAATAGTAATAAATATATTATACTTAGGTTAGGCACTCCAACTATGTATAAATAAAGTGTTATTTTCATTTCTTAGTTTATAATTTTTAAATTACTTACTTTCCATTTTACCTTTAAATTATTATTGAAAGTTAGTTGGTTTATAATATGTATGTTACAATTAAGGATTTCAGATTATTGATTGACAATGAATTGAATTAAAATTTTAATTTTAATATTAAATATTATTAAACAGCTAAAAGTTAGTTATAAATGTAAGTATTACTGTAAACTAATAACCCTTAGATTAATTTAGGTTTCATTAACATAAGGATTGAATGATTTTGTGAAAATATTTAATATATTCTATTCACGAACTTGGAATTGAAATCCAATATCTGTTTTTTTTAAATGATTCAAATGAAAATTTAAGTAATCATTATAATTTATATATTTGCAACTTTAAAATGCAATAAAAAACAGTACACCTTAAGTTATAAATTCATAAAAATATTTTGTATCGCTATTAGTTAAAAAAATTGATTTATTACAATATTATGGTGATGATAACTTAAGAATAAGTTGGGTTATTTATTTTTATTTTTTTAAGTTAAATGTAACATGACTGATGTTTTTTTTCTTCTTAAGGATAAAGTTTGTTTAAAAACACAATATACAAATAAATAATAGCTGCCAGCCAAAACCAAAAAAGATATTAGGTACTCAACAGATGTTGGAGAGAAAACATAGATTAATATTTTGTTACTTTTAGTTAATATAGTATGATTGTACGTTTTTTATTTATTTATCTATTCTTTTTACTGTAACTGTTAATTATTTATTTTTACACATTTTTATTCTTATTAAAATTTTAAATACAAATTTATTTATATAATGATATTAGTGATGTAACTTTCAAATTAAATGCCTGTTAGGTCTTTGAATGTAACTCTTAATGAAAAGTTCAGAAAAAATATGGCTATTAACCTATCATATTATTACATTAAAAAATGAAAATATTTGTTATACAATAGCCACACTGCACTGTAGTTCCTGTTTCCTCATTTGCCACTGAATTTATAAGAAAACCAGCAAATAACGGCTCCTAAATATGAAAAATGTAAATTATAATATTATGTAATATTGGTACAATAATTAAATACATTATAATTTTATCTTTAACCTATAGTATTTGGAGATTTGTTATAAAAAAAATGTCTTCCTAATTATGTATTTACATATTAATGTAATATAGACATCATGGTGTAAATATAATTGTTCTGCTTAAATGATGATTTAAATATTTACTTGTAATTGCTATTTCACTGCCTGTTTAATCAAATATGTATTGTAATTTTTGTAATAATAAGTTTTTTGTATACATTTATGTCAAATTTTATGTTTGAATTTTTTTGTGAGATTTTTCTTGACTTAATAACTAAGAATATACAAAGTTGTTTTTTAGTAAATATTACTACTTATTGAAGAACAGTTTATAACTCTTTAAAATTACCACAGTTACTTGATAGCATGAGACAAATAGAATATCTAATTTTGAGATTCTAAGTGTGGCAAAGAATGTAGTGGTTTCACAAAGAAGTTTATTATTTTTTATTTTTTTATGCTGTGTACAAAAGTTTTACCAGAAATCTTGCTCTGATATATACGTATGACACCATGTCTGAAAAGAAATATTTTCCAGATGGTACTTTGGGAGGTCATTCTTTAATTTTCCAAGCTGTATTCATAATATTTGGGAAAAACCAGGATGAACCGTAAGAAAAAGGTAAGTTAACAAAAATAATGCTTTTATTATTATTATTTCAATTTTATTATTTGTTGTAAGTCAGTTAAATATTTGCATAGACTTGAAATTTGGACAGAAAACTTATATTTGATTTTTCTATACTTGATAAAATGTTCAACAAAACATTTGAGCCTTTTTTGAGCTATTTAAACACTTAAATTTTTTAATTCATTTTTATTTGTTAGACACTGTAAATAAAATTATTAAACTAAATAGAAATATTGGGAAATCTAATAAGAAGTTCATTATAAGTTGTACTTAATAGTCAACAAGAATGAACAAATTTGAGCGGTTTTTTTTTTATAAAAATTTAATATCAAATTTTGACGAAATTCGTAAATTTTACTTATACTTATACCATATTGTGATGATCAGTATTCAAGTTTTATCAATTTTTTGAACGATATCTCTAAAAAAAAAACATGACACAAACATTTTTCAACTAACTGTATTCAAGTTAAAATTCATCATATATGGTACTATTCTATGAATTTGGACCCTCTGCTCTTTATTTATAAATAACATAATACAATATAATACTTATTATCAGGTTTATAATTTTGTAGTATTTACTTTACATATTAAGATACAGATAAAAATATATTAGTTATATTTATACAGGGTGATCAATCTACAGTAAGACACTCGCTATTTCGGAAAGTATTAACTTTTTCCGGAATTTGTTTCCTAGAATATTTAAGAAACAAGTTGTTCTAAAATTTCATATTTTTGTTATTTTTTTGCCAACCTTATTTTTGGGAGTAAAACCATTGCCTACTTTTGATTTTCAAATGGCAACCTCGTAGTACCTCCACACAAATGGTACTCCACTTCTCTCTTCCAACCCAAACTTAAAAGTAGAATATCTCATCAGCGGGTTGACGGTAATCAAAAATTTCAACACTAACATTTATTTTATATAATGCTCCTATTATGGAATTTTAACATAGGTTGCTATTTGAAAATCAAAAGTAGTTATTGGTTTTGTCACTAAAAATAAAGGTGACAAAAAATTACATGAATATAAAATTGTAGAGCAGCTTATTTCTTAAATGTTTTAGAAAATAAATAACGGAAAAAGTTAATACTTTCCGAGATAATGAGGGTCACATGATAGATTGATCACTCCGTATTTGTTTTTTGCATCATGGATTCTATATTCTAATAAATATTTAGGTATTTAAACCAAAGTGTTTTAAAAATTGTATTAAAGTAAAATGAAAGAAAGTTAATGAAAAAATAATAAATTGAAAAATATCTGTATGTAAGGATACTTTTCGTACGAAAGTGATTTGTTTAGGATAGGGGGAGGGTTAATTTTATTTGGCATAGGAATATCAAATTTATAGATCCACTTTAATATATAATAAACCAGTGATTTAAAGATTTTATCATTTAACAAAGTGTAACAACTATTAAAATAATTATTTCCTTAGTGTTTTTTATAAACATGAAAATGAGCATTACCTACTTTAAGTTATTTAGTATTTATCATATTACAGTTTTATAATCTATGCATTTAAAATAAATACATTTATATGCAACCTTATAATTCATATATTCGACAATAGCGCGTTTTTAAAATTATATGTTAGGGGTAATCATGTGTATGTGAGATTCATAATGAATAAATCACATGTCTATCTTTATTATGATTGGGAATAATACGCATTATCAAATGTGCAGTTCATATATTAATTCATAAAATGATACATGATAAATAAGATAAAAGATTTTTGGTGTTGTTAATTTTGTGATACTGTGTTTAGTTTTCTTTATTAAAATTTCCTGGAAAAACTTTAAAATAATTTTCCTGTTGTTGCCATACAGAAAGTCATAAAAGTCTCCTTTCCCTCTATCCCAACTATTTAGGATTAGCTACCCTCGTACTAAACTTCTATTTGACCCGATTCTCCAAGTCGTATACATCTGCTGTTCTCTTATCATTTTCAATCGTAACCAAATATCTCTTTTTTAGTTTTCGTCTTCGTTAGTCTATTTTATGTACTTGTTCCTTATTCCGGTTCCTTTTGTCATTCCACTCATCCAATTAAGTATTCTCATCTCGGCTACATTCGTTCTCTGTTATATTTTTCTGTTTACCGCCCAACATTTCGAATCATACAACATAATTATCTACACTACACTCTAGTAGAACTTACCTATTAGTTTCATTGGAATTCTTAACACTATTCTCGAGCAACCTTACATTCATACAGCCTCTCCGTCAATCACCTAAACCCGGGATGTTAGATTATTCCAGTCCAGTCAAAATAGTGTTAGAAGTCAGGTACAGAGCAGCTCAGTGGTAGGGTAATCGAGCGGCAAGATCTGGGTTCGATTTCCGGGCTCTGGCTGCCTAATTGTTTGTTATTTTCTATAGTTAGAAAAATTTAGATTATTCTGTTATGCGTTCTGTTTTAATATTCTTTATATTACGTTTTGTTTGTTTTAAAAAATAAAAATAAAAAATAATCATATTAAACTACAGTTATATTTGTATTTTATATTTATTTTAACGGTAGGTACACATTTTTAATAACAATAGTATCACTAAATTAATTATATACAAATATATTACCTATTATATTTGTTTATTTTCATTGTATTTTGATATCATTTCCTAGAAATAGTAACGTTTTTCTGATGGTCACTATTTCCTGTAATATATAATATAAATAGTATATTTATTGTCAAATTTTAATACTTACATTTTGTATGGTACCTTGTTTTATCTTATATTATTTATTTAATAGATTAAAACAACGAAAAATGGTAATAACCCATATAAATTAAAATATATATTTTTAGTCAAAATGACTACCTAACAAGAATTCCGATCAAATAAAGAGCTTAACGGGACTGTACGATGTCCAAATGGCCCTTACATTATTCATAAGCAATAACTAAACTTTAAATATTTAAAACATTTATAAAAATGATAACTATAATACAGAATAAACTCTTTAAAAATATTTAATAGGTTAGGTGGTTATTTTGACATACAATTTCATTATACTTATAATAGGTATGCAATATTATTATTTTAATATAAAAATAAAAAAGAACTGATACTGCTGATGAGTGCGCCACTGTTGTACCTAGATGGAAATTTAGGACTATAGGATACAAAAAATTATTTGATTTATATCTGTAAGTAACGATGAACCATTGCTAATAGTAACAATTCTGAGTGGAGTACAGTTAGACAAATTTTGAAAATTCGTAATATTTACGATTTCCATCAAAATTAAATCTTAAACAATTTTATTGTAAAAAAAAAAACTTATATTACGCTCAAATTTTTTTTTATCACGAATTTTTCCCGTTTTTTCCTAATTGTTATGAAAGCTGGTAGAGAATGAAAACGCCACTTTCTTAACTAAATTAAAAATTTAACAAACAATATTACTTTTAATATTTTGATTAAATTATGATTTCTGGTAGAAAAAATTGTGCGTGCAAATTTTAAATGAACGCCGTAAATTTGCCAATTTATATTTTATGTCTTTTGGTTTTCATAGTTATTATGAAAACCTTAGTTTCTCTTCTCTTTTTGAAATTCCTCACTAATAATATGTGGTCATTAATGCGACTATCGAATCAAGTACAATGTAGATACGTGCATGCGTGGCAACTACTCATTAATAATAATTATGATGACACATATGGCTACGTTTTTAAATTCACAATAATTAATGAATATTAAAAACTGGTTGAAGACGCGAATTTAAAGATGTAAAATAGTATATGAATATTTGGCCAAATAAAAATACAATTTGGATTATCAAATTTTCAATGAATATTAAACTTAAAATACAATGTATAATGAATTTGTTTTGAGAAAAAATGACCCTTTGGGGTCTTCAACATTTCAAAGCTTAGGGCACAGGCTCCTTGGCTCCAATCAAAAGTCGATTCTCCGGACTATTAGCAATTAGGTTGTTTTATTTATTAAAGTTTTGAAATTAAATCTTTACACTGTTAAATTAATAATCTCAAAACCAAAATGACCGGCATACTTGTGCGAGGTATGCAGCCACTGTTGGTGAGAAGTTGCGAGGTTGGATAAAGAGGGGGGAATTAATTTGTATCTGTAAGCTACGATAAACCATTGATTACTAAAAACGATTGTGAGCGGAGTTTAGTTGATAGTGATGCTTTGTCAACAATATATACACCATATTATAGTAAAATAATTAAATAGGCATTATATATTTTCTTTAATAATATTTGTTTAATACTGTACCAATTTACCCGTTTTTCCTAAGTTTTTCCCAGTTTTTCATATTTGCCGACCAGTGGAACATTTATATTTATATATAAATGCTAAAATATTTTGTATTAACTGGATGTCCCATTGCCATTATGTTGTTACGTGAAATCTTAATGTATTCAATTGCAGCCTAAATTATATAATACGAATCAATATTTATTTTTAGAAGTTGATATTTTTTTTTCATAAATTTCTTAGGCAAGGGTCAAAAAATTTTAAATTTTTCATATAGTATTCTGGCATGTCTCCCAAATATCTGTTGCCCAGGGCAAGTGCCCTCAAAACCCTCCGTAAAGTACGGTCTTAGTTTGGTTAACGCAGTAAGTTGGAGGTTTGAAAGGTAGAAGAATGGTATATGGCTATTTAATACACACTAAAAGTTACGACAAATCATTGTGATCAGAAAACAATTTTGAGCGTAGTAGTATTAATAGTACTGCAGACTGCAGTATAAGTGCTAGTGTTATAGTATTAATAGTTTTATCTTTGTACATAGCCATTCAGCTAAACCCGTAATCAATTAAAATTAAATCAATTTATCGAAATTTGATGTCAGTTTTTTTTTTTTTTTTTTTATACATTTTTTGAAATAAAGTACTACCCGAAAAAACATGAGTATATTTTAAGGATATACGGCACGCGAAAATCGAACCATTTTCAAAAAAACAACATATCTCAGTAAAACTAAGACACCATCAGAATCTAAAAAAAAAAAAAAAAAAGAATAATAATTCTTTTCCCTTATTATTGTTGGGTTTTTATTTAAAAACAATATGTGTTTAGCTAATCGTGTATAATAATAATCAAATTATGTAAAAATGTACGTACGACATTTACCAGCTAAATATATATAGTTATATCATTGATTATAAGTACCAGAAAATACCTATAGGTGTACGTCAGTAATTACAGTATTCATAGTCAATTGTTATGTTATACACATATAAATTTCAAGATTAATCGTTTAATATTAGTTTTATTATATTACGCGAGTAAACAAAATAATTATTAATGTATATATTATAACTAAAATATAGGTATATAATAAATAGTATTATCAATCTTCTTTTCATTTTCTTTTTTTATTACATTTTATCCGAATTTATTCCCACGACAATTAAATAAATAAATAAATAAATAAATAAATAAATATAAATATATTTATATATATATATATATAGAAAAAAACGTATAGATATATATATGTATACATAAAAAAAAAAAAAATTTGAAATCGAAAAACGAGAAACCGAAGGAAAATATAATATTATTATTAATATACGTAGTCCGGCTCGTAGTTATTAATAATAATAAAGCGAAAAATATTATACAATATTATATATAGATATAAATAAAAACACGATAAAAGAATAATAATTTAAAATACATTATAATAATATTATGATTTTTTTTTTTTATTTTCAATTATATGCGATTATTCTTAAATGGAAAAACTAAATTATTAAAAATTTTACATTGTCAATTATTAACTCGTTTCTACTATAAAGCACCATCTAGAACCGAAGTAACATTGTGGGCGATCTTGTTTATATTATTTTTCGATAAAGGTTATCAACAACGTTGTCAGTAATGCGTAAAGACTGCGTCAACAAGGAAACGTCAGAAAAAAAATTTAAAAATAATACCGTTCGACTTCCTTAATAGAATCAAAATTTTTACACCAACTCCTGTGATGTGGGAAACCGTACAAAATTTCGTTAGTTGCTTTGTCGAAGACACTAATGTCGACAATTTTCAAAGAAAAATTGCACACGATTTATCGCCGACAATGCGGAAATCGCACAGTATTGCTTTGGTTTTGGATGGAGCTTAATAATAATAATATGATGTAGGTATAAAACGAAACAAACATTATACATAAAAATGAAAATCTAAAAAAAAGTACCAAATTGTTCACAATTATATTAAGTTTTGTTTCTATTATTTTTAATGTACATAATTACGTTTTTTTTTTTCAAATATATGTATCGTATATATAATTTACCTATGCACTTTATTTAATGATAATATAATATGATATTATTATAGGTACGTTTGTTTTACGTTACAACTGTGGCGAGACTGCAGCTGTAAACAGCAAGACGAATCGTTTACAGTTAACTTATTGCACTTAAAATCATAAAAAATCGTTTAAAAACGTCAAAAAAGCCCTTGAAAAATTTTAAAAAGCAAAAACGAGAAAAGGGTTTATATTCCCCCCCCCCTTGACGGCTTTAACTTATAAAATTAAAATTTTTAACGCTAAACAGATTATTAACCCAGTTTTTTATTTTTATAATACGTACAATTTTATTTAAAGAAAATAGTTTTTTGTTAATAATTTGTGTCGTGGTAGACAATTATATTTAATAATTTAGAGTCATTATACAGACGACATTTAAACTAGTTCTGTTCGGTATAGACATATTTTGAAGACCGGTTGATCGAGTTCAATCTTGCCGATTTCGGTTTTGACTGAATTTAACCGGTTTCGGTTAGTTTGATTAAGACTGAAATCATTAACAATTTTAACTTTTGATAAGGAAAGAGATTATGCAATTTTTAATTAAATAAAATATATTTTAATTTTAAACAAATACATTTAATCATCAATTTTTGACTGAATTCGATCCAGACCGATTTAAACCAATGGCAGTCAAACCGGTCAGAACCGGTTTAGTTGACAGGTTCATAAAAAAACTAGGCTGACTGACCAGCATTACTTTGAACCCTTCTACCATTTGGTCCAATAATATTTGCTTGAAGTGCTTTTTTCGAAGCTTTTTTGACATTTTTAAATTCCTTTTTGTGAATTATAAGTGCGATAAGCCCCAAGCTCTAGTAATTAATAGTTGTTTTATTGATAAAGTATACATTACTTGTATTAATAATATAAATATTGGTTTTGCAAAAAATGACCAACTATTGAGGTTTTACACCCAATATTTGATTTTCACATGTGTTCGATTAAATGTCTAATAACAATACGATTATTTTAACATATAAATAAATAAAAGAAAACACCTATTATGATAAATTACAGATAAATTGCAGAGTACAAACACGGATCGCACTCTTGGTAAACACGGATAAGTAACAAGTATAAATGTAGGCAGAAATCATAAACGATTGACTGTGCTGGAAATCGAGCGATTGAAAAAAGATTAACAAAAGAAAAAAAAAAATTATTAAAATTAATTCACCGAGGCAACCCGATACCGGGTGTGTACGCGTATTGTAATTCACCGTACGTAACTGGGCAATCGGTTGGATGGCATACACGTTTCCGGTTGGACCTCCATTGTACGGGGCTAGGAGGGGTATGGGTTATCGAGATCAACCTTCACGGAAAACGTATAGGGCACGTATAATAATATACAATATTATTGTCGAAGCACACACGTTATCAAACTGTACCGTAATATTCCTCCAACGCCGTATAGCGCGTGGTCGTCAGACGAACGGTCTGTACGGGTGACGGTTGCCGACGACGACAACGCCGCAGTCACCGGTGCTGGCGAACATACGTCAAATGGACGATCGTGGCTGCGTCGGGACGACACGCTGTCGGCACTGGTACGGATCCGCACCCGACGCCGTCGACTGGTACGAATCGTAGAACGTATCTAGCTGTATGATGTTCTGCTCCTCACAATCGTCGTCGTCACCATCAACGTCGCCGATGCCGCCGCCATCGCCATCGTAGATGGAACCGGAAGCGTAGTAACGCGGCGGCGAACTGGATCGGTACACGTCGTTCCGGCTTCTCGAGCACGTGCACGTGCACACGGATGCGTTGTCGGGCGGTGATGACAATCCCCTGACCCGGCCCATCGCCGACGTCATGGTACCCGTGGGCAGGCTGGACACGGACCCGTGCGCGGTAATCACATCGCCGTCCAGACGGACTGCCCCCTGGGCAGCCTGTAAAAAAAAAAAAAAAAAACGGAACGGAACGGTAAATCAGTGGGTATCGATTAAATCCGTACATTGAGACGTATTTTTATTGAACGGTTAAAGTGTGTTAAGAAAATAATTCAGTCACATCAAAATAATATTAACGTTAATAATATTAATAATATTAATTTGCGTCATGAGTAGACCACCGGTGTAAATGGGAAGTTAGGCTACATGAGTACAGATTGATTAATTTGGGATACTGGCATCGAAAAAACAATTATGAGTGGAGCAATTGCTAAAGTTATAGTGTTAGTCACGTTTTTTACTTTGTGCCCAAGGTAAACCAGATATCAACAAAAATAAAATCGTTATTTATTAGGTTTTTTTTTTTTTAGTATTTTAGAATAACTATTGGGATTTCAAACATTTTCAAGTAAATTACCGCAGGGGAAAATCTTTATAATTTAGGTATACTGTGTACATAAACCAAAGTATTTTACTAATTTGAAGTTTTATTTTCTTATTTCACGGATGAAAATATTGAAATTTATTTTTATCAACATTTACAATTCAAATTTATGTTAAAATGCGTTAAAACACTAACAATTAGGGGCATATCAGTTCGATCAGTTGATCGGTTGATTAGCTCAATCAAAGATAGAGGTGGGAGTAGTTTAAAAATTGCAATACACCACAAAATATCACGCGGGGTTTCCTATTTAGCAATATTTATACTTTTTTTTTTATAATTTCTCTCCTAGTCAATTAAAAAAAAAATATAGTTTGTGGGTATAAATTAAAATTAATGTCATAAAAAAATTTAAAAAATGTATACACATATAGTATACATTATTTTATGGTCAAAAACAGAAATCGAGTAAATCTCAAAAATGCTCAGAAATGTGAAAAATTGAAATTTATGGACGTTACAGTTTTGCCTTAAGAGGTTGTTCACTATTAGATTTGTATAGACAAAAGTCGAAATATGACATTTTATGACGTCTTTCCCAAATATCGTGAACATTTTGTGTTTTGTGTAAATATTTCTAAGTTTTGCACAATTTCGGATTTTACCTAAATGACCACAATAAATATAGATATATCCATAACAAATAATTAAACACAAAAATATTTACAACAATTTTAAAATAATATTAATCTTTTTTTTCTCCTATAAACTAATCTCTGACTACTGCTTAGACATTCACATCGATATCATTATATGTATTAAAGACAATAATTGCTTTAGTTCTATCGTTGTCACTACTTTTTGGTAACGCTGATAAAAATACCCAAGAAATAATAAATAATGGCTTGCTCATGGCGTGAATTTGGTATCTATGCCGGCTTTTTATAATTTGTTTTATTATTGAAATCGACCCAAATTATTAACAATACTTGTCCTAAAATTATGTATAAATTCATGCCCTTTTTTACCAAACCACGCTTGACCATAGGTACCTATAAAATATGTTTGAATCCGTATTAAAGAATAGGTAATAAACGGGTTTTTTATTACATTGATAAAATGTTTTTATTTTTTATTGTTACCTGATGATTGCCGAAACATGTTACATAATATCATTACAGTAATACTCGTGGCTTACACATTATTTGTATTCAATATAATATTTTTATGTTCATGTTACTACTTGGTTAATCGTTTAATTTAAAAATCTCGATCTCCATCTTGAACTATATTGACGTAAAGCTGAGATCAGAAAGTATACATATGGATAAAAACAATGGATTATCTATACGGGAGGCGTTCTCAAATTTTATTGAGGGAATGGGATCTGGAAGAGAAAAAAAAAGGTAACTATAGAAAAACATTGAATCCCGCCCGTTCGGAAAGCTTATAAGCATAGGTACTGTTATTTTTTTGTTTGGAATAAAGCTTTTGCTCTTAAATCTTTTCTACAAACACTGTATAATATCGTATACCTATCCATAACGACGACCACGACATCGGCATAAATCTGTTTTTTATAATCTCTATAACGATACCTACTCGCAAACAGAGCGATAAGTTATACCCATATAGCGGGCTGTTTAAAAAATCGATTTTTTTTTCTCATTATTATCCTCTGCTATGGCAGAGCATAATAATAGGTAATAATAATTTATTATTTAAAGATTTAATTTAATTTAAAAAACGAACACTCGTGATGGCCGTTAATCCGGTATCGAAGGAGGGGAATTTCAATCATCTTAGTATTATAATATCTTATTATTTTGATTATTCGTTGTGATTTCATAAATAGGTACATATGAAATAACCCGTATTTGGAAAGACTGTCATAAGATACTTACTTTGGTAAGTAATCCGGAAATCAATATAAATAAATCTAATATGTATATCAGAATTTGTTTTCGGTTTTCTTTTAATTTTTAGAAAAACTATGGGGAATCAGAAAAAAAATGTCTCAAACATACAGTACCCCAGGCAAAATACCTTTTAAATTACCATGTCGAAAAAATACAGATCTTCATAAAACTTCTTACACTAGAAATATAAAATTATAGTTAAAATTTAACGAACAATATAACTTCCATTAACAAATTCAATTTAATAATATTAAATTAAAAAGGTATTCAACCGAACATAAAACTAAACAACAATATTAATCATATTTTATAAATTGGATTAAAACGTTAAATTATAATATATGCAACTCATCGTCCTTTTATAAAAAAGTTAAAATTACCATTCTACTCGTATATTTATGTACTAATTTTTTAATCCGTTCTGTTTTATGTGTGCTGTATGTGGGTCTCTTTATGTGTATCTTGAATCGTTCATTCCAGACATGTACCATTCAAATTTATTTTATTTAATCCGAATGTATTATTGCTGAGGTACAGTACTCGAATAAATCGTCGATATTACACACTAATCTACTTATTAAACGGATCCATTCAGGGGAAAAATATGTAATGCGCCGGTGAACAAATGGAACTCCCAGGGACCGAAGAAAATTTTCGTACGAATTTCCTATATAATATCATTTTTCCGATTAAATAAAACATTTCAAACAAACAGTTCAAATAAAATATTATATTCTGAACACAGTTGTAAAACAAGGGTGCTTGCTTTTATTAGTATTGTTTAACTGCTATTACAAAGAGAAAAGTATAAAGAGGTTAAAGAAAAACTAAACAGACTCGGTATGGGGTCAAAGTGGGTGGTATATTGATTTCAATTATTCGATTTGCAGACGACATAGTGCGATCAAAACACAACCTACAGAGAACTCTGTTAGAAATGGAAACGGTAATAAACAAATATCGTATGTATACAGTGTATACAAATGAGTATTGAAGATCTATTTAAGAATCCAACTTGCGGAGTATATACATTTAAGTATTAAGGTGGTTCAATAGCAATAGGTGGACGATATAATACGTATGAAACTAACACGTAGAGAATTGAGCAAGATAAAATCAGTTTAAAAAAAAAAAGATTTTGGTCCTAAAGAACATATGAGTAGAACAATAGAGAAGCTGATATATTTTGACAACTATTGTGTGTAGTGTAGCTTTTTATGGTTGAGAGGCATGCATTATTGATTGAGTGAAAAAAAAAAAAACATCTTGAAGCATTTGAAATGGTTTTTGGAGATGAACAGTAAAAATAAGCTGAACGGATGAACCTAACCAATGAAGATATTTGATCACAATTGAAGAGACGAAAGTAATGAATATCAACGACGATGATATATGATAGAACATGATGTACTAGGTACGCCACGGTGTAGAATTACACCATATCATAATTGAAACTGAAATTTATTGAGGAATGGAAACCCCCAGGAAAACCGAGAAATCCATGTATATCGCAAAAAAGGGATAGACACTTACGTCAAGATTAACAAACTATTACAACCTGGAATTATGTTTTGCCGTTATTTTCTATAATTTTATCATTAGAGCCAAGAGAACCATGTCCTAAAAACCGTAAATATGTATACAATTATGCCATACAAATTACCAAAAAATGTTCTTACAGAAAAAAAAACCTAATAAATTCAAATAAAATTAAAATCATACGTAGATAGGATGTAGGTACGATAAAGTATATAGAAGACATCATGTGACATATTATTGTACGATTATCTAACCATACCGATGTACATACAATACATCGAATAACCCATATCAACTCATTTGAGTGAAACAAATTAATAAGTATTTTTTCTAAGATTGACCGATATTTTGGGATTCTCGATTCATCGAGATGAAAATGTCTTAACAACATATGAAATCCTAAATATTCTCTTAAAATGTACGAAATCTTTGAAATATTATTTAAAAATGCTCACAATCTTAAAATACGCCTTAAAATCCTATAATGTCATTTATACAAAATAAAATTGTGTATTAATAAGACTCGTAGGGTTATGAAATACATTTTGGTATTAAATCATTTTTTGACCAACCAATAACAATATGCAAATGTGTAAAAAAAATGTTGACCCTAGTTATCATTATATTTTAATTAATTCCCTTTATAGGGTGTTATATTAATTTTTATTTACCTATGATAAAACGTTAGAGAACAAAAAATGCGTGCAGACCAATATTCTATTTTTATTTTTATGAAGTAGTTATGATAACTGCAGTAATATGAGACTATAGTGTATATATTATATACTGTGCAAAATAACGATATTATTTCTTATCGACCAAAAAATAATATTATTCGAAACTGTAACGAAAGGTCATCGTTGTTAAGGGGGGTTTATTTTATGTTTATTACGTGACACTTGAAATTGCATACACGAACACGGTATAATATATTGACCTTTTTTTTTGACCGACATTTTTACTTTTAACCCTAAATATTGAGTGACCAGAGAGATCGGGTTCCATCGCGAATGTATCATATTATTATTATATTATATTTTATACACACACTCGCAGGTAATTGGTTTTATTCGGTCCTGGCGACACATATAACATTACATGTGTGTAGCTTATAAACACGAGAATTCGACCCGTATGGATGAATAGACGGAACTGTACACACGAAGTCTATGCAGTGGCGACGAGAAGTAGTATATTTGAATCACAAATTCACCAAAAAAAAAATTTGTGGATACCTGGCCGCTTAGGTGTTCAGAAATAGGTATTATAATACAAATTATTATGGTTTTACAAAATAAAATATTATACCTATGATAAATGTTTAGTATTCCTTATAGTACAATAAACAAATAAAACGTATAGGTTTTAAGTAAGTTTTCTGGATACCTACGTCAGTGATTATATACACACTTTTTATGGTTGAAATGTTAAAATAATATTTTATATTATAGTTATATACCTATTATAGTTTATATAGTTGAAAAAAGATATTAGAAGTATTTTAAACCAGTGGCTTAATTCCGGGAGGGGGCAGGCCTGTAGACACGAGGGAAATGGGGGAATTGCCTCTCCTGGACCTAATAATTGCCTCCCCAACAAGTATTAAATGTCTATATGTAGCGGTATGTTATGGTTTAGTAGTTTCCCCTAAAATTTGGTTTGCTCCACTTGATGATTTGGTCTGGTTACGGGCCTGGAAAGGAGGGGCTAAAGGTAACTTGTCTCCCCAGGCTCTTAAAAAAAATGTATTTTATTTCATAACAATATTTGAACTTCAATAAAAGTTATTATCACAGTTATTAACAGGCATGTACAACTTCAGTATTTCAGTATTTTAACATTTGATAGTCACTATCGCATGTTACACACTATTAAATAGTGTATTAGTGTGTAAACCATACTGCCGTTTTTGTCGAGACTTGCATTTGTTTTTTATAGCTACATTCTAATACTAACTATAGTTTTTAGCTTACAGACAAGGTGTGGTAGGGTTAAAATATTTTTAGTAGTTAGGTGTGTGGAAAATAAAATTAGTAATATAAAATAAAAACATTAATTCAATTTATGTTCATATTTAATCAACGATAAAAGTACTTCGCGCTATCATTGAGTATATAATACCTACCTATACGTTTGTGAATTCTCCGTGTACGCTAAATATTTGTACGTAAGTAATATTTATTACGTGTTTGGATATTAAAGTATATTATTATATACTCACCGGGACCACGATATTTTGATTATTATATTTCCAATTAACTTGTACAATCATACATTTTTTTTAGATTTTTTTCGTAATGATATTTTGTTATAGGATTTTATAGGATTTAATGAAAAATCTGTATTTTATAATAGATACCTATGAATAAAAACTTGTTTTTTGTTATTACTGTTATTGTAATACATATACACAGAGCACAACCTAATAAATAATTATTATTTATTATATTGATTACAATAAACGATGACAGCAGCGAGGTAGCTATGTGAAAACAATCCCTCTATGATGTTGGTTATAGGTACTAGGGAAAAAAAAGGTACAACCCATGTATGAACTGTTGTTTGGTTTCAAATAATTTTGAAATAATAACACTGACTAACAAAGTATTTATTTATGGTCAGCAAGTTAAGAATTCTATAAGAAAATTCGCTGCTGATTCCAAATCTGATCTCAGATTTGTATGATTCGCTTTTATTTTTGAAACAATCACTTATTCTTAAAAAAAATCATAAATTGTATAGGTAGTAGATATAGTACTTAGTTAAATTTTAAATTATTTTATTAAAATTTATTTTCCCCCTTAAATATAAATTTATTGTGTTATTAAAAAAGTTGTGTAAAATTTGAAAATGATTTGTTAAATTTAATTAATTTTCCTGGCCCTCCAAAATTGAGTTAAATAGTTATTTATTAAAAAACTAAGCTAAACTTTTCACTATAGCTTTATTTTAGATTAATAAAGAGGATAAAGAACCTAGTTTAGAATAAATTGAAATTGCCATGAAAATGGTTAAAAATAATAAGGCAACAGAGAACGACGAAATAGCATTGGAATTATTAACAAGTGAAGTAGATTATTAAAAGAATTATGGACAAAGGAAAAAATACCAGAAGATTGAAAAAAATCAATTATATGCATATCTATAAAAAAAAGACCCAATGGATTATAGGAATTATTAGGAATATTCTTAATATGTACGACGTATGCAATTCTATCTAACGTTATTCTCAACTGCCCAAGACCATATACAGTAGATATTATAGGAGACTACCAAAGTAGCTTCTTAGTGAGAAAGTCGACAGTTGATCATATACTAATGATTAAGTCACTTGTAGAGAAATTAAATACGATATTACATCTATTATTCCTGGATTTTAAATAAGCGTAAAATTCGGTTAAAAGAGAAGCCTATGAAAAGATCAGGAACTTTTTGACATACCAGCCAAGTTAAATGTAATAATCAAAATGTGTATAGAAACAGCAAGATACAAAATAATGTTCAGACAAACACACTCTAAAGAGTTTAAAACCACGGATGGATTAAAGCAAAGTGATGTATCCTCTCCAATACTTTTTGACATCACACTGGAGGTGATAGCTCGAAGTATTAAATATAAAGGAATTGATGTTGAAAAATCATTAACTATATTAACTATAATGTGGGGAAACTGAAGACGATATAAAATTAACAATGGAAGAATTAATACGAAGTGGCAAAGAAAATAGGATCTAAAATAATCGAAACAAAACCAAGTATATATAACAAAAGAACAATCACAAAGACATCAAATAAGGATTATACAAATTGGAGAATACTATTTTGAAAAAGAACATAGTTTTAAGTAATTGTGCACGGAACTAAATAGCTAAAATAGTAATCATGAAAAAATTAAGAAACTTATTTAACAAATAATAGGCACTTCCTTGCACTACCAAGTGCCTGGGCTCAAAGCTATTATTAAAGAAATCAAAAATGAGACTGTAGAAAGTAATAAAAAGACTTATCATAACTTTGCATGCAAAACGTGGCCATCAACTTTAGAGGACAAGAGAAAATTAGCAATAGTAGAAAAAAACTTTCTGGACCGAAATTAAATAGTTCAACACAGATATGATATGAAATAAGATCAAATGAAGAAGTATGCAACACCATTGAAGAACCAAATATAACTGGGGTAATTAGAAGTAATTAGTAGCGTAGTTTCGGGGGGGAGGGCGGAGATATCCAGGGTCTCTAATCCACCTAGAAGAAAAAATGTATTTCAAAAGCCATAAATGACTTGCTACGAAGGTATAGAGAAAGAGAACATTAATTTATACAGGGTGAATTTTTTCATCTCAAGAGAAATTGTAATGGGAGTATCCTCGTGGAATACCTTGTATAATATATAATAATAGACCCCTGGTACACATCACTATTAATTTGAGTACTTAAATGTAATGGAAACAAGAGGTTAGGGAAAAATTCGACTCCAGTGACGAAACTTTCTGCTCTGCTGTTCACGAGTGTTTTTAATTTTTTTAATTTTTGCGTTGTTTCCCGCGTAGTAAAACTCAAACACGACACATTTTTAAATAATATAATAATGATATTATAGTTGTAACTGTGTATACTAATAAGTTGAGTTGTCTACGTCGAAATGTCGAATATATTGCCGGGTAACATGCAATCGTATTATTATTATTATTTTATAATATAATATTATCATAACAAATTATTATTATCGCGTCTCCCTTGTAAAATATAATAACTGTATTGTACACTGTGTCGATTATAGTATTTTAAATACGCACATTATATTATTATTATACACAAAATGACAAGCTGGACGTATGTGGGATACAGAATGTGAACGAAATAATGCAGCCATATTATATTACATGTACACTATACGTTGTATAGTGTGGGCGTCGACTATTTTTGCCGGAGTAGTGCATACACATTTCATAATTAAAACGATAATACGCATAATAATATAGTTCTATTTTTTGTCGTTTTTTTTTCAGTTTTCGAATGGAGCAAAAAGAAATCAATACGCTCTCTTCTAACAGGAAAATAGGTAATGATAATTACGCTCATTAACAATATATATTTACTTGGCATGTATGAAGTTGCGAGGAATTCAGGGGAGGGGTAAGGGAAGCTCCTAGTTATATACTTAAAGGGGCCACCTCCGAAACTGTTTAAATAGTCCTGAACCGGTCAGTGCTATACTTTTTACGTTCAAAAACTATCTTCCCCCGTTTTCGCCACTACTCTTTACTGCTCAACTAAAAATTGATATTCCTTTCCTAGGTTTTAAAATTGTTGAAACTTCTTTTCTTAATATTTAACACGATAAATGCCATGAGATTCAGATGGTGGTCTCGCTCTCAAATGCCTTTGACGAAACTGCCCCATGAAAAACTCATGGATTACTTGTAATCATTTTGAGAAGAAAAAAATGTATATTTGTATATTTTTACGCACTAGGTGCCCAAAAGAACAGTAAGTAACACAATATAAAAGTACATTAAATTACGACAATATATAGAAATAATGAAACATAGTGAAAAAAAAAAATAGTATAACATAATCAATTGTGGCAGACAAAATAATATTAAAAACAGGTAACGGTAATGAACCAAAAAACTAATATAATAAAAGAAACTAAGAGAAACTTAGGTGCTCATTAGCCAGACGCATCATACGATAGATGGGATTATTTTTACCATAGTTGGTGTGGTGTAGCATCTGTGTGTCAATCACTGATTGACTAGGAATTCTGAAATATATTAAAGAAAGGAGAGAAGAAGCATCCAGACGACCATCAATCAACTTACGCAAAAATACCAAATTTTCTTCGACTCTTTTATTTGCTAAAGACGTGAGACCAAGTTTATTCATTACTGGGCTATAATCACGAGGTGGATGAGGAATTTTTAAAATGAAAAAAGCAGAAGAACAAAAACGTTTCTGGACTCGCTTAACAAGAGTCCACTGCAGCATATGGGTCCCATTATTGACTAAATGATAAAGAATTTTAAAAAAACTGATGAAACTCCGTAGTATCTATATTGTAAAAACTTTATTTTTAGTAATATTTATATTTGTAATTATATTAACAATGATGCAATGTTAACTTGTTATACTGTTAAAATTTACTGGCGTAACACAATGTCAGAGGAATATTTATTATTGGAAATGAGAATACTATTCAAATATGATGTACCTAATAGGTAACTAAATATTTTTAAAGTAAGTCATACCTAATAAATTCGTAGCTCTCCTATATAAATTTTAAAAATTTTTCTCTGAAATTACCTATCACTATTTACTTAAATAACGCACTAAGGATTAGTAGAAGTATACTATAGAGTATGAGTTTGGAAGAACGGCACAAACTATTGGTAACAAGTGGTTACGTAATAGGGAGGTTTAGATTTTTACGTTCCTGGGGTCTTTTGTTTAAAAGAATAGTGGCTTTGGTGAGGATTAAGTGTGTTTGGATAACGTAGAGAGAAGCGTTAGGTGTTTTATATGACACGAGGGTTTCAATGAGAAAGCGCGTAAAAAAGCCGAAAATATTTCAGCCGAGCGGTAATTTAGACGAAAAATATTTATTACTCGAAAAATGTTTATCCAAACCGTATTTTAGCCGACACATATTTTATTCGAACCATATTTAAGCCAACAAATCTCCCTCCACTACAACCATCGCTACAAACAACCGGTGCGCGCATTCACTACTAGGGCGCTCTGCTTTACCTAATCTGCAGTCCACAACGTGCAATTACTTACGTTACTGTTGTGTTGAAGTGTTGGTTGTAGTGGAGGGGGATTTGTCGGCTGAAATACGGTTCAGATAAAATGTGGTTCGGATTATTTATTTGTCGGCTTAAATAACATCGGATTAAATATTGTCAGCAAAAATGCTGTCGCCAATAATATTTTTGGCTAAAATATATCCTCTCTTCAAACTACACTTAAAGGTAAGTTTTACTAGATTATGGTGAGATCAAATATGGTGTATAGGTCAGAGTATTGGAAAGAAGACAGAAAAATAAAGCAGATAATGAGTGTAGCAGAGTTGAGAATGATTAAGTGGATGAGTGGAGTGATAAGAGAAGATAATATAAGGAATGAGTAGGTATATATGAGATAGCTTAGGTGTGGCCGTGTTAGTGGAAAAAATGAGAGAAAATAGAATTAAATGGTTTGGGCATGCTAAGAGGAGGGATGAATCAAAATCAGTAAGGATTATAATCAAAAGGATTAATAGAAGGAAAGAGGAGGAAAGGAAAACTAAAACAGAGGAGGTTTTGGATATGATTAAAAATGATATGAGGATGGCGGGTGTATGTGAGAACGATGTGGGTGATCTGGTAAAACGCAGTATTGTTAAAGTTCTTTTTAAAAAATAATTCGTACCCGTTCCTCATTTCTACTATAAAAAAAGTTCATGTAAGCGCGATAATTGTTTTTTTTTTCATGAATACCTAATGCATACCAAAATAATCTTTTTATATTCTTGATTTGAAAATAATAATATCAATAATAATTTGCTTAGAAGTATTCAAATATATTGTATAATTAATTTGGCATTGAGGGTTTTCATTTGTTACTTGTGTAGATACCTAGTTTTCTTAAAAAAATGAATGTGAAATGAAAATTGAAATTGTGAAAATGAATGAAATTATTCTTACTTCTTAGAATTGACATGTTCAAAATTTTAATAAACTAGATTAAATTAATTTCCTTGTTAAAAACAAAAAAAATAAAATATTTTCGTTCCTATTCATTTAAAAAATAATGAAATTAATTCCTTTATTTGTTCCTCTAAAAAGGAATCAATTCCGGGAATCGTTTCTTTAGGAAAGCGTTCCTTAACAACACTGGTGAAATGGATATTTAGGATGATGGTGACCAACCTTAAATAGTTGTCATGAAGGCGAAGGTGAAGAAGACGATAAGATATTATAATAATAATAATAATAGATAAAAATGTATAATATATAGTTATCGTTTCATCAATTATCTTATTAATGGTATTAAAATATTTAAGTATACTATTTTTTTCTTTTATAGCGTTGAAAATGATTTAAGAATGTTTTATTTTTCATTGACGCGTCTTGTATAGTTTTACCACCTTCAGTATATACTTTCTCCCAGGCCACCAATTATTATGATCGTAGCCGAAATACTTCGAAAAGTTCACTCGAAGAACCGTTCGAACATAGAAAAGCGAGACGATTTAAATTAAATGATCGGTCATGCTAACTACATTTGAAGGGAAAATTGGAAAAGTTATCATCGCCGGGGACAGCAGATGGGCATTTGAGGGCCACAGTCGGCCCGAGACAATTATACCTAATAATAAAAAGAAGTGTTTATGTGAGCGTAATGTAAAGCTAAATCTTTGAAATGCGTAGATTTGAAAATTTAAACATAGCAACAGGTTGACTGCAGAAAGGTAGGAGCATTGATAAGATTCCGAAGTGGGATTTTCAAATTTAAATTAGGTACCTATCTACTATAAAGCTCACATTTGAATTTTATAATTTCTGGTAAATTAGTCTCCTTTTCTAAAATCAGTCATGTATTTCTAAAAAAAAATGATGACCATACGGTAGTAACAGAGATATACTATCACATATCCGTGTATCATAATATTTTTAGCACGTATACGCTGAATAAAAAATTAGTGAAGCGAGTATACGCCATACAGTTACTTCCTCATGACCCCCCCCTTGGATTGATCCACCATTGTCTAAAATACTACTCAAATATATTCTAATATACGCGATAATATTTATAATAGTATATCGACTTTACTTGTAATGCTTCGGCCTCATCCCGTCTCTCGTCTTCCGTGTTCATCGTGACGAACCTGAGCACCAACAAGTCGAGCGACGCGGCTACGACGGCCAATCCGAACAGAATAAATATTAACGTAAACGCCACGTACTCGAGTTTATCGTTTAGTGTGTTGTTTTTCTGCAAGGCCACCATGTCACCGAACCTGCCAACAAATTTGAAGGTTAAAAATCTATAACGAAATGTCTTATTTTTTTTTTGTCCCATATATTATAAGCACTTGTAGAGCTCTAAATGTGTCCCCTTCCTCGACTCTATAGTGACGTTTTGTAAGCGTATACAATTATCTAATACCGCTCCCTCATCATATAATATCAGTTTAATGGCCCGTGAGTATCTTTAATCTATTGCATTTTGAATTAGCCTCAAATATAAATACTGCAATAAAAAAACTTTTGCCCAAATGTTTACTAGTTCAGTACCCATATATCTACGGTATTGGTTACATAAACTAAGTTTGGAGTTTAAACTCATAATGTAGATTAATACGTAATACACATTAACCCCAGAATTGGTACAATTAGTTTAAGTATATGCAATCATTAAAGACCGAATTTAATTTGGTATTGCAACTTTTTTTTGCAATAAAAATAAATCAGATCTAATTAAATATACAGCCGATACATTCAAAAATAACGAATATACGAGATAACTCGTAAGGTCTGAAATAAACACAATTCGGATAGAAAATAAATTATATATTTCGTTATTTATATTGTTACCCATTAAAATCCATAGGAATTTTCAAATTAAAAGGGAAAAAATATAGGTATATTTTTAATTGAATGTTTTATTGGCTATTGATTGATTCTTAGATGTATATGAATGTTTCCGGGGTAAGGGCTCGAATAGGTGAAAATCTATTGAATATAATATATGGACTTCTTTTTCAACTGTATAAATGTAATAACATCTATATTCGGTAGATTCAATTATAGTCTCGGGAAAATGCTGATTTCATTGTAACAAGATAGATATAAAAAAAAATCGTATCAATAAAGTATATAGTATTGTTAGAATTTAGATTTAATTTTGAACAACGACGTAAAATAATAATATATTTTTGAACCGATACCCATGTAGGCGTAAAAAAAACGTCTGTAAATAAAACGTATATGTATTATATTTTGTGGGTAGGTACCTACCTTACTGTAAAAATGTTCATTGAACAAAATAAAAAACATATTAACGAGTCGTGTTTTTTTTACCTATATTATATTCGTATACTTAACGATTTTTATTTCCGTTATTTTATTTTCGTACAACAAAAAATCGAGAAACGATCTATATATTTTTTTCGAAACAATATAAACCTTATCCTGTTTCCACCAGACTAGGTACCTAATTCTTTTTTCCGCCAAAAGGTTGAAGCATTTTTCTTTTCTTGCTACCGCTACAAAAACATACGCGAACTACATATTATACTATAATATATACAGGATGTGAAGATAGAAAGTTGATACGTCAAAATTGGCAGATGAATAAACTCTATGAAATGTCTACCTTCAAATCTAAAAATGAAAAATCTAATCAAATGCTATCTTCAAATTTTTCAAAAATAATAAAATAAAAAGTTATTTTTTTAAGTTTTTTACTAAATATATATAAAAAAAATTGAAGTATAAATATTTGTAGTCCCCCAGTGTATATTATAAAATACCAGAATTATCTTTATTATCTCTGGAAATACCATACTGGGTATATCTTCGTGGGACACCCTGTATTATGCTTACCTGATACGTATATACAAGTATCTGATTGAACAAATATTCGAAATATCAAAAATATAATACATTTACGAAATCGTCAAAAAATATATAAAATATATATTTAACTAAAAGTGCATAATAATTTCAAGAGGAAAATAAATTAATCAAATTTTCTCAACATTCAATTTTTTGGAAATATATTTCAGTGATAGTTTCCTTCGTTAAAGTATGACGCATCAACAGCGAATGTGTACCTATAGTCAAATAACACGAAAGTTCGTCGTCATATCGCGATCGCATGTATTCCATTATAATGATTAGTTAATTACATCTATAGTTATACATGTATATTGTATATTGTATATAGGACATAGGTACTTGACACCTTTTTGTTTAATTTATAAATGTTTCATGTGTCTAGTGACATTAATTTTTCATTATTATAATGTTTTTTAATTTGGCAAAACAAAAAATTGTTTTATGCTTTGATGCGTATAATTAAAAAAATGATCTAATAATGAAATATAAGTTTTTTTTTATTAATTGTAAGTAAATTAGCCAATTATATAGGAAGTGTTCGGGCATGTTTCAGGCGACAATCGAAATTAAAATATACCTTTTAGGAACTGCATATATGCAACCAGGATAAAAGACACTTAACTCACTATACGGGTACGCCGATTCGACAAAGCCTCTTAAATCGAGACGCAAGTTTTATGCATAGTCTAATAATAGCATAAGAAAAGCATATGGCGTAGAAAAAAAAGAATAAATCATGAGCATCAGAAAGCCATACAGCAAGAAAAATCACGAAATTACGAAGTATGCAGATTGGATAACACTATTTAATCAAGAGCAGATTTAGCTAGAACAACAAACAAATGACTAAAATTACGGAAACAGAGATGTGTGATACGTTTGTTCTGTTACGCATTCTAGATGAAAACCATTTTAAGCAATTGGAATGAGTAGAAATGTGGAATGCCAGAATGGTGAACAATGGAACCTAAATACGAATAAATAGACAGGTTTTTCAATCTAAATGCGTGATCCAAAAGAGTGATAAATTATTAGACCAAAGAGGAATTCAAGCTGACTGATACAAAGTTAACGAAGTTACTAAATACATTAGGTGCATTTTATATTTTAGGATATGCACTTTAATATTAAACCGTGTTTTATTTAAGTAAAATAATTTTTATTATCATAAATATTATTCATCAAACATTCAAACGTACCTGTATTATATAACTTAAAAAGATAATTAGTTTATCTAACAAATGTAGCATTTGAAAAGACAAAATATAATTTATTATCAAGTGTTATCGAAAACAATATAAATTCCTAGCTCTATTCGCGCTGTATATATATATAGCGCTAATGTTTATGATGACATCATTTTTGGCTTATTAAAAACTGTTTTTTGACAAGTCAACTGTTATAATTGTCATAATATTGCCTCTGCATTTTAATTGGTGTTTTTTATTTTTATAGTTTAATAATATCTTTTAGTCACATTTTTTCCAGATAATTGAACAGTTGGTAGGTAATACGTTGACGGAATAGAGGGAAACAGGGAATACCGTGGATCTGTCGTTATGGGACTATTATCCTATATCTGTGGTAGCATGTAAACAGTAAACTGGTGTACATTTACATTTATTATTACATTTATTACTGTAGTCGTTATCGTAACTAGAAGGGATAGATTTGGGAAGGTTTCCAAAAAGAAATTAAAAACCAATAAATTTATAAGACCATAATTTAATTTGTTGCCTTTTTCATTATTTATTTTTTTCCCAAATAAAAAAGTACATTATAAATGAATTTTCAATTGTTGATGAATATCGATATACTCAACATATGTAAAGTGGTATCTATGGCGGCCAAATGGCAAGTACTCAAGTCTCAACGCATAGTATTGTATATAATGTTAATTTATCAGGAAAACGTATCTTACTGGTTTTTAAGTTTTTAATTGGATTTTAAAACCACTTAAAGGAAAAAAAACCTTTTTTTCATAACGACTTTCGGCCTATACCATCAAATCCTATCATGATTATTAATACTACGAAATATATACATGAAGGAAGTTTCGATGAGAATCAATTATATTATTCTAATAACCACCCGAAAAAATATCCAGTGATCATGAGACATTTTGTATTCAAGGTAATTAAAAATGCCTAGTATAGCACTGTTACCTAAAAACTCAAAAACACAAAATGTTTATGTGTACAATCAATGATTCATATAGAGGGTCGATCTTGACGGCTGTCGATACAATTTTAGGTTATGTTAACAAGTACATAATGAAACAGTATAGCTGAAAAAACATTAAATTAAAAAAATAAAAACATAGGAAATTTCTTTTCTTTGCAGAATCTTGCCACGAATTCAAAAAATCCGACGACATTCGAAATATTATTGTCATGAAGTGGCGTTGCATATTACCCGATGGTGGTGAGTGTGACAAAGCAGTAGTAGACAGAGTCAAAGTACGTCCAGCCCTCGTAAGTGGAGAACGCCGTTGCACCGCCTGCGATGGTCAAACTGGACAAAAATGACACGACGAATATGAGATTTATCTCTGTGGCCTCGGTGCGCTTGCAGCCCAGCGCCCGTTTCGCCTGTCTGATCACCACGGATGAGAACTTGTTTAGTTGCTCGCCGATGCTTTGGAACATGACTAGACCCAGTGGTATGCCCACCATCGCGTAGAACATTGTGAACAACTTGCCCGATTTCGTGTTGGGCGTCGAGTGTCCGTAACCTGCGAGAATCGGCATAAAATTAAATATATAAATTAAGTACGATAGCCGTGACTAAGTACATTAAAGTAGAAATGTAAATACTATGATGGATAGGGTGATGCGGAGGACGACAATAGGAGTACGTAATGAGTTAACCCCATTTGTGGAGATATAGAAGACGTAAAGACATTTGAAATCTAGAAATTAATGTCGAATACTTGTGGAAATTTGTTTTTCTTTATCAAACCCTTAAATAAAATTTAAGTTGTTAGCAAAATATACTTGACTACTCATTATTTCAATTATACATTAAGAGTATTTTTTTAAAATTGCATTAAGGCTTTTAACATCTAAGGTTATAAGTCTATAGTTTTCTTATCAACTAGAATTTATAGTTCGTGATTTAAACTAATTGTATACAAAATTAGGGAGCTATTACGAAGTTTTATTTTTTAAGAGGTTTCTGTAGCGAATTGGAGTCTTTAAATAACTTTTGTACATCGATATACAACGGAACAATTGATAAAAATAGTATTATTTATTTATTTATTTATTAATAATAATGCCCTAAGGAAAAAAAGTATAGTCAATTTTTACAATAGATACAATATACAACATGATCCAATACAATATAATATAACAAACAAATAATAATGGCTACAATTTATAGTTCATTAAGTTAGAGATTACAATTTTTGGAAAAAGTGAGAATGGATTATCAAAGTTAAAATCATAATTTTTCATACGATTATAGAATGATATATCCTTCAATATTCATTTTAACGGTGCATTGAGGCATATAATATTGGAAACTATGATATGATTTCTGAAAGAACGGGTAGGAACATTGAATTTACTCTTGTTAGTATTTCTGGACAGTCAATAATCAATATTATTTTTAAGTAATTTATGAATAAACAATACATCGATAAATAACCATCGATTAGCCAGACTACCCATTGAAGTTATTTTGGTCATAATATTGAGTTAGTGCTGGTGCTGGAAAATAAGTTTTAAGTGTCAAAAAGAAAACTAAGATATGGGGACAGCTGCAGCCACTGATGTAGGTGGGTAATTAGGAAGGTAGGATACAGACGAGAATTTAATATATATCTGTAAGCAATGATAAACCATTGCTTACGGAAAAATGATTCTGAGCGTAGTTCAGTTGATAGGTTTATCAGTTGATTGTCAACAATATATATTCTATATTATAGTAAAATAATTAAAAAGGCTCTATATATTTTTTCATAATATTTGTTTAGTGTTGGTCCAATTTTCCCAGTTATTCTATGTTTTTCCCAGTTTTCCCATGTTTTATCCAGGTGTTTCAAATTTGATGAAAAATCTCCTGAGAAAATCGCAAAATGACCTTTTTAAAGTATCTCCCAAGTGAAATTTACTTTTAGAAATATTGCTATCATTAATAGTTGAAGTAAAATCGATGTTAGAAAAATTATTCACAGAAAAAAAAAATTGTAATTTATATTTATTATGTTTTGTAAATTATTCCATATTTTTTCGGTTTTCCGCATTTTATGAGAGAACTCTTGATAAAATCAAAAACTGTTATTATTGATATGATTTTACGCGAAAAATATAATTCCCTAATATAATCATATTAATGTCATAATATATTCATTTTAGTGTCTACATAATAATTAATTTTTGCATGACCCTAAATAAGTCGAAATATATCTTCTTGACCGTTGTATACAGGTACACAAGCATATATAATAATTATGTATTTATTCGAATCGGACTGCTCGGCAGTGGGTTCAATGTATACAAATTGTAATTTGTTTTCACAGAAGTAATATTAACTTTTCATACGAGTATAAAAGTCTGATAGTATCATTAGTGTATATTTATACCGAGTATTATATATATGCTGCGCGAATTTAATTAAGTAACACATATAATACTAAATTTGAATTAAAATTGAAAATTATGAACTGAGACAGATGGATGTGTGTGACGCAATGCTTTTATTTTGTCTGCAATACCTACTCAAAGTGGATATTAAATAGGATAGACACTTATAACGCGAAATAGTTTTGAACTTTACTCAGCTACGACGACAAAGACGACGACTATATACAGTTCTAGCCAGTCGGGAAAGTTGCGGTATAGTCGTGAAACCGTCGGATTACTCGGATTACCAAGTATTTCAACAATTATGGTGACCTTAGTTTTTTAAACCGTGTCAAGAGTATAAAAAGATAATAGTCAGTTTTTTATTTAAGTTTTTAAAAATAAAAATAAAATACTTTGATTAAGAGGACGCCGTTTCAGTAGCGTATAAATTATAAGGGGTTACAAACATTTTATGAGGCCAATTTCCCTCTCCCCCTTCTATTCATTAGATGTTAGGCCAATTATGGTTTCAAAAAAATACTTATATATTTATTAAATCATTATTTTTTAAATTCTGAGTAGAGCGAAGAAGCTGATGTTTTTACAAAATAGTTTGTTTTTGTTTTTTTTTTTATCTGTATGCAACTTTTTTACCAGTATACTTGCTCAGAATTTTAACTGTAGCACCTTTTCTGAAAATAAATTAGTGTGAAGAGGTACTTTAGGGTAGTTTTTTTTCGATTTTCTTAGGAGTTTTCTTATCAAATTTGAAAACCAGAAAAAAACCAATGGCAAAACGGGAATATATCAGAAATGTAGGTATTAGTTAAAATATATTACGGCCTTTTTTTTCCTGTGAACAATTTTTCTATCAGAAATTTTGCTCTAATTTATAATGATTGCAATGTTTCTAAAAGAAAAATTGACTAGGAAGGTACTTTAGGGAGGTCATTTTTCCCAAGAGTTTTCCAGGAAAATGTGAAAAACTAAGATATGATAACATGAGAAAACTGGAAAAATCGATACAACATTAAACAAATATTATCAAAGAAAATATAGAAAGCCTTATTAATTATTTACTATAAAATGTCATATTATATATTGTTGGAAAAGCATCACTATCAACTGAATTCTGCTCAGAATCTTTTTTTCGTAAGTAATGGTTTATCGGTGTTTACAAGTTTACGTTAAATTAACTATACTAGTGGGTGCACCTGTCCCCATTCTCCTAGGACGTCTTTTTTGTAATAAATATAATTGTACAATATATAGGAATACATACAGATTATGTCTAATTTCTATGTCTATGTAATATGAATATTGTAATCAGAACGAAAAAAAATATTCATATTTGAGCTGATAATACAGCTAGTAAATATATACTGATATACAATATTTCTTATGCATTATAATACAACGTAAAATTTATTTATGTTTTAATTACACGAGTATAATTGTGTATACATTATTTTTTTATACTACGTATTTATACACATGTGTATAAATTATTCAAATTATTAATCAATAAAATTCAAGTTATAATACTACCTAACATTTAAATTATAATCGGGCCAATTATGGATAAAAATAACAAAGGGGTGTTATAGTGGACATCCTGCCCTCCTAAATGGCTCCCCTTGATTTTAATATATTGTTTCCATCTTACACACATATCTATGATTATTCATTCAACGGGGACAACATTCAGTGGTTAGTTTTATACTAGAATGAATTGAGCATTCAAAATTATCTGTACAACAACATAGATTTTTCAAGCGAAATGAATATGTGAAATACCACAATTTAAAAATGCTTACATCTTATTTAAAAATTAAAATATCGAAAAAACAGATGATTTGTTTACTTTTAAAATTGAAAGCCAATTAATTTTAATATTAATAAAGTAAATGGCACAAAAAATCCTGCTGAATGGCAATTTTCTATGCCGTGCGTTTGTAAGACGTGAACAGTCCATGTGGGTGTAATATTCTCTTAAATCAAAACAAAATATTATCATTTTTATCGGAATGATTTTTTTTTTTTTTTATAGAAACATTTCACAAAATATTATGCATTCATTTTTTATACTGTACGAGTAAGATATTATGATACTGCAAGATATTATTATTTATGTCAAATATGCAAAAAAAAATTTGAAATATAAACTCTTTGTGTAATAAAACGCATTTGCATATTATTATTATTACTCGGTGATGTTTTCAACTTAAAAATATGCAAACAACCCATAATGTAGAATGTCTTAGCTCAGTTACTTATATATTATGTACTGCAGAAATTTGTCTCATTAATTAACAAAGAAAACCGTGTACCGTGTTTTCTCCACGTCTTCTTACCTATATTGACATTTCCCGTTATATCTATTAGCGTCTCTTTCTTGGTGAAATATTTAACCTATTTTTGTATACTTTAAAATTATTTCGATTCGAAGTAGGGCTGGATTTAGACTTCTGGGGCAAATATTTTTTTAAGGCTTTTAGCAGTAAAAATAAAATTAAAAATACCCAATATCTAAGTAGTTAAGAAGAAAATAAAGATAATTGCAAACTTGCACGTTATAACATTCTACCTAAAATGTGTTTATATCAAGTTTGAAACACTGCTGTTCATGTATCACAAATTTCAAAATTTATTTAAATATAGCAAAATTTTAGGAGTAAAAATAGGTAAATTAATCTCATAGGTAACGTTTTATTTAACACTCCAAAGGGGTTACGAGTGCAGAATATTATTGTATAACACATAAAAACTTAAGACTTTTTAAAACTAAAACTATTGGAATTCAATCACTTCAATACAATATCTTTAATTCAACAAGCGAATCAAAACAAAATCTAAATTTAATATACTGTTACCATGAATCAAAAGTCAATTCTCCTGACTATTTGCAATTAGGTTGCTTTATTTATTAAAGTTTTGAAATCAAATCTATTTGATTAATAATTATATACATATAATGTATATAATGTAATTATATTACATTAATAATCTCAAAACAAAAATGACGGGCATACCACGCACGATGTATGTAGTACATGTACCACTGTTGTTGGTGAGAAGTTGGGGAAGTAGGATAAAGAGGGAAAATTAATTTGTATCTGTAAGCAACGATAAACCATTACTTGCTAAGAACGATTCTGAGTGGAGTTCTGTTGATAGTGATGCTTTACCAACAATATATACGTCATATTATGGTAAAATAATTAAATAGGCACTATATATTTGTTTAAAATTGTACCGATTTTTCCGTGTTTCCTATGTTTTTTTTTTTTTATTTTTGATAGAAAACTCTTGAAAAAATCGAATAATAACCTCATTAAAATACCTTCCCAATCAGATTTCCTTTCAGAAAAATTGCTGTTATTGTAAATCGAAGAAAAATTGCTGATAGAAAAGTTGTTTACAGGAAAAAAAAAGGCCAAAATATTTTTCAACTAATACCTAAATTTCATATATTTTCCCATTTTTCCTAGTTTTTTTCCTATGTTGAGAACTCCTCGGAAAATAAAAAACTGACTTCTTTAAAGTACCTCTTCAGTCAGATTTCCTTATAGAAAAAGTACTATCATTTTAAATCGGAGCAAAATTACTGGTAGATTAGTTATCCCCACAGAAAATAAAATCATAATATTTTATTAATATATTCGTACATTTTCCCGTTTTTTTTTTTTGTTGGTTTTTCATATTTGATGAGAAAAATGTTGAGAAAATTTTCTTTCAGAAAAGGTTCTACGTCATATACATCGGAGTAATCTTCCTGGTAGAAACAGTGTTCCCATAAAAAAAAAAAAAAAAACATCTTTGTAAAACTAATACATACTTCGCTACACTCAGAATCTAACAAACCGAATGTAATTACGCATACACGACTACACGAAACTTGACACACGCATGCACACAACTGTTCGATCACTGGACACTGAACAACTGAATTGCCTGTTAAGTGTTTATTCGTTTTATTCAAAAATAAATCATATAACCACTAGAACGTTTATACGAATATACTAAAATATTTTGTGTTTGCTGGACGCCCCATTACTATTATGTCAAGTGACATCTTGACATATTAATTTGCAGCCAAAATCATAAAAATACAAATCAATCTTTATTTTTTGAAGTTGATATTTTTGTATTGTACAAGAGATTCGGTATAGATACCGTCTTTGTCAAAACTTTGTATACATTATTCGAGAACGAGGAAAATCTTTAAATATATAATTTATAGACTTCGGTAAGTGTAAAAGCCGAACACGATTAATATACAGTTTTAAATGTTTAATACTACCAGAAAATGTATACATTATTTATAGGTACTCAATAAAATTAAAAGGATTTGTGATTACAAGTCAAGTCCTATTATAATTATATCATTGAGACTTGAGTCTAAAAGTTGATCACGAGCGAAAATTTCATATTACGTGGCGTGTTGTTTCTGTTTTAAAAATGAAGCGTAGGTACTAAAGAAAACTGGGGAATTCCCAAGCGATTCAAGAGAGATCAAAATGCACTTTATCGACTAAGGTGGTGTATAGTGCAGAGATATATTTTTAAAAAGGTGGACGAAATTAGAATTGCGTATAATATGTGTACCTATTAAAATATTTTCAAATATAAGTGAAATTAATTTTCAAATTTACTTAAACGACAATCTATTTTAAATTAATATAAATACTTTTATCGAAATTGTATTACCTGAGATACCTATTTGGATGTGGATTACACAAAAATAAATCGGGAGAAAAATTAATGTTTGTTAATTGTTAACATACAATACAAAATAGGTAATATTTAAACGGAGCTTAAAATAGTTTTATAGCAAGCTAAAATTCTTCTGATGTCAATCGGGGGAAATTTATCAAAAACTGGGTACATGTAATGTTTTCATAGTAGGAAGTTAATTATAGTGTGCAAATATTACGCATATTTAAGAATGATAATTAATTATTTGGTGATATTAGGTGCAGTGATAATTATTTTCGTCTTTATCTCGTTTCTAGTCATTTAATTTGACGCATATAATAGTTTTTTTTTCTTTTATTAATATATAAGTAAACATTGTAAATTATTTTGGAAGAATTTTCGTAGTGACTTATTGTAACGTTCACATTTTTAAAAATGTATCCTGCACATAGTAGGATACATGTGTGGTGGGTCTATATTTGATAATTTATATTATATATACTGAAAAAACGCGTGGAAGGTTTTGATCGATTCTCCGCAATAATCCCCTTTTAGAAGCATCGTATTATTATTATTATAATGGCTATATTATAAGCCTTTTTCTCAAGAATTATATTATTTATATCATGGCATTTGTATCGTATAATAATATTCAATTTACGAATAAACGAGCAGTTATTCGTCGTATATTTTTGCATACCTATAGTTGTGAGGACCGTCGTGGCAAAGTAAAATGCTCCGGCAAACTTCCACTGTTGTCCGGCTTTGTGTGGTTCCGATTTCAACACAATCGTCTCGATCAGCCGATAGTCGTCTAAGGATATGTTGTACTTGTTGAGAATTATTCCCTCTATGGCTAAATGTTAAGAAAACAAAAAAAAATCCATTAAAATCATCTGTGTGACACAAAAAAAAAAAAAAATAAATCATCGAGGACTTGAAAAGACCCGTTATTATTATCTATTAAATTATATTATATAACTGTCGGCTGTCCTAATAATTTATTTATTTGATTTTATTATAATAAACGGTTTTGAAGCTCTATTGAAATTTTTTACAAATAAAATACATAATATCAGTACAAAACAATATTACTCGTAATAGACAAGTAAAATAAATTTTTACACTGTTAAAAATTAATATAAATATGGTAAAAATTATCATTAGGCTTGATAAATATTAACAAATTAACATAAATATGATATAATTAAATATCAATAGAGGGATCCTCATTGGTCATTAACATTACAGGCCAAATAGGCTCATTTTTAATAAAATTGCTCGAACATAAAAGGAACAGTAGAACGGATTTGACGAGTAAGGACCTTGAAGTTGATTGAGGATAATAGTGCCTAGCAAGAAACCAGCATAACAAAGGAACAGGCGATGCAATCTATCAAGTTGAAGAATTACACCATATTTCAATATAGGTCGGACTAAGTTATAATATAGTAAATTAAATGACAAATCTAATTTATAATCCCTAACAAGCCTATTGATAAATTCAAGAGTCTCAAGGCCTTAGATATATTTAAAGACAAGCCAAAATTACAAAATCCAATCTACAAACCTTTCCAGATAACTTTGAAAATGAAGGCAACCATTAATAAAACCATCACTCAAATAGAGTTTAATATCATCAGCGAAGTTGAAAATACTAGAGTGACGCAAAACCTGACTGATATTATTCACAAAAAAGTAAAACAATAAGGGGGACATGTATCCACCTTGAAGAACACCAGAAGATGCTAAGAATAGATTGAACTTTGTTCCATTGATATCGATCACTAAAATATGAAGTAAGCCATGACAAAAAAAGCTCTCCAAAACCATAACTGTTAAGAATATTAATCAAGATCGCATGATTAACTAAATCAGAAGCTTTATTGAAGTCAGCATAAACTTCATCAACTTATAACAGCTTTTAAATACAAATACAAATGATAATATTATTATAATTTTATTGCGCACATGCATAAAAAATATTACGCTTAATTTTATCACACCTATACTCGTATAATACTTATATAATAATATTATATTTTTTCTTGAGACTCTTGACCCGGTTTTAACTGTATCTATGTGTGCACTTGCCGTAAAAAAAATTATGTACACTTTGTATTTTCGGTCCGTCGCACTACGCGTCACCATCAATTTTCAAGTAGGTATATAAATGTAGTACAATCGAAACTATGCACTTTCAATAATTAACAAGTGAAATTAATTCCGGTCCGGTTCGATCAGTCGTTATTAATATTAATAATTATTAACCGCGATGGTTGATGTTCGTCCTATATTATACAAGGTGATAAATCTATCTTAAGACACTCATTATCTTGGAAAATATTAACTTTTTTTAGGAATTTGCTTTATAAAACATTTAAGAGACTCTACATTATTACATTTATATTATTTTTTGTCATCCTTATTTTCGGGAGTAAAATCTACTAGTTACTTCCTAACTTCATACCGGTCAGTCACCAACTTGTCTGTTTATCATTTCGCCATTTTTCCGCCTTCAAACTTTGAGTTATTCCAAAAGCAAATTCCGAAAAAACTCATAAACTCTTGTCTATCACTACACCATTTTATACAAATTTTACTTCGTCTACTCAACATAATTTAATTTCGAGTTCACAGAGATTCTATTTCTTGTGCTAATTGTAATAACGTTTACTTTATCTATTATATTTCATTAAAACCGGAAGACCTTGACTATTTAAAAAGTTTTAAAAAAACTGGGTCATTTACTATCTGTTTAATAGTAGTTATATTGCGAACTTTTGTCGGCTTTTTGTTTTGTACTATTATTGCCAATCTAAAACACACACTCAAATTATTATTATTCGCTGTTGGGCATTTTAATTGAAATTAATGTTATCTACTGTGTTTTCTATCGGTCGATCGACAGACAGACCGCATCGGGAGGGGGATACATATTACATAGGATAGTTATTTAGGTTTTCGTTGTTGGCACGCCACCAAAGATTTAACACGGACCTATATAAATTATTGTCCCCGGTGCTCCAAGTAAGAAAAACCCCAAAGTAAGCCAAAATTTATTGCTTACGTGATCGTAAAAATAATTTTACCGTACACGAGTATATAATATAATACGAGATGAGTATATTATAATATGTGGTTTCAGGGAAAGCATGTACGGGAATATGTGTATATTGAACATATTTTCTTATGTGTTCCGTAAAAAAATAAAAAAAATAAAACAACTAAAACCACTATACCTGGGATGGAAATCTCGAAGAACTACGACGCTAGAGTGTTATTTAAAAAAAAATTAAAATACAAAAACCAAAACAATTATTAAAAAATAAATATTTTGAATTCAAATTGAATTGTAATGATGAATTTAATAAAAATTCGATTACTTATGTTTTAATATTAGATTCTAAGTACCAATAACGAAGTAAAGAAGAAGAACTGTTATTATTATATATAAAATATTTTCATGAAAAACGCTTTCTTTATTAGTAAAAATGTTATGATTTGTCCATGTCATTGTTTTAAAAGATTCGGATTTTTCGCTTAATGGTACTTTATTTGAAAAAATGTCCAATACTTATTCGGAAAATATTTGTATGATTTTTTATGTTCTTTGTTTGAATCAATTGTTTTGTTTAGACAAATGTTTTAATATTTGTACGCAAAATTAATATTTGTGCCTCAAAAGAAATGTATATCCAGTGGTAGGTATTTTAATTGATTTATTTATCAAAATATATATAAGTCCTAGGTCCTTCATTTTGATATTTGGTTTTTGTTTATTTCTGGGTAACCTTAACAGCATATAAAAACGCGACTAATAAAATTTTGCTCAGAATAGTTTTTTTGAATAATTTATCGTAGCATACAATATATAAACTAAATTATATCTACTATGTCATATTATATCTTCCCAGCTACACATTTACGATAGTGGCTTTCCCGTTAAAAATAGGTAGGTATTTAAATTGTTTTAATAATAATCAATTTTAATTTTTATGTACAATGTACATGCGTCAGAAGATTAAGGACTAATAAGTTATCTTGATAATTATTTATGCAAATGTTAACAAGTTGTGTATAATATATGGAAACAATTGACTATATCAAGCTAAATAAATAGAAAAAAACTTTAGGTTAATTAATGGCGAAAAGTTAATAAAGAAAAACTACCGCGTTTTACTCTTTATTGAGTAAAACACAAAAAAATTCCAATCTATAATACATCAGTGGCAAAAAGATGCACAAATCATTTTTTGAACTACGATTTAATGGAGCACATATAACTGTGTTGAGAACCCTTGGTTTTAAACATAGTTTGTATTTAGCTAAGTAAGCAATATATTATTTTTTGGTAACGTCTTCCGTCGCCGAGCGCATGAAATGCGAACAACGACGGCAGTCGAGTTAAAACAACGATTCCGTATAGTTATACGTAGAACCTAATAAATGTCTTTTTAAATAAATTTAAATAATAATAAACAATAAGTTATTATTTCAAAACGGATGAGTTTAGTGTTTGATTAATCCCAAAAGTCGAACTCAAATAAACGAGTATCCGCCGTCATTTACGGAAGAAACCAAAATTCACGGTGAACCCGGCATCAACCGGATATAGGATACAACAACTGTTAAAACCGTTAACTTGAAAATTAAGAGCACATACCTACTTATAGAAAGCCAAATTAATCATTTTAGTTAAATTAAAATTAGTTAACTTTCTAGTTAATAATTAATTAGAAAAGGTTTGAAAAAAAATCATTTGAGGGAAGTGATGGAGACAATCGAACCCCTCTTCGAGATTAAATTCTTTGATCTAGTTGATTCATTGAGATCATTTTTTTTTCGTTGTAGTTTTCTAAATGCATGGGAACAACTAGCGATTTTTCGTACCGATAACTTTGGTTGATTTCCGGATCATCTTGGCACCAAGAAAAACAAAAAATAATACTCGGCTTTGAATTGTTTTTTGTTAGCAATAGTTTATCTAATCATACAGATATAAATTAAATTACGTTACATACCCTCATATCAAACTTCCATCCTAAAAGAGTGGCATCGCCCAGTGGTATCAGCCACTATTACAATATTATATTGTTCTGTTTTCCCCGAAATACATCTTGGGTCAAAGTAGTACGCATCTCTACAATACAGTACGACAAAATAAAAACTAATTGATCCGTTTGTTATTAATTTTCCAACCGATAAACCAAAGTGGCTAACAAACAAAAAAAAAGCGTATCTTAAATTCGTGACTAGTGATCCTAATAGTCTTAAAGACGTTGGGAGACCCTGATTTATAAATTATCTTTAAAGGGCAAATATCAACCATATGTAACAGTTTTTTGACTGATAGCAGATAATAATAATTATTATTTTTTTATATACGTTTGTAATAAATAAAAAATTGTACTTAAATTGTACATGCGATGGAAGCGTTAAAAAGTCTCAACATCTAAATTATAATTTTATTTTAAATATATTAAAATCTTAGAATCAGTATTTTAGTATTTACATAAAAAATTTTCACGGTCACATTTCTGATAAATAACTTTTACCTTATACCTATATGTATTTGAAATGCTGCGTAAAACGTCTATCTATATTTACACTGGCAACACCTCGTAGGCAAATAGGTTAGGTTAGCTCCTAGCTTTTTTTTTTTTTATTTATTAGAATACGGTTAACGCCATGTAAATATTATATTATATTATATAGCTCTATGCTTGACTTGAAATATGATTTTTTCCGTCCGATTTGAAGTTTTAAAAGTAAAAAATGAAAAATACATGAAAAATATTCGATTCATGTCGCTTTTACTATAGGAATATAGTTACACCTACGAATTTGTTGATATTTTATATTTGAAAGTGACAAATCATCTTTCTTCAAAAGCAATTCCGATAGCGAAATCCGACCGTATAAATCATAATTTATTCTCATCATTACACAAACTGACAAATAAAAACATAGAGATAAAATATAGTTTTAGAGAAATATTTTTTGACTACATGGAGTGAAATTACAAGCAAATAAATCTAAAACCTAAAATAACGAAGTAAATTTTATTTAAAACAAATATATAAATTTGACTAAAAAAGTCACTAACGGTTTTCCAGAATTAATAAGGAATAATTAGTAATAATTATCATACACAGTTTCTGCACGTATATACGATTTTCCTCTTTGCGTTTGTTAAAATGCAAATTTTAAATCTTTAAACAATAAAATGATTTATAATATTATAATCTGCTAGCTGTAATATTATTAACGCGGAATTATTTAAAATGAAGAAATCTAATTTGCTAAATAATTATTAGTAATATTAACATGCCTAATGCTAAATACTTTGGTGTTCACTCACTAATTACACAGTTATCGAATAATTGCTTTCCCTAATGTAATTATTCGGTAGGTAACTATCTCAATTGAATTGATTGACTATATTATAATAATTGTTACTTACGTAACTTGCTATATGATACAAATGAGCTTACATACTTTTAATACGCATGTATTATAGTAACTCAGATAATAAAATAGTGGCTGATTAGAACAAAACACGGTTCACAACCATTACAAGTATACAACCATAAATATCGATATAATACAACTAGATAGCTAACTGTATGAGAAAGTTCCATAAGAGATACTATGAAGTTTTTAAGCAGCCATAACCATTAATCCATGGAATGTTTACTGTTCATTCCATGAATTATATGATGATGTAAAGAAATCAAAGAAGACTTAATAGAAACGATGATTTAAAAAAAAATATTTTATATTATCATTTGTATTTGTGCAATTTACTCGTAGACGGCTATCTATACAATCAAATTCGCTTAAGACTTTATTGAAGGGACTAGAAACGAGTAAACTCGTACATTTCTATTTTAATTATAATATTACTATAGTTTACCGTCTGCTGAATAAAAGAGCATTTTATCCGATTAGATAGAGAAAAATGAAGCATCTTAACAGGTAGATTTTACATTGATTCTCATAAGAAATGTCTTGGAAAACAATGTATCAATGTCTTATGTGGGAAAGTGTTTTATGTGAAAACGTCTCAAGCGAATTTTATTGTAAGTAGTTTTATACAATCTAATACCTATGTAGTAGACACAAACCATTTTTATACCTATACCAATACTCAATCCGAGGGATTCCGTTATGTTTGCGTTTTTAGACTATAAATGTTTACGTAGAAACCGTAGGGGTGTGATCAATTTAAAAACTCTTTTTTTATCTTTTGTTTTCTGCTTACATTTCTCAGTTCATATTTAATATATCTGTATATCTAGTAACTTAACATTACTGATTTTTATAATTTTATTATCAGTTATAAATCGATATTTTGTAATTTAGAACACAGTAAACATCATTTTTAAATTCTGAATGGAAATTCGATTACAAATGACGATATGAAGGTTTTGGATAAAATATATTAAACATGATTTTATAAATTTATAGCAAATAAAACTTAAAACTTTAACAACATCTCGATGTCGAGTTTTTATTTCTAATATCAATCATTTTCTTTCGGGGGAGAGGAGTAAGGACTCTATCCTTTTCCTTAAAGTCCCCCTCCTTTTTACGTGTATTTAATTGTAAAAGCAAAAAATATATAAACGAATTATTTATACAAAAACTCTTGGATAATTCAAGTTGTACGAATTTTTTTATTTTACATATTGTATATTTACGTTTTAAACGTATAATATACACAGTTTTTAATAATAATTATTCGAAGGTATTAAATATAATGTGTTTATTCACGATAAACGATCGGAAAACCATTTAAAATACATCAAAGGATTGGAACAAAAAAAAAACATTAGTTTTTAATTCAAAACGAATAATTCATTCGTGTACATTTTCATAGTACGTATTGAATAAGATTAAACTATATTATTAACATAGATAGTAGTATAAACACAAGACGTACACTACGTTTGAAGAATTCATATTATTATTAATATAACTGTACACTTAATATATTATATACATTGAGGAACCGTCTAGGAGAAATCCTGTAGTCGGTATATTAAGTCAACGAATTTTTAATAATAATAACTAAACGGTAAGAATAAAAAAAGTCCTCTCCTGAAAAAAAAAGTCAAATTATTCGTTTATTTGTCAGATAGTTTATATTACATTTATTATATTGTATAGAGAAAAGTCGGGTGAATTACTCAATTTTAGTTACTCAACTGTTGAAAAGTTATACAGTTACTATAATTACTTAGACAGAGATATGAGAGTAAATAAAAATAGGATTTTACGTAAAGATCAACTATATGTTTATTGGAACTTAACCTGGCACCTTGCGCTTAGATATAAATAGTCAAAATGATGGCTAATCTGCTAATCGAACCATAACAGAAGATTGCGTCTAAATAAAAAAAAAAACTTTCATTTGAAACATCCTGCAGTACATCAAAGATACCCTCCCTCACCCAGTAGTCCGAGAATATTCGGTGAACGCAAACCCCTGTGGACCGGGCACGATGCTCCGGCCGAGAGACACCGCTATATCGTATTATAAATATTTAAATAATATAATTCAGAAGGATTCGCAGTAGGAGAGGTATACCTAAAAACTGCTACGTGCAACGATGATGACAACGTCGTCTTGACCGGAAGAAAGTTTTATAAATTATGTGTATGGAAAGGATGAGGTAATGATTTTTTCCCTCCCCTTGTCATAGTCATGTTCTCTTTATCACCCCTTATCCGTATTCCCGGTTTTCTATCATTCAGACACGTGTAATAACGACGACTCGTGACGCTACTTCAACATTTCATGAGACAATATACTCGTATAGTCAATTTCATTATGACATACAATATTTCAAAATTTGTTTTTTAATATTATTCATTAAAAATGGGAAATTTAAAATGGATATTAACAATACAATAATAACACTGCTTCGCGTAATAAAAAATTAACACAAAATGGACAAGTTTTAAGATTAATATCAATTAAATATAATTCTATATAAAATAATATTATATTAGGTCACTATAAGAATTTTAAAATTTATTCCTCAAATATTTATTTTTTTAATTAATAAGACAAAAAAGCTGATATTACTGATGGGTGTCCTACTATTGAAGTTGGGAAGTTAAGAAGATAAGATGCGATGTATAAAGTTATTCAGTTTATATGTGTATGCAACAATAAATTATTGCTAATGAAATACGATTCTAAGCGAAGTTCGGTTAAACATGTTTTGAAATGCCGTGATATTCTTCAAAGATTTAATTTCAAACGAGTGTAAAAAAAGTTGTCCTAGGAAAATAAAGACGGGTGCAGCCATTGTTATAAGTGAGAAGTTGGGAAAATTCAATGTATACCTGTATATCAACGATTAAACATTCTGAGCGGAGTTCGGTTAATAATGTTGCTCCGTCAACAATATTTTATTATATGTCATATTGTGGTAAAATATTTACATATGCATTATATATTTTTTTATTTATTTAATATTGTACCTATTTTCTCGTTTTCCCTCTGTTTTTCTCATTTATTGAGCTAAATCCTCGGAAAATTAAAAAATAACCTCCTAAGTCAGAATTTAAAAAAAATACTATCATTGTAAGTAGGAGCAAATTGTTGGTAAAAAGTTATTGACATTTTTTTGAAAAAAAAAAAAATCATTGTAAAACCAATTCATTCCTCGTTCCACTCAGAATCTAAAATTACTACTATATACAAATTTTTTTTTTCTGTTTGCCACTCATAATTTAACGTCAAAAACTCATAAATATTAAGTGCATATAAAATCTAAATATCATTTTTTTACCACTAATAATAACTTATGATAAACCTAGAATACAATTTTCAAATATCGTTAGTTATAATGTTCTAATTAGTTAAAACAAATTGTATCCACATAACACTAAATAAAACAATTAAAATTGCTAAGTGTCTGAAAAAGCTTAAAAAAAAAAAAAATGCTAAATAATATTCTGAAAGTATTTTGTGAAAATCCCCGATGTTTACGATTATTCAAATCGAATTACAAAAAAAACAAAATTGAAAATAACAAAACCGTTATTTCCATAATTTGTCCAGTTTTTCCTATACGTTTTATCACGGGTTTTTCCAATTATTTAGAAAATTGCAAGAAAAATCCGAACACCTGACGTTTTTAGTGCACAAACAAAATATAATTTTCTTTCAGAAAAGATGCTGCACTTGAAAATCCGAGCATTATTTCTCGTAAAAAAAAGTTGTTAACAAACAGAAAAAAAAAAAAATAATAAAAAGAAAAAAGAAAGGCATACGTCATAGTAAAACTAATAAATACATCACTGTGCACAGAATCTAAAATGAATGACTATGTGGAATTAATTTCACGTGGGTCATTTAAACAAGTATATTTATTTTACAGTAAAATCGATTGTCGCATTATACACATTGGAAGACCCTGTATACACAGTATTGTATTGTTATATATAATTCAACTCCGCAATCCTATTCCTTCGACTTCCGACTGTATACACACGATTTTATTACTGCCCGTAGTATAATAATATTGTTATATTATTATCGTTCCAGCCGTTTCTCGAGTTTATCGGTTTTTTTGTTTGTTTCTCTCTACGGTTTGGAATCAAATCCCGACCGCCAATATAATAACAACACTACAACCGCACGCCATCACGGTTCAGTATAATATTTTTTTTGTTTCGTATACTGCAGATAGGTATATATTGTTATTTATTTCAGAATCAGACGTTTATCCTAGTGTAATTTCCATCCTTACGATGACGTCGGTGTCCACGTGTACTATAACTACGTATATAATAAGTACGGGTAGAACACATAAATTATGTTCCTTAATTCATCTGTGATAATGATATTGTGGATTAAATTTGTTAATAAGTTAGTTAAATTAATGGTTAAAATTATGAGGAATTAAATTAAATTAAAACACGTATTTTTTTATAATAACAATTAAAATATTAAAAAAATTATTCGGTCAAGGCATAGTAATAGTTATTGTTTATAAATGTATAATTTCCGTTATTTTCAAAAAATTACAATTGTTGAAATACGACTCGAAGACGAATATAAAAACAGAAAAACTAAATCATGTTTAGAGGACCCTTAACAAAATATACTTATTTATTTCCAACTAGGTAGGTATATAAAATAATAAGTACCTACTATTAAAGTCCGTTATATTAAGTATACTTAAAACATTTTTTATTATTTATCTTTTTTTAATAATTTATTAATAATGTTTAAATTTGTACCAATTTCCCTACTACCTAAAGGATATCTGCAAATTAGTTGTTTATGGATTCGGAAATATATTAAAATATAATAAAAAAAAATATATAAAAATTAAAAATATTTAGTTTTTTTGAGGAACGAAAAATTCCTTTGTTTTAATCGTGGAGTGAGCTTTGACTTAGTTCCATTTTAACAAAATGAAAGTGAACGTGAACTAATTCATTTTTGAAAGAAGTTTCCAAGCACTATAATACACCTTACGTCAACACTATGTTAGTTCTTAGATTATTCTATTTTTAATTCCCACGGGAGAAAATGTTGTAAATATAACAACGGTTTATTCAATAATGATAAGACGAGTTATGTCACTGTCTTACTACACTATATATTGACTCTCCGACCTGTAATTTTTTTCCTTAATGGTATCTTTGAAGATTTCATAGTTTTTTTTTTTTATTATTGGTACCAGTCGTAGATGATTATTTTATTATTAACCACATCTAATCAGAGGGGAAACCAAGGGACTTGCACCCCCAACTTATTCAATACAAGATTTTCAAGAAAGAAAAGCAGAAAAGAACGATGAATGTAATGGATTGTAAAAAAAAAAGGCATTTTCATTATTTCTGTCTGTGAACAAATTTTCTACCAGAAATCTCAATCAATAAATAAGTTGGTAATGGTTTATCGACGATCAACTGTCCATCTACAATAATGGCTGTACTGTATCACCTCTTTTTTTTGTTGTATTTTTTTTTAAGAGCCCACCCCCCTAAAATTCAATTCTGTATCTGCTACTAATTAACACAATATTATATAATACTAACCCGGATTATGATTGCGTATGTTTTATTATAATGGCAGGCTCGTTGGCGTTAATAAACGGTGTGGCTGTGAACGAAACAACAATATACTGCACCAGTCATTATAATTTAGTGTATATTACAAACTTATATATTTACAAAAAAATAATATACACAAATAATTATTACCTATAGTATTATTTATTTTTTTCGAAACATTTATCCGAGAGAGTAATTTTTCCGTCACATTCTACCTTCTCTTCCCCCTTCGACGGTCGCGCAATCCGGCGGAAGAGAGGTTGTACCTCGCGGCGCAATGCCAGCTGGCGGGAAGTTAGGGGCGAGGAGGTGGTCGTGATTGATGTGGCGTACTGCCCGTGACGTCATTGCGTGTATCCATGGCGACCTTTAGGAGTGGAGATGGGTGTAAACGTATCCTGCCACCGCGTTTTCGAATTCCGTCCCTTCATCGTCGTTACTTCCTCCACATCCCATCCACCCTTATAGCCACCCCAAAGTAGTCACTACCGCCGTCCGGACCCTTTGTAAACCTCCGACGCCGCTTGTTTTTCTTCTCCCGGCGTCGCGACGACTTTCCTCAACAACCCGCCACTATACGCACTGTTTTTCCGCACTATTCTCTTTCGACTTGCCTGTTTTTCTTCTCCATGGTCGCACGCGTTGGCTGGTTTTTCTGTTTTTCTATACGCATACTAAGTATAGGTTCCTGTATTATTCCATTTTATCGAGTAATAAGTTAAATAAACGATAATAGAAACCAAGGAGACGAAGCACCCTGACTTATCTATAAAAATGAATGTCATTTATACGCTCACGAGTCTATACGGTTTAAATTTAAAATTGATGCACAAACTACTTATAATAGGCATCTTACCTAACCTAACCTATGGTTCAAAACTAGAGTTAATTAAATTTGACTATCACGTAGTTATTACGTAAACACAGTTTATTCAATAAAATTGAACAATATTTTATATTTTAGCTGGTATTGACCGAAATTTTAAACGAAGCGTGATGACATTATATAATTTGTGTGAATATTTTCTGTGTTTTCATTCAATATTGACGACGTTGACCTATCGTCCGTAATAATATTATGTTGAATGGTTAAAAAACTGTTTAAATTTTATACACGTTCATTGGCTTGAAATATTCTTATTTAAATTTCTGAGTCAAAATCTAACTATATTCTGCAGTGGCATCATAAACTGACAAAAAGTTTTTTTTCATCTCGTTAAATTGAATTTTTTTCCTCTACTTATTGTCTAAAAAATTCCCAAAAATAATCCGAATTACATCCGATTGATGTATAGTTAATTTTAATAGACTTAAAATAAGTCTAAATGTCCCAAAGCCACTGAATAAATAGGTTTATTAACAGGTTTTGATTATTTATTAAACGAGCGTGATGGTTAAATGTGGATACGTATCAAACAAATTGACTGGTACAATAAATAAATTCAGTTTAAATCAGCACGAGTCTATAATATATATATATATATATTTTTAACGATCTATAAATATTATGAAAACAAATTGGGTTGTTAGTTTTTTTTATCCTGGTCGGAAGTATATAACGACATCAATAACGGTCACATCCGCATCGTTATACGGCATTGCGGGTAAAATAAAATTGATATCGGCCTTCTATTCCACCTTCTCCTCATCCTAGAACTCTCAGTCGACTGTTTTTATTCATCGACGAAATACAAACGATTAATTTTGGTTGATAAATTAACCTAACCAAACACATTTGATTTTCCATTATTAAACCGATAACACGTATATTTTCCGGAATAAAAATTGTACTCAACTCCGAATGCGCAGTTTTTGACCTACTAACCCGATTCGGAAAACAATTTTGTTATTTTTATGTATTATTAATAACACACGACTAAAAGGACCATTGAGTACACCAAATGTGAAATAGTTAAATATGAGTTAACAATTTGTTTGAAATAAGTTGTAAACAGTACAAATTTTGTTTTATATGTTGATCTGGATTGAATGATTTGGAATGATGTTTGGAAATTAAGACATTATTAAATATAATCACCCACCTGTTAAATACCATTAAATACCAGCACTTTCACTTTCAATCCCAGATTAAGAGGGGACAAAGGGTCCCGTTTACGAAGGTCATCGTTTATGTATGAGTATATAAAACAAATTTGGTCTCCATCCTTGGTAAAGTTAGCAAAAACATAAAGAATAATAATACTTGAGATATTAAAATATTATAATATATTATACCTGTATCAAGGGCCTATAACAAATTAATTATTTATTAATTTTTAATTGTTTGTATTGTTAAACTTTAAACAATAACAACTAATATATTATAAGTTATACATTCAAAACGACCAAAGGTCATTATATCATAAACCATACCCCTTCCTCCACCATATTTCTTGGGAGCGCAGTGTACCTCCTGTAAGAGCGCTCAAACCGCCTCTGATGTGTCACATTCGATGAGGACGTGTTTCACTGCGAGGCCACAACTGGTACATATAGGAGGATTTTCTTTTTTCATCAAGTACTAAAGGGGTAAGGTGAATATGAGTTATTGTGAGTTTGATAATAGAGAGTTCAAGTTTTCTTGAAATTTTGTCAAGTATGGCCCACGGGTATGTGATTTTAATTTTGTAATTATTATTCAGACGTTTAGAGGACCGTATTTATTTTCTACTTTCACAATTTCGTAAACATGTTTTATTATTTTATTATTTAAGGAATATATAAATATCTATTTAAATTATTTCGTTTTCGTGAATCGTGTCGGGCTTTAAACATTACGAGTGTGTACTTAATCCCATCACAACGGCAGCTGCTCGTTTCCAGTGAGGATTTAGATCAATTTGCCGCCATCGCCGCCGTGGTGATTATACGCAAGACGATAAAATCCGCTACTCAGAGACTCCGCCACAATATTTTTCGGTTTACACACCGGAACCACATATATATATATATATATATTAATAAAATTAATATATATATAGGCACAATATTTATTATACTATTCGTTTATAACGATATAATAAGTTAAAAAGTAAAATCAGCAATATTTTAGAACTCTGACTCTTATAACTATAAGTTCAAGTTAGTTTTAATTATATAAATTAATCATCATAAAAAAAAATTATGCCAACAGCACGCAGCAGTCTTCTCAAATGGTCAGCTAACAAGCTCCAAGTATTAACTAGGCCCAACGTTGCTCGAATTTAGAGATCAAACGAGAAATCTTATATTCCATGACAACGTGGTATAGTCATTGGTCACAAGCCGATAATATTCAACTATAAATAAATTCATCCTTTATTATTTTTTTTGGAGAAATTTCAAAAAATGAAGCGTGAAGCCAGGAAATTGAGAAGATTAAACTTAGAATGCGACGAAAAACCATTTCTAAATGTAAAATAAGATTATAAATGGATTTAGGTAAGGTTTGATGGGTTGTCGACTTTTTCCCCGAGTATAACCAAAGAAACTCTAAAATCGACAGAAAAAAATGTCAAAAAGTCCAAAATTCAATGCAGAAACTAAAATTAAAAAAAAACTCAAGTTCCGAATTTTGAATCTCTGATTATACATTTTATTCATAACCGGTTAAATTAGTTTAAAAGTGTACACTAAGAAAAATAAAAATAAAAGATCCTATACTGCTAAGAAAATAGGGTACATGAAGTTATTTAATTTATACCTATTCAATTTTAAAAAAAATCCATTTGGTTAAACAATTATCACCACATAGCACCTACTAAAATAAAACTACGTAAAAAACTCGCTAACTTAAAATGTCTATAAATAGCCCTAAAGTCACCAAAATTTTATGAACATTTTACAAAATCTAGAAGAGGCAAATGTAAGATTTTTGTCATTCAATTGATTCAAGTTTCTATGAATATTTTTAATTGAATTACAACAAAAAAACAAAAACAACAATAATGAAACCATGTTTTACGTAAACTTATCCATTCTTTCTAACTTTTTTTCAGTTTTCCCCCAAAAACCAAAAACCGACTTAATCACTAACTAGGTTAAAAATTCAATAAGAAAAGTTTCTTATCGTTTTCATATTAGAGCAATATTTTTCTGGAAGAAAACATAGTGCATATAAATTAAAAACAATGAAACCGGTAACACTACTGTTTGCCGTAAATATTTGACGTTTTTCGTATAAAAAATTTTATATCTAGTATACCAATTATGTGAAAAATTCCTTGAGAAATTAAAAAATGGCATTTTTATTGTGGCAACTAGACCTGAAATGAAACAAAATAGTTTTATTGTAATCTATATATTGAGGCAAATTTTCTGTTTGAAAATTTGTTTACAGAAAAAAAAACATACACACACACACACACACATTATAGTAAAACTAATGGACCCCAAAGAAAAATACAAGTGGACAAATATTCTTATCTCTGTAATGCCTTTATTCATCATTGTTGTGTTCAATCAATTTGAAAGAGTAATTTCATGCCTGAGCTCGAAACACAAAAATTCAAACTCTCTGTCTCTCAGCATATTTGAAAAAAAAACAAACGTTTCAAACATCGGAAACAAAAAATTTCAGTTTGTTCGTTTAGAAAAATTAGCAAACTTTGCTAATATTAACAGGCGACATTTTCTATGTGTGTTCAGTAACCTGGTTGTGACCAAAACTAAGATTAGCATCACATATTACTTGGTTTTCTTTTTGTCATGTGCATACTGAATTTTATACTATGTACTAGAATAATAGTATGATTCATGTTATTTGTATTATTTTAAATTCTGAGTGGGGCGAAGAAGCTAATGGTTTTACATTTAACTAGAAATAAAATTTTACTTCTAAAATTGAAAACCATGTATACTATGATCTTTCACTTTTATGATCAATTTGAACAGTCTTCTAAAATGTTGGTAAATCTCTGGCTTTTAGGTAGGTATAGAATACCTACTTTCCTAATCAGTAGACATGTTTAGTAAGCTTGTCTCAGTCCACCCTAAATATTAAAATGAGGTAAGTTCATTATTTTTATAGTTTTATGATACGTATGTTTATAGTTTAAATCTGGTTCAAATATATCTTTCAGGTTTTTAAAAAAGAAGAAAAATATATTTTATCATATTCCTTGAACACCGAGAAAAATAATAATGTACCTATTTATGTTGTAATTTTATACAATGCAGATGTTGTAATTTCAGTAAATATAACCGAATTTCGTTTATGAAAACTTACATGAAATAAATTATACTTTTAAAAATGTCTGTTTGCAACGTTATAGAATATATATATATTTACCGTTATAGCGTTATGTGTAATTATATAAATATATTATAATAAAAGAAAACACTTTTAAACAAACTCGATCCGCGTTTACGCCATGATATAATAATTCATTTAGTGGTTTTAGATTCGGAGCGTATCGAAGGATCTATTGGTTTTACTGTGATTTATGAATTTTTAATTTTTATATTTCCTTATATTGTTTTCTGTCTGTGAATTACTTTTTTACCAAAAATCTTGCTCCCCTAAGTATCAATTGTAGCACCTTTTCAGGTTATTTTTATTTTTCTAAGTTATTTTCAAAATAATTGAGAAAAATCCGAAAGAACATTATTGGAGTTTAATCATGTGAACTCTATTTTTTGTGATAATTAACTATCACGTGCCATTGTGATAATAACTATCACCATAGTAACTATCTTCAGGTGGATTAAACTGTAATTACTCCAGGTTTTATAGAAGCCTTTATGTAATCCGGTCGAAGTGACGAAAAATCCCGGTGGATTCGGTTTGGAGACGCAGGAGCTAAATATGACTACATTTAAATTCTATGCGATTTATCAACGCTAACGAGCAGTCCTTCAAGCTGCGGCTTTCGGGGCTTTCCGAGCCTTATTGTATCAATATAAATTATACCGAGTGAATAAATATCAAATTAATTAATACCCTATAAGCCAGGGGTTAATGCCGAACCGTCCTCGTTTCACACACACATCATAGTATATTATAATAATATCATTATGTTACTGAGAATATCCAAAAGCAATCACGATTGTTGAAAACAATTACTGATGAATGTTGACATATTCATCGAGCCCATTTTTGAATGTCTGAAATATTTATGATTTTTTGAATTTTGTGGACTGCCATCCCTTCATAAAAAAATAAGTAACAATTATTGGTAGGTATGTTAATTTGAAAAAAAAAAATTATTAATGATATTTTAATTGATTTATTATGTTTTTAACACACAGATGATTATTACTGGGTACTATTATATCGGATGGAGTATTCTCCATACAAAATAAAACAATGATATTTTTTTTTTTTGAAATTGTATTTAATTTAAATTTTTCATCTCAAACACGAAATGACTTTTGAAAAATTACGAGAAATCCACAAACGTATCGCGTGCGGTATAATGATGGGTGGTTACGGTTCCGCACGGATACAGCGTATTCCGGTTTATCAAAACCTTAACAAAAGCGGACGGCTAACATTAATAAGTGACGGTTTCTTGTATTTTTAAATTTGCCGGAACGATATGTAATATATTATTTTATAAAACCCTGTCAAATCGTGACAGGCCGAGTAATACGGTTTTCATTGGAACGAAAGTTCGCGTCAAAAACACGAGTCGTGCGCTGCAAAATGTATTGCAATGTACATGTACGACTGTACGTATGTTTTTATTTTTGTCAGTCTTTTTAAAGTTTAACCCCAATATTTTCCGAAAACCATAGTCTTGCGCAACTCTTCTTTGGGCTCAAACTGAAAACATTAAATTTCAACTGCACTTAGGGTTAAAAATAAAGCATGCGTCATGGTCATCAAGGAAACCACTTCAAAACTAAACCCGATTTCCCGGGCATGTTTTTATGGACTCTATCCGATTCATCCTAAGCCAAAACGTAAGCGAGTTTATTTTAAAAGTTTAGTGAGATTTTAGAAATTTTACAAAATATAATTTCCGTGTTGGTTGAACTTTCTCTATTATATGCCGTTTCAAAAGACTCATTCTGACCCAATGTCTTAAAAACCTCCCCAGCAGTCTTAGCCTTAATTATGTTTACACAATAGCATTATTTTTATCAGTTACTTTCCGCTCTCCGGGTATGGCGAGAAATCATTCTATAATCGTTTAATTCCGACAACAAGTGCGTATCCGACTAGTTGTGTACATTTTGTAATGTGCTACCTGAGACGGTGTTTTCTACACACTGTTGACCGGTTATGTAATATAATTATGATATCGGTATATATTCGGGTGCATTGTAATATAATTATCTATATGTATACATATAATAACTCCTCTTACAGTCTAGCGCATGTTTCCTGCGTATTTCCGTCTCGGACTCTAGGGCGTCGAACACGGCGGCACCGATGAGCAGATAGGTGAACGTACAAACGATCAATGATAATGTGCGGACGTTTTGCTTCTTCATCCTGCGGGCGACACCATGGTGCTGGCCGCCACCGGCGCCTTACCAACGACGCCGCCACCTCAGCTGTCGCAGCAGCCGCGGTAACCGGGCGCCGACCGCGCTTGCTTAGTGGATGATGTAACGATATCACGATACGTCGAACATAGCACTGGGTGCCGTACCGCACGCCGTAATACGTCCGCCGTCTGTCCAACATAGCGGCCACGGTCTTCCGACGAACCCATCACACTACCTGCCGAAAAAAAAAAAAAAAATTCTATACTCATTAAATGATATGGATTATTGCGTTTTAATAAAATATCGATATTATTATAGTAATCTATGGTTTTGAAACACGGGCACTGTGTAAATTGTAGACGAATATGATACGCACAGACATAAGGAGATTTGTTTGAGTATTATATGGATGTGAAAACGGGAGAGTAGTGTGTCAGATAAAATAAAAAAGTAGAACCACTACACTGTATCATAGACCTAGTACAGTACAAGCAATAAAGACAGAACAGCTATAGTAAGAAGGATATATTCGTGTACGAAGTTCACCTATCTGAAGGTAAAGTACCATTAAAATGTTCATTTACAAGTATTTGGAATGATCAGATAAGAAATAAAATAAATTACAAAGATACGCATTAGAAAAAATTATAACTTGGATTAGATTGGAGAAAACGGTGGAATGAAATTGGTTTGTCAGCAATTCAAGATGATTTCCAAGACCCTAATCAACAACAACAACAATATGATAGTGTATCCCAGATATCGTATATTTCTTATTAATCACATACTTACAGTTAATATTTATCAGAGCGTACATATAATTAATTATTATATACACGGAATAATAATATAGTAACATGAGACTTATACCACGCTCACTAATTTTCGGTTTTTTTTCTTTTCAACTTAGGGGTCTATGGCTGCAAAACAAACATTACTGTATCTCTCTATCCTGAACGAGTTCATTAAGATGGTCTATTCCCAGTTGTCTTAGTTTCTTCTTGCTTTTATCAATCCATCTCTGCTGCTGTCTACCTGCCGGTCTTTGCACTTCACTGTAATATTTTATAGGGAATCCCCAGGATAATACTAATTGCTCAGAACTAATCATTCGTCAGACTTTAGTTTTAATAAGATGCGGTCGATACTACGGGTCGTCGCCGTTATCGAATTCCCATTAGGCGCCGGGCGCACCACCGGTTTATTGATTTTGCCTGACGATGTCTATACAATAGAGATTTAGCGACCCGTAACTTGTTTTGTTTGTAACGCATTTTTAATATTTTATAGCTTCTCGTGCATTTTAGTAATCTAGTCTACTCTACGAGTCAAAAAAATCGCCTATATGAACAAAATATAGTCTATTATTGGAACTGTTAGCAAGTCGCTTTGATGAAAATCACGATAAACTTATGATAATTTATGAAGTCCTACCGGTGTGAACTAATGAAACCTCGAAATTAATGTGATCTTATTGCTTTTGATTTGCAAATTCGCTTTTTTTTCATAACTGATAAGTATTAAAAGTTTAAGTAGTAAAAAATATAGCCTAAAAACATTATGTAACTACTGTGAAAGTCTTTAATTTATATTTTCGTTGCTTGGTGGTTTTCCTATAGACCGTGAAATAGTTCCGTATTTACAAATTCTTTCTCTAATCGACTATACTCTATATAGTCACTATAGAGGCATCGATTCTCAACTTTGTTTGTTCTACACCCCACTTGTAAATGTTAGAAATCTCACACCTCCAACTATTAATACAAAATATGAGATAAATTGAGATTTTAATTATAGATATAGTAAATTTCCACATTTCATATTTTATTCTAAGAATTTCACCACCGCTATATTACTCTCCACGCAGTACCTAAATTCCTTCCTGAGGAAGAATTTCTCCCCCCCCCATTGGTAAACACTGCTATAGAATATTCGAATACAATAATATTACTCACAATACGTTATATTAGCAAGGGATTCAATCCAGAGCCGAGTCGAACACTCAACAATACCGTTCAGTCGAGACCATTCATACTTACCCTCCAATCAAAACAACGACGTGTCTGAATACTGAATAATCGCCTGACAATCAAACAGGCAGAAATGTACAATAAACGATTAGTAACCGATTATAATAGTTGATTATATCAGAATAGCCACGACCAATTGACCGCGTCTATTAAATTTTAAATATAATATCTTCAGTAATTTCCGAATATTTATATTACTACACAAAAATGGATGTTCTTATCGTTTATAATATTATATTATTCGTTTTTAATATGTTCTAGTTTTGTAATTTATAATACAGACTTTGAATTAAATTCCTTAAAAACGATTAAAAATAAAATAGCCAAAAATAATTCTTTTAATAGGTACTTAAATGGGAATGCAGCAAAAAATGCAAAATATAAGTTAGTGTAATTTTTGAAAATTAAAATTATTAATATTATACGTAAATCAAATTATTCACTTGGAATGCATTTTCTTAGAGCATACAAAAATAAAATTCACGTTGTATTGGAATCCGTGTCTAGATGTCCTCATAAACAAATGCAGCACAATAAGAATAAAAATATTATCTATACGGATATAATAACTGAATACGAGTATTAGAGTTCGTTTTCCTTTGTCGCACACAATTTCACTGAAATATAAAATTTAAACCGTCAATAAATAGAAGAACAAACCATTGCATATCCCGATACACCTACGTATGGTTTAATACTTGATACCTATAATATTCCCGAGTGTGGAATTTTCATTCATTTCATATGTAAAGCGAAACTCGAACGCATTACGAATATAAAATACATATTTTAAAACTTTCTGTTATATTATATATGAGCGAATCGTTTGTTTCGGGAAACACTTTTTATGAAAATTTCTGTTGTGGTAATAAATGGTATCATGTGCTGCTATAACACGAAAATTGTGGTTTTTTCCATGTTTTGGTATCCCGATGACGATGAAAATAACATTATTGAATATGAATAATTACGAAATCGTCCTCTGGCCTTTTAAAATAAAATTATTTTCTTCAAATGAAAAACTCGATTTTACGGAATTATACATACTTTGTTAACAAAAAGTAAAAATCCTATTTTATAAAACATAATTAAAATAAAATAAGAAAAAAAACAACCGTGAGGAGTAGATTTTTGCAAATAGATAGTTGGGGCAAGGATTAGAGGTTTAAACCTTCTAAACGTTTATCCTGGATAACAATGCTATTTGTTTAAACAATTTTAACGCCGTTACTTATTTTGATGAGTTTGTAGAAGTCTATTTAACAATAAGTAAAACCATGAAATTCAATCATAAAAATGATAGGGAAAAGGTTGAAAGATCAAACCCCCAACAACCTTTCTATGATACTTACTCAGTTATATCGTGCATACATAAAATTTCATATCCTGGGTTCATTTGAGGAATTTATACGGAATGTTCAAAGCTAAAAAAAAAACACCTTCCCTCAACAACATGGTGAAATTCACATTAAAACACAGTCTACATTTTATCACTAACTTTTGCATACAAAAATATTCCTGAGTTTGAACTCATTTGATCCAAAGGGAACAACTACTAAGTGTGTTCAAAAGTATCATGGAAATGATTTATCATACATAATACAGTACAACAGTCTCTATTTTCGGGGAAAATTTGACAAATCTTGTATGTGGGTAATAGTAATTAATCGTTTTGACGTCGGTTCAATCGATTTATTACTTTCAATTAATTAATATTAAAATTGTCATTAGAAATTCCAAAAGTCACAATAGGAATAATATATATAATTTATACGCTCCGACCGATGAACTCGAAATTTCAAATCTAAAATAATGAAATTCGCAAACAAGAATGTAAAAAAATACGACTATAAACTAAAATATCTACGAAAAAATATTATTTTTATTTGTCATTTTATTCGATTAAATATATATTGTAAATCTCACGAATAATTGTACTTTATAGTTCCATTATATATTATATTATACAAGTTAACTGTGCTTATTTTATATTATTTATATATTAAAACTTTTTAAACAAGTTCAATGAGTCGCGAGCTAAGAGAAAAGAGAACAAATCCGGAAAAGACATTATTCGCAACTTGGGAAGAACCATAGGTAACTGTTGTGGGTGAGAACTGTTGAGGAATTGGGAAAATATTGTAATGATATGCTATTTAAGCTATCATACATTATGTAAAATAAAATATTATGTAATGTTAATAAATCAAACAATTAATAACAGGAATGATAGTAAAACATTTACATCCGATTCCATTCTTTTTCATTATCAAATAACATATATTTTAGTACGATATTTACTCATCGTAAGGAGATAATACTTAAGCTATCATATATAATTNAAGAGAAAAGAGAACAAATCCGGAAAAGACATTATTCGCAACTTGGGAAGAACCATAGGTAACTGTTGTGGGTGAGAACTGTTGAGGAATTGGGAAAATATAAAACATTATATGTGGCAATAAACCGTCGAAACCTGCAAAAAACGATTCTGGGTGAAACTCGGTGAACTGATGACCGTGTTTTTGTTGTCCTGTGATCTGAAATTCCAGTGTGAAACTCCATTATATAGAAATCGTAATTAAAAAATCCTGAGAATATATTGTTTAATGCTCTACGTAACAGTACAATAAATTTTGTTCAAAACCAATGTAATTAGTTTAAAAGTTTACAATTATAAAAGAATAATAATAATAAAAAAAAAAAACCAACGACCGCAGTGTTTCCAAGCAGTCACCCATCCAAATAATAATTACATCCGACGTCCTCAACTTCAGTGACTGGACGAAAACTGATGTATTCAACGTGGTATGATCATTAGAAACGATCCGAAAGCATAAAATTATAAATAAATCATACTTCTTATTAATGAAAACAAAAAGTAAGTACTAGAAAAATTGCAAAAAATTACCCCAATAGCAAATGCACCGGACTCTATAACAATAAATGTTAACAGAATTAAGTTCCCTTTATTTATTAATTTTTCTATGAGGCAAGTTGTTCGGTTACAATCGAAGTTAACCGAGATAGAAAAAAAAATACACGGAAATACTTCACACGATGAGTGCACCACTGTTATAGATGAGAAGTTGAGAAAGAAGAAGGGAAATTAACCATAACTAACGAAAACCGATTCTGAACGGAGTTCAGTTAATACTTAATAGTGTTGCTTTGTAAACAATATATAAATGTCATTTTAAAGTAAAATAATTAAATAATCTTTACATATTTTTTTTAATAATATTTGTGTAATGTTGTACTGATTTTCCCAACTTTTCTACGTTTTCCCGGTTTTTCACATTTGATGAGAAAACTCCTTAGGAAATCGAAAAATTACCTTTTTAAAGTACTTCCCTAGTGAAATTGCCTTTTAGATTGCTGTTATTAAAAGCCGGAGCGAAATTACTTGTGGAAAAGTTGTGGACAGGAAAAAAAATAGTAATATTTGATTAATATATTTCGTGCATTTTCCCATTTTTTTTCGGCTTTTCAAATTGTATGAAAAAACTCTTGAGAAAATTGGATGACTTCCCTAAACCTATTTCTTTTCAGAAAAGGTGCTACACTTAGAAGTCCGAGTAAGTTTTCTGGTAGAAAAGTTGTTAAAAGATAAAAAGGAAAAAAAAAAGTATCTTTGTAAAACCATAAGTTTCTTCGTTCCACTCAGAAGCTAAAATAAACATTACTGTAAAACCAATACATTTCTTGCTCCCCACAGAATCTAAAATATACAATATCATTATTATGATATAGGTGAAACCGTTACGGAAATATAACATATTTGCTCCATTAGTTTTTTTTTATTTTTGTCGTATTACGTAAAAACATTAATTCATCTTCTCCTTCGCATTTTATATTTATAGACGAGCGCCCTGCAGATTTGGTCAAAAAAATGGGTTGCCCTGCACCGTACGTTATGTACTTCATCTATGAATGATGGACGAGTAGTCGATTCTTTATTGTGTAGACAGACTGCTATATCCAGAGTTTTTATAGAAGTTGTAGAAATTTACAACATGCGGTCCTTCACTCTGATGCAGGTAAGTCACCTCGGGGTTGCCATAACGACAAGGATATATACTATTGAAAACTACCCAAAGTACAGTTTAGCAAACCATCATGTTCACAAAAGAAATTAATCAATATTGTGTTTTTTTTTCTCTCCTCTTTATTCATTCATTTTAATTCAAGTATTTTCTTCTATATATACATACGAATATACGAGACAAGCAAGAGGTTTTTTTATCATGATTATTATTATTATTCCCAAGAGGTCGATTAGTTTAAGTCATTTTCAATGTCGTTTTACGTACATGTTTTTATTTTTCTTTCGGCGGCCATCCGTTTGTCAAAATAAAAAACTTTTACCAAACACAAAAGACGGTTTCAAACGGTTTGTCGCCTGCAATGTGAGAAAAGCCTGCAGTGAAACCACAAAGACTGCGGTTTAGACATTCGTTCTGTTTTGATCAACCCGCTTTAAGGCAGTGTTGTAGTACTTTTTATTGTTATCATTCATCTAACATCTGAAAGAGACGCTCGACGTCTCTGAACCAAATTTGATTATACAATTTAGAGATATTTTTTTTCTCGATATTTTAAGTGCTCGGGAAAATATATAAGTTCGTATTTGATCGTCATGCAATACCAAAATATACAACGAAGAACAGAGTTTAATATTTATATTATATTATATAAAATGTATTAATTTTAAACTTAAAAAAAAATAATAATAATAAAATATAATACTAAAAATTAGTGTTTTATATAAGTTTTATTTAGTCGCATATAATGGTGAAAATGACTCATTGATGATGTCCATAAAATACCTCATAAAATAAATCATGATTTTTAATAAATTCGAGTGGAAAAAGATAGGCATACTTCGCACGATAGATGGACCACTGTTGTAAATGAAAAGTTGGGAAAGTAAGATATAAAGAAAATTGTACGTGTTTCTGTGTACAATGGTTAATCATTGCTAACAAAAAACGATTCTGAGCAGAGTCTGGTTATACATGATTTATAAGATCGTAGTATTTATAATTTTCATCGAAATTTTATATTAAAACAGTAATTTTAAAAAAAATAATACATAAAACTCAACTTTTACATATTAATTACTAATTACAACTTATAATAAACCTCCTATTCAATTTTCAAGCATTTCTTATTGGTCTTACAATTTTATTCACAGAGTACAACGAATAAAAACTACGTAAAAAACTCGCGAAATTAAAATGCCTATAAATAACTCAAATGTTTTAGACATATTTTAACCACGTTTATAAAATGCAAATATAATGTTTCTGTTTAAATTTCAAGACTTTACGAACATTTCGAACTGAATTACAACAAAAAAACAATATTGTTAATAATAAAAGCATTATTTTCGTACATTATTCCATTTTTCCTATGTTTTTTCCAATCGTTATAAAAAAACTGCTTGGAAAATCAAAAAATAACCTCTTTAATGCACTAACAAGATAAAATTACCAGTCAGAAAAAGTGCTACACTTGATCAGAGTAAGACTTCTGATAGAATTTTGTATAAAACAAAAATTAAAATATAAACATTATTATAAAACTAATACATTTCACGCTTCGCTCAGAATCTAAAATATTTGATGATAGACAAGAACAAAGATACTGGTGAAAGATGTAAAATATTTGATGAAGATTGATTGAAAATATTTAGTTATGAAACAAAATGTACCTATTTGTAGGCGTTAGTATTTTGAAAGAGGTCACCACACGAATTATGGTTTATCGACTATTAATCGGGTTGAGAATATTTAGACTCACCTGTGTGACCGATTTATGAGAACGAATGATATGTAACCGAAAGCAGAATAAAAGATTAGCTGAATTATGTGCATAAGAAGAACTAACTGCTGCTTTTCGAAAAGGTAATAATAAGTTACAATTTAGAACGAAGCGTTTGAATAAAATGAGCAGGCAACATGTACAACCATTTCGTTCGTTGTTCGGATCTAAAACTGTAAAATATTGATATAAAATAAAATTATAAAAACAACAATGGCACGATCTAGAGCAGTAATTTTTTTAAAACATATCAAACGGATAAAATACCTTCAAAAATCTATGTAAAAAAAAACTATCAAGTTTCTACCATTGTTATATTATGTTGATACTGTAATCAAATCGATTTCGATAAATTTAAACGTTTTTATCATGTTTTGCGTATATTGTCTCTTTTGTTGAGGAAACTATAATATAAAAAAATGTATATATATTATCATATAAGGTTCACTTTATTTGTCAAACAACTTGAAAATTTTTAAAAAAAAAAAGACCTTTTTTGAAGTAGGTACTTACCCAAAGAATAATACCTAGCCAATTTTCTATGTCTGTAGTTGTCCCCAAGACAAGATTCTCAGACATATCTTGCAGTTATTCAAAATAAAAAGATAACTATATTTTAAACCTACAACCAAATCGCTAAATTTCTGTTCGAGTTATTTGTCACCACGCGTTATTATGAAATGATATTTTAATGAGTTTCTAATTACGCCTGAAAATTTGGTAACGCGGCGTGATGCATAGGCAATGTCAGTACATCCTGGATCGCAAGTACATCAAATATCGATTTTCGATTAATAATAGTTTACAACACAGATTTTCTTGTAAATAATATTATATCATTCTCAAGTATAGAGATTTGGCTGAACGGATTCAAAAATTAATAAATACATAATATATCATCACCTGATATTATATAAATGGGAAGTCGAATATTTTTAATTTCGAAAATTATAGTAAACTGGTATACATACTATACAAATACTAAAATATATATTTTTAATTTTTGAAAAAGTTTTAATCGAATTTAGAGACCAATAAATAGCTATTTTTAAATATAAATATTTTATGTTCAGTTTGCTGTATCTTTGAAAATCAATATTATATAAATTTAAAATCTTTAAATAACAATAAGGTGTAAAGTACATTTTTATTTTAAATTGAAAATACACAAAAGTTTGATTAAAATATTGAATTTTTAAACTTTTTTATGAATTTTTTTACATCGTTAAATAATAAAAAAATATTATTTTTTTAAAGTAGACACCTTGATTTTTAATTATATCATATTTGGTTACATTAAAAATATTGATATGGGTTCCATGTAAGTATGGAATTGGTTCGAATGTACTAAAACGGCAAGTTCGTGTAGCCTTATAACTCTGGTGTGGTTTAATTTTAAAAATACAGCAAATTGAACATAAAGGATTTATATTTAAAAATAGCTATTTATTGGTCTCTAAATCCAATTAAACTTTTTTTTCTAAAATTATAATTATATATTTCTGAATTTTAGTTATGTGTTTAATGGAAATAGTATCAACATTTTTAAAAATTATCCAGCACACTCGTCAGGTAAAATTATACGGAATAACCCTATAATATTACATAAAATAAATACTATTCTGTAAATATATTAAGAAATCTGTAATTATATAGATTCTATAAAATTATAAATGCTCAGTAACATAATGATAATATGCACGATAAAAGTATTGTATAACATCTTGTATAAATGATTTTGTGTATTGTAATTTAATATTAATCCCGCTTACGGTGTAAAATCGCATGTATTTGTTAAGCTGGACAATGATAGTTGATAAAAACTGCATGCCACCACTTCACTGGGTATATTGTTATATTTTATAGATCCGCAAGTATGCTAATGGATATCTGTAAGTCATGATATACAGAACATTTTTATGCGACCCAGCTATCATGCAGTGTCACTGCATTGCCTGAAAACAGCGTATTTTACTGTGGAAAACGGTCAAAAATATAGTTTCGGAAATGCGTGTTATAATAATTAATCATTTTCAATAAAGAATAAAATAATCGCGTGTATTACGCATGACGGACGATGTTTTATTAAAATGATTATTATTATTCCCGCTGAACATGAATCATGTCAGAAAACCGAGACACGTTCAGTCATATATATATGAATATACGCACGGTCACCCCAGCTGGGTTCCTCGCGTCGACGACTTGACTCAGTGGCTTATGAACATCCGATTTTGAAAATCCACAACACTTGCTGAGTATAATGTATTATAATCATAATATAGATTTGATAACAAAGTGTCTCTTTTATGAACGCGTTTGTAGAAAACTTACGATAACGCATAGTGGGGTGTGATGCATACGATAAAAATTAACATGTATGCAACGAGACTGTTTTAGATTCTGAGTGAAGCGAAGAAGCTTATAGTTTTACAAAGATGTTTATTTTTTTATTTTTTTCATCTGTGCTAACTTTTCTATCAAAATACTTGCTCGGATTTGTACATGTAGCACCTTTTCTGGAAGAAAATAGGCGTGGGAAGGTACTTTAAGAAGGACATTTTTCGATATTCTCAAGAGTTTTCTCATCAAGTGTGAAAAACTGAAATAAAAATGGGGAATTTATGAAATATAATCTTACAATTTTTTTTCCTGTGAACAACTTTTCTACCAGCAATTTTGCTCAAACTTTTCATAATAAAAATATTTCTAGAAGGAAATTTCACTAGAGAAGTCATTTTTTGATTTCCTCAGACGTTTTCTCATCAAATTTGAAATACCTAAATAAAAAATTGGAAATTCGGGAAAATCGTAGGGAAATTATTTTTAACACGGTACAACATTAAACAAATTTTATTTAAGAAAATATATAAAACCTATTTAATTATTTTACTATAATATAGCATATATATTGTTGACAAAGCATCACTATCAATTGAACTCTGCTCAGAATCGTTTTTTCGTTAGCTATGGTTTATCGTTGCTTATAGATATACATTAAATTCCCGTATATATCCTACCTTCCTAACTTCCCACCTACACCAGTGGCTGCACCCGTCCTCATTATCTTACCTTTCTTTTTTTTTATTTAGTTCACGACAGAGAAAGTTGGTTAAGTTAAATTTATTGATTGTCTACGATAATTATAAAAATTATATTCTCTTATACTTAAACTTATGATAAATAATATAGTCTCAACGGCATTCGTCCAGATATTTTTTTATCGCAGAAACAAATGGCTGTAATTTTATTTATTGTCGCGTAAACAACAATAAAAAAATGACAAAATTAATGCATAGTAATAATTAGGCATATCTACACATAAGCGCTAAGTTATACAAATTGGAACTGGTGTCCTAAATTTCGTGAACTACAACACTTTTTACCCTGAAAAAAAATTAGTTTGATTCATATATAAATACATATAACTAATTTTTGATAAGATAAAATATTATTATCATCTGCGGTAAAAAACTGTGGTATCTGTAGTCGTAGAATTTTAGATTATAACCCCAGTGGTCGATAATTATAAAAATTACAAGTTTATTATCAGTTATATAGAATTTGTTCAAAGGTTTAAAAAGCGAATAATTAATCATATAGTTAATTTATGTTACAACCATATACTAAATAATCTAGTCTAATATTTAACGAGCACTTTACCTCCTAAAAATATTTTGACGGGTATTCAATCCTTTAGACACATCCGTGTACATAATGCTTATACCTACACTCAGTAAAACAAAAATTACATATACTTCTGCAAAAAGTATAAAATAAAGGACACAATCTGTTAACGTCGGAGAAAATCATTATAACATTAAACTCGAGCCATTATAAATAATTGTATTCAAATCAGTCAGTATTTACCTGCCTAAATTTTTTTCAAACCATAGTACATTTTTACATACTTTTCTTTAATTTGCTTTGAGTCATATCATGGAATCTTACAGTCTATTTTTGACCCACTTTCTGTGATCAAATTAATTTGCATTTTTCCATGCAATCATATTTACAGTGACAATAAAATAATCAATAATCAGATTTTAAATTTTTACCTATATATTTTCAAAGGGGGTCGAAAAAGCTATAGAGGTTTTCTATATATGGTTAACAAACAAAAGTTAAACGTATCGTTAAATTTATGAGATAAGAAATATTACGAACAACTTGCTTGGATTAAACCTAAAAGAAGGAAAATAAATTTTAAAAACATGTTTTTCTTAAAAAAATTATAGTACTAAAAAAAAAATGTTTCGAAAAAAAAAATGTTGAGCATGTTAGACTAAAAAAAAAAGCATGATATGTGTAATCATAAATAAACACTTCAGATATTCACTAATTTTGACGTAATATCATAATAAAGCGGTCTGCCATTAACGGTATTGTTTCGAAGTTAACCTCTCTTGAAGGTCCCACAAGTCAATAATATAGTGGAGATTTGCCTATATTGAATTGAAATTTTCTTATGAAAAACTGCTTTTTACAAACAAGTGAATATAAAATCTAAAATGTATCACATTAAATTAGAAAATTAGATAATACGTTGGTCTAATTAAAAAATGACTTGATCTACATTGAGAAACTGGTTACTTAAACCGAACCACTTTTTTAAAAAAAGTAAACAAAAATAACTAATTATGCCAAATTGTAGTTTACACGTTTAGGTATTGTTTTGATGCAAAATTCCATTAATAATTTAGAACACCTCATGAGGTAATTAAACAATAATATAAACTAATTCGTTAAAAAATTACAAAATGTAAAAAAAAAAGATCTAATATAGGTCACTCTACCCTATGAAGTATATACATAGTTTTTTTTTAATCTATCATAGAAAATGTTCAAAATTTTAATTTTTTATTTTGACATTATGTATGTAGTAGTTATTTGTGTTACAGAATTATTTTTTTTTATCTTTTGAAAACACTTTTTTGGCGAATAAAATGATGTATTTTTTTTCATACTGTTTCTTAAATGATGCTGAATTTTCACCGAGCGATACTTTACCAGAAATATTTTTAATAATTTTCAATGGTACCTAATCATATGAACTATATTTTTTTTTCTCGTAAATACTCTGTAGTCAGTAAAAATATTCTAAATTGTGCAGACCGTAATTCAAAAGATGAGGTACATTCCCTATACACTTCCAATGATTTATTTGAAAAAAAAGTTCTAGATTTCCATCAATTTTACAAACAAATTATATAAATACCGTAATATTGTTATTATTTCGTAAAGGTTAGTACCTGGCACTAAATTGAGATATATGATTTCGGGTCAAGATCAAAATTTCTTACTGCAGTATACTTTTTAAAGTTTCCCATAGTAAAACCATTCGTAGTGACCAGTTTATTTTTGTTATTATTTTCTACGTCTTATGACATTTCTTATTACCTACCTGATAAAATGTTTTTATATAGCAGTTTACGTGTTGTCAGTATACGATGTGTTATAAAATGATAATAATATGTTAGATATTATTGTTGTCGCATCTGTATAGAAGTTTACAGGACAAATAATATTGTAACAGTTTTTATACGTCTATAATAATATTTTGAAAAGGTTATTTTTTGTTGAAGAATTTAAAGTATAAGTATGCTCTTTTTCACAATATCGATTCCGCGTTGCCACAGCAAAACCTGTATACAGCCATAGACAATAGGTTTTTCCCTTTAAAACAGTTTTCAAACGTTTAATCAAAAAAATGTTAAAAATAGCCAGTTTAAATCAAAAAATAATCCGATTTTCTCGACTGTTTTAACGAAAATACGGCATTTTTGAAACATACTGGCAGAAATTATTTTCACTCGATTTCGTGAGATAAAACATACGCGAGTATTGACGGGAAGTAGTAAAAAAAAATACAATTATCTATAAAAGAGATATCGCTATCGTGTTTCAAACACACTCGACTTGGAAAAAAAAATATTATACTAATATTTAATAACTACCTAGAAAACGAGTTAATTTGTTTTTTTTTTTTTTTTTTACCGAGTAAGAAAGATGTACGCTCGATTTAGCTTTTTAACAAGACACCATTTTTTTTTTTTTCTGGTAAAATGGAACAGTAAATAACTGAAAAGCATGTACGAGTTTAAAACCGTGAGTAATGAAATACGCTCTAATGTATAACATAATATCTACTCTGAAATTATTTATTTATTTATTTATTGTGCAACGGGCTGAAGCCCTGTTATAAATCGTATGACAAGTAGTATAAAATACATAAGATACTTTACAGAAGATAAAAGATGAAAAAGTTAAAGTTTGATAGAATAATTATGTACTTACATAATATACAAGTAAAACGAATAATTAAAGAACGTATATTAAATAATTGAAAATCACAATCATTCTATTTTTAATAAAAAAGTGCATTAATTTTAAATTTATCACGACCATTGCAATGATCATTGATCATTTGATTCAATTCTGTAAAAAAGATTTACTTCATCGACGAATAAATTAATATTAACTGAAGCATCGAGAATCTGCAATAGGATATCAATGAAAATTCAAAATAATAAAAGACCTAAATGAGATCTCCAAGGAACATAAGATAGAACAGGAAATTCATATAATAAGTGAAATGCAATTTTTTAAACTTGAGATTGATTTCAAAAGTATGAAGATTTTTGAGCTAGCCATTTGAAAAAATAACCAAGTACTTCGAAGGATTTCAATTTACTATACTTATAATAAATAATAATCAACTTTATCAAAGGATTTTCGATAATCAGCGTAGATCGAATCGACTTGAAAACCTTGGTCCAAAAAATTGGTTAAATAATATTTATATTGTAATAAATTAATATAAATTAATTGTTTTGCTAAAAAACCATTCTGAGAGAGATTATACTAAGCTAGAAAACAAGTTCACTTACGTTTTATTTTTAGTTTTTATCGTATAAATTGAACTGTAGTTTTTTTTATCGAATTATTCTCAAGAATAGAGACTATAGCACTTTATTGTATTTATTATACATCGAATAGGTAATAAAGAAGGTAATATATCTTTTTTTTTTACTAATTTTGGATATTTTTAGCGACTTCCTCTGGCCCAAAATGAATTCTCAGGAATAAAAGATGTGTTGTAGACAAATTGAAGTGTTTAATTGTAATATGAATTTAACCGTGTTGTTGGGAATTATTTTATACATCCATAAAGACTCTCCAAATAAAGCCATGAAGATGAAATTGTGAAAATATATTGTATAAGTATTATTGACGAACCCTTTGGAGCAGTTGCGTCATGTTTGAGAAAAAGGGAACAAAAGCTTTGACCAGCTGATAATAAAGTTGTAAAAAAAAAAAATCGCTCGCTTACTTATTCGTCAAAATTACATTTATATCTCAATACAAATAGCCCTCTCCTCTTACATCATTTTATACAATCTAAATACTAAATAATAATCTTGGTTATAACCATGTCACCATGAACATTATTATAATCACAGAATAGATTAAATCAGAGTGGATACTCTCTAAAAAATTACATTGGCTCTTATGAGAGCCCGATAATTTGTGCTAAATTGATTAACGAAAAGTACAATAAAAACTATAGCACAAAGTAGCCGTATACAACATAAAATACAAAACATAATGATATGGATCATGTTTGCATGCTTTCGGACTAAAATTAGCCGAACACCAGCCTATACTCGCCCCAACAGTGGCTCGTTGATAACGAGGAGAGGGCAAATAGTTTCCCTGCCCCCTTCAATGACGCCACTGCTTTGGGGTTTTAACTTTTAACTCCAGCCCTAATAATTTCATATATATAATTTCGCCATTTTGTTGGAAATAGTATAATAATAATTAATGTAGTACCTATAGTATAGTATTTTATTGTAATCAGCTATTTATAGTTTTACAAAGAATATTTCTATTACAAAAAAGAAAGATAAACCTGCTTCGTACGATGTATGGAATATAGAGAAAAACTGTATTTATATTTGTACGCAACGATAAACCATTTCTATCGAAAAAAGATTTAGAACGAAGTATCTTTTATACATGTACGTGATTTTTCCCGTGTTCCCTATATTTTTCCCAGTTTTCCTCAATTATTATGAAAACCACCCTAGTCAAATTTCTTTTCAAAAAAAGTGCTACACTAAAAATCAGAGCAAAATCTATGGTAGAAAAGTTGTTCACAGACAAAAATAAATAAATAAAAATCATTATAAAACCAATACATTCCTCGCTACGCTCCAAATCTAAAATAATTCAGAGAAATTTTCGGATGTAGTGACGAAGCTTTGCTGCTCATATGTATATACAATATATATATTATAATAATTATTCACACATATTATAATCTTTTTATAAAATTTTGACGGCTGCAGATTTTCGTTGGTAGTTCGTTCTTAATAAATAAGAAGACTAGACGGTTTTAGATTAGCAGCTGATATCTTATTCATGAAAAATAAATTATCATATTTAAACACCAATAACACTGCGGGACCAACCAATGGTTTACGTGCATTATTCGAAAACACGGTATTACCTACGCTAAATATTATGCTTAATAGTATAATTATAAGCAGAACATGAATATTCGAGTCGGGTTAACTCACTTGTGGCGATTGTTGCAATGAGTTTATACTACGTCATCTGGGTGGCTTGCCCAGAAATCTTCAATAGGAGGGGATGTAGAATTTTCTTCACTAAATCTAACTCGACAGTGAAATTTAAAATCTGATTCCAAAAAAAGCCAATTTGTATTCAATTAATCAAGCTTTTCCTTAAAACTTATTAGCTGAAACATATACATTTTTAAGATTAAATTACTATAATAAAAATTTAATTTAAAAAAAAAAAAAAATGTATGTTTACGCAGTAAAAATAATAAATTTATGTATAATATATTATAGTAGAACAAAACAAAACAAAATCTGGTACATTATATAGGGTGGTTTTTTTTTATCATGAACCAGCAATTTTCTCAGAGGATTATAAGTGAATTTGATTTCTGTTTTTTTTTTTAACCATTATGGAATCAGTTAAGCTATATTTTAAAATCATTTTTAATTTTTACCATAAATAAGTGTATAGTTGGTTTTCAAATAGAAACTTCCCTTTTTAGATACATATTTGAATATAGAATATTTTTCTAGACATTTTGATATGCATAACACTAATGTCAGATTTACCGTTTACGAATTATAACCGTTTAAAGTTTAGATTGGAGAAATAGAAAAGAGTAATAAATTGCATGATTGCACTCTACTCTTTGAATAAAACAAATAAATACTTATTTAAGGTATATGGAATAGGGTAAAGAATTTAAAATGGTTTTAAAATAAAGGTTAACCGATTCCATAATGGATAAAAAAAAAAACAGAAATCAAATTCATTTAAAATCCTCCGAGAAAATTGCTGATTCATAATAATAAAAAGATCACCCAGGATAAATTATGTACAAATACAATCGATTTCGAAAAATTATCATTAGGTATTTTGATTTTTTTATATTTGATATTTCATCGAGTATTAATCTGAAAAAAACTATTTCTTTAAATTAATACTCATAGTTGTTGTATTTTTAAGTCAATTAAGCGAAGTAAAACCCCCCTTACACACGCCGCTGTACTCCACTATAATATTTAGGAGTTCGTGAATGGGCATTCACTACTCTCGTCTAATATATGTAATTATTTTTCTATACATTTCGTATATTTCTCTAATATGCCAGTTAAATTTACTTGAAATAGATTTAAAAAAATCACATTGGACATACTGAAAATCTCGACACCTATTATCTATGTGCTCTATATAACACGCAGCACCTAGACAACCAAAAATGAGTGGAATTTCTCTTCTCACCGATTACTTAATAACTCATTAATCATTAAACTAACAACCAAAGCGTACGGAACACAAATTAAAGGCCATCGAGTTTACTACATGAAGGTACTATTTTGTACGAATAATTCGACCCATCGTACCGTCGCCATTGAAAAAACCGACTATTTATCGCTGTAAAATAAAAAAAAAATTTACCAGTTTGGTTTCTTTCGTCACGGAAATCACTCCACCAGCGTATATCGGAGTTCGGTTTTTTTATTTTTCTTCGTAAAAACAGATACCAATATTATTTATTGAGTGTACATTATCCGATCATTTTGACATTCGGTAATAAGCATGTCCATTTTTTCCGCACAAAAATACTCATATCGTGTGCAAGGAAAACGGTCGATTAAATTAATTCGGGGGTTTATTTATTTACAATACATAATATATAAACTATTTTTTTTCTATGCAATCATGTGGCGTTTCGCATAATAGGGACACCTTTTTGCAGAATTTCAACCTACAAGGTAAACGCCCGTTAGATTTATAAGTCTGTGATATATGGACAAGCGGAAATGACAAAATTACAAGTTTTTATGATTTTAACTACGGAATCCATAAAACACATATCTGCACGTGTTGCGTTAGGTTAGATTAGATAAATGAACTAATATTTGACATTGACCAAAAAAATACGAGAAATCCTAAAATATTTATTTTTCATCATCTAGACTCTAGATTCTAGAGTGTAAGAAAGACCGCGAACGAAATGGAAGGATGCTGTGAAGAGGGACATTTAATTGTTGGATGTGAATGCGTCTGTTGAATTAGCACTCAACAGAGAAAGGTGGAGACTTACTTGTGGCAGCTCAGGTCCTTCAAGGACAGTTAAGCTGAAGAAAGAAGAAGGAGAGTGTAAGAAAGTGTCTGCATTTAAATAAATCTTTATAATTTGATTAAAAAACGCCACCGTTTGTTATATATTTAAGAACCGAGACGACAATTAAAGTTTACTATAAACGTCAAACAGATCACCGTAAACAATAATATATTATGTATCAGACGCGTATCACAGATGTTAAGTTTTAGAATTATTGCTTTTTTACGAGACAGGAGAGGAAAAAACACAAACAATCTATTTATATTTTGCCATTTAAATGTTTTTGTACGAAAAACGAGCAAACGAATAGCTTCTCTGAAGTGCGTTTGCTCATTGTTGTTGTGTTCAATCTATTCGAAAGATTAATTTCACGGTCGAGCTCAAAACACGAAAATTCGAATTCTCTGTCCCACAGCATATTCGCGAAAGACAAACGTTTCAAAAGTTTGGAAACAGAGAAATTCAGTTCTTCCATTTAGGAAAATGGAGTCACAAACATTAGGAAACTTTACTAATGTTGACAGCCGACATTTTTGTTCACGTTGCATTTTGTTCAGTAACCTGGTTGTAACCAAAACTAAGTTTTTTTTTTGTCGTGTACATATTGTATTTTATACTACATATTAAAATAATTATATGATTAATTGTGTTTTTTTATTTTCGTACAATTGGTTAAAAATTAGTCTTATCGTGAAAACGACTGCAGCTGAATTACAGCCATACAATCATTACAAAAGTTTTGATTATTATGAGTTTGAAACGTTTACTGCTCGCAAATTTGCTCTCACTATCCATTATAAAATTATAAAAAAAAAGAGCCATTCAAATAGGAAGCTATAGATTTTATTCAAAACCAGTGAATTATTCGACATTTTTTGGTCGATTTTTGGCTCTTGAATCTAAAATATCGAATAATATTTGCTATACTTTTTGTTTGAATACCTGCACATCCGATTTTCCTGTCTAATTTCTAACTTTTTAAATAAAATATAAGGTTAGGTACTGAGTGTTCTCTTTCTAGTAATCTTTTCAGGTTTTGGAGGTCACTAGAGATTTTAAGAAACATTTCCAATTTTTTTTTTTAATTTGTATTATTATTTAAAGTCTTCGTCCGAGTTTTTTACATCTGCATAATAAAAACGACAACAAGACAGTACAAAATACTTCTGTAGATATAAAATAGGTCGTTTAGTTTAATACGGCGTCGATAAAAAGTTTGCGATATTATTGTATGTGGCTGGACTATAAATTAATTATAATTTTATATTATAAAACACGACCAATCGAGTATAAAAAAACTGAAATTTTTTAAAACATTCCTAAAAAAATGTTCTTCCTTTACAAAAACTCATTTACAGAACGATGGATCATATTTACTGATGTTGTCGAAAATTCAGTGGCGTCATAACCATATATTTTCAAACCTCAAACAAATTATTTAAATGTGCCAAATTTTCGAAATGACTACCCTATTTCTATGTCCACCTTGCATTAGAGAAACAATAAAGTTTACTATGATAATGTTAATAAATTTCGAAATACTTTGTTCCGTGATAAATAATCGATAAAATCGCATTTGCAATGATAAATATCACCGATGGAAAAATATTTTCAAACCCGAAATATCGCCTGAAAAACAAACTAGAATACGTATTTTTTACGGGTCACATAGTAAAAAATACAAATATTGAAAAAGAACGACGAAAACGTATGCAGACAAATAACACACCGGAAGGAACCGTGCGGCTTTTAATATTGGTCGATGCGAAAACTAACAACCCTACCACAAAGATAAACGGCAGTATTTCACAACTTTTTAAAATACTACACAGACCACTTGGGAAACTTTCGGTTTAAGTCACCAACCACCTCTTTCGATTTTACAGTAGGCAATGATAAACTATTGCTAACGAAAAACAATTAGAGACAAAGTTGGGTTATACATGTTTAAAAAGTCATAATATTTACGAATTTCTTCAAAATTTGATATTAAAACACTTATAAAAATAAAAAATACTACATTACATTCTTTTTTTTTTTTTTTAGACCACTAAGTACGACTTGTATGCTAATTCTAAAAAAATTGAAAAGAAAAATCATGCAATTATTATAGATTTCACATATTCCACTAATCAAATTTCTTTAGAAACAACCAAGTATCTGGGCTCTAAATATTTATTAATTACTATAAGTTGATTTTTATTGTGATTTAAAAAGTGTAGTAAATTTAGTTTCTCCTTTCAAGCAGCACAACAAACCGTACTCAATTACTAAAATTCGAAAAAAAAAAAATGCCTCCAAATGAGTGGATAAATAAATGATTATGTAGTGACGTGCACAGGGGAAGATTAGATTATATCCTACTCCCCATTAGCTTAAAAATCGACAATTAATATGAGTGTTTATTTAGTAATTTCATCCTGAAATTATACAGTTTAACCAAGTTATATCGAGAAAAGCTTGATTTGTTGAATAAAACTAGCATTTTGCGATCACACTTTAAAATTCTTTTTGTCTGGTTAAAGCAGTAGTGCGCAACTTGGGGTCCACAAAATTTTAATACGGAGTAGTCAATAATTTAACACCTAATGAAAAAGTTAAATATTACGTACATTATGTTATACTAGGTTATCCTATAGATATATTTGATAAAATTGTTTAAATAATTAGACTTCAATTATTTAAACAATTTAACATGGTTAAAATACTAATATTTTAATTATTTTTGATAAAATCAATATTTTTTTTAAAAAAAAAATACTTCTCTAAAAAATGTATATCGACAATGACAATTTTGAAATGTTTTCATCCTTCTCACAACTTGTCACACTTGTGACAATGATATAGATATTAAACTCACAATAGAAATTATAACTGCTGATCTAATAAATTTACAATACACGGTTTGAAGATTTTCCTGGAAAAAATCTAAGGTGAATAAGAAATACATTTTTCTTTAATATTGATGAAATAAATTTCGAAAATTTAAAAATAAGTAAAAACTTATTTATTTATTATCAGATTTATACCTACGTATAAAATTTAAAGAAAATTCATGTGATGAATTTTGGATTTCAATCAAAACTAAATATCCAGAATTATCAAAATAACAGTATCGATTTTATTTCCTTTTGCTTCAACTTCTTTATATGAAACAGCATTTTTATTTTTAACGATAAAAAAAGAACAATTATCGATCTAGATTGATTGTTGAAGAAGATTTAAAAATATCCGTCCCAAATATAAAACCAAACTCACTCTCAATTATGTCTAAGATTAAAGCACAAGTCGCTTATTAATCATTTTCATTTTATAATTTTAAAATCATTAAAATGTTTGCAATATTATTAAATCAATTTCATTAATTTTTTTAAAATTTAGATTTTATTTTTATTGTATTTATTATATATTTTATATTTGTATTAAATATCCAATTGCCCAAAATTAACAATTTAATTTAAAATCATTATATAAATACTATAATAAACTTTAAAGTGTAGAAATACTCAGGTAAGTTTTATAAAAACGAATACTAGGTGATGGTTTCAGATGTTCCGCACCAATTTCCGGCTACGGTATTATACGATATTCAGCGGCTAGTACAACACTTTACGATGGGAGGGGATACAGAAAAAAACTTAACGAAATCAATAAGTTGGCGGTGCACGAGTTCCATGTATAGATATAATAATATATGTATAGCATAAAGAACGTGCGCATAAGGATAAAAAACTGGTTTCGCTTTCGGAGCACGCAAACAAGCACCAAGTCAAGTTGCCGATAGTTATTATAAGTGCTCGCATGTTTATACTGTAAACTAAATAAATTGGTAAAATATTTTAATATGTGGCGTGCGCAGGGAGAGGAAATTAGGAGTTATATTTTTTCCAACGTTAGTTGAAAAATACAACACATACGAGTATTTATTTAGTAATTTAATCCAAAAAACTCTAGTCAATTACAAGGAAAACATTGATTTCGTGATTGAAAATTGACTTTTTTTGATCCACGTGACTTTTGAATTACGATATTCAAGATTTTACGATTTATGCATAATCATTATTAGCTACATCCCCTATATAGATTGTTGATTTGTTAGTTATCACGATAAATGGATCACGATATGGATGCTATTAAAAATAGATGCATGGTGGCAGTATAGTAACTTACCGGTGGTAATTCAAAAGGAAGTTTAGTGGCTTGCAAAATATACAACAAAAACATCGATATCTACCATAACTCGCTCTGCTTTACGGATATTCTGACGAAAATTAAAGGAGAATACAATTAAAGATTACACACAAACGAAAGTACTTCGCTGCGAATAACGTTTATGTACCCTGATTTCATTATTAACGAACTTGCTAATGGAATTCGAATCCAAATTCGCAAAACATTTGTTCATGATGTTATAATTTTTTGACGCGATTCGCACATAGCGTCCTAGTTGTCTCTCTCTATTTCTCTCTTTCTCTATCTCTATAAACGGTTTAGCAGTATATGAAGGACCGGCTGATTACGGAACTATTGTAGACGACAAAAACAAAATCAGACCGAACAAAAAAAAATAATAATAGTGTTTAGCACCATGTATATACCTAAGTGAGCATAGACTCGTTGGACGAGACTTCGGTAACAGTGGCAGTGATGGCGACGATGAAGACGGTGATGGTATCGATGACGACAGCAGCAGCAACAGCAAAAGCAGCAGCAACAGCAAAAGCAGCAACACGACGACTACGGAGACGACCAACACGGAGACGACTAAAACACTTTATTTACACGTGAAATTTACACGACATCGCGCCGGCTTCTGCGGTGGCGGCGGCGGGAGAGACTATTGACGGCACACGCGGCGGCGGCGGTGACGACGGCGGTGAAGGGATAAAAAAACGGAACAACCGGGAACCGGGGGGCGAAAGAAAAAACGAAAAACCCAAACACTAAACTAAATAAAAATTAAACAAAAATACGGACGATTCTCGTATATTAGATTTTGTCGTGGTTTGTACGCGGTGTACACGCGGCGGACGTGTTATTTACGGCGCGCGCGTGCGTCTATAAAAATTCGACGTGTGTGTGTTTGTATATATAATATACATGAAAGAGGGTGAGCAAGAGAAAAAGGGAGATCGAGAGGGAGAAAGACGTGGCAAAGGAGTTAGGGCAGAAAGAAGGAGAAGGAGACGGTGAAGGAGATGAAACGAAAAGGGAGAGAAAGAGAGAGAGAGAGTGTGCGAGAGAGGGAGGAGTGTTCGTGATAGTGTGCGAGTATGAGTATGATAATATGCGAGTGCCGTGTGGGAGGGTAACCGGGCACAAGGCGCACGTACACGGGACGCCGCGGGATCCGGGTGTGCGTCGTCGGTTGGCCAACAGCTCGGACAGAGAGACTACCGCGGCGGCAGAAATCCGCCGAGAGAAACGCGGCGGTGGTGGCGGCGGTCGGCGCTGCGCCGCCGTACCAGAATCAATATTTCCCCTCTCGCGCGCGCGACACATCCCGTTTGTTCCTGTGACGTCATCTCCGGCAGTGCACATGGTATTTGACGGTAACCCGCCCCCCGCGCGCGGTATCGACCCCCGGTCCAACCGCTCCGCCGCCGATGCCGTCGGTCCCGTTGCTCCAGTCGCTCCCACCGTCGGCGGCGGGGGAGCGACTAAGCTATATACCCATCTCTCGCGCGCGGTCGCCACCACCGACGCGACGCCTGCACCGCGGAGTCGTGCGCGCCGCCGAGTGGAAAAGCGAAATATTAGTTTCGGACTAAGTTCTCGGACGCAGTAAATAATCACAATATTACTACGTCACCCGGCCGCGGCCGGCCGTAGGTTAACTACGTGGGCACCTACTGCATCATAATAACAATAATAATATGCATCGCGATTGTAATATATTTAATATTATAATACCCGTCCTGCAGCTGTTATATGACTACATACTCACTCCCACGAGTGAAATAATTACGAACACCGTAGTATATATGCTGGACAGCTTAAATAATTCATGTAGAGTGTTAGAAAAATAATAATTTATTTGAAATGTTAAATTGATGAACAACTAATTTAACAATAAATGTAGAAAATAATACCAGTGATATAGACAAATAAGTGGACGGGAAGGTTAAAAATCTAAATAACCGAATACTAAAATAAAAAAATATTATTTTATGTAAGACGGACATACTTCGCACGTGGGTGCAGCCACTGTTGTGGGTGAGAAGTTTGGAAGGTGGGATACAAAAGGGCAACGATAAACCGTTGCTAACGAAAAAACAATCCTGAACTTTGTCAACAATATATAATATGTCATATTATGGTAAAATAATTAAATACACATTATATATTTTATTTAACAATATTTGTTTAATATTTTACCGATTATCCCGTTTTTCCCAGTTTTCCCCTGTTTTCCCTGGTTTTTCACATTTGCTGAGAAAACTCTTGGGAAAATCCAAAACTGATTTCCATAAAGTACCTTTCCAGTCAGATCTCCTTTCAAAAAAGTGATATCATTGTAATTCGGAGAAAAATTGCTAGTAAAAAAATTATTCACAGAAAAAAATAAAGGCAATCATTTTTTGAGAAAATGTCTAGGAAAATCAAAAAATGACTTTCTTAAAGTACCACGCCGAGAAAATTTCTTTTCAAAAAAAGGTCTACATTTTATACATTAGAGTAAGCTTTCTGATAGAAAACGTGTTCACATAAACAAAAAATAATAATAATAAACATCTTTGTGAAACCATTACATTCTTAGCCACACTCAATATCTAAAAATATTATTCATTGATCTCCAAAAAAATTATGTTCCGATTGTTTTATTCTCAATTTACCACGTTTATTTTCTACGATTTGCTAACAATTTCCCAAGATAAAAATCGTATGATTATTCTTACTAGGATTTTATCGTTTAAATATTACAATAAAAACGTTTCTGAAATGTACTCTCCATTGCTAGATATGCCATACGGTGTGAATAATTTGCAATATTTTTAAAAACGAAAATTGTTTTCCATAAAATGAAAAGGATCTAGGAAGTGAAAGGCGAAGAATTTCTTTAAAAGGGTGTTTTTCGATTTTTCCAATTATTATAAAATCTCTTGGAAAATCAAAAAAATACTTCCTTGCTGCAACAACTAGATCCAAAATGCAACAAAAACGGTCTCTAGTCATATCTGGTAGAAAAAGTACTCATAGGCACAAAAAAAAAAAAAAAACAAATTTGAATTTAAAAAAACACATCATAGTGAAACCAATAGATTTCCCGCCCTACTCAAAATCTAAAAAAAAAAAAACGCTCATCATAGTGTTGCCAATAGATATTTTATTATATAATTTTCCATTTGATTAAAATATTTAATTGTATACATTTTTTTTTTTTTTTTTCAATTGTTAATATTCATTTAAGTTTGCGATTTTAAACGTTTTGCTACTGGGATTCAGTGCATAAGATTGCCGAAACGCCGAATGCGTTGAGTAATTTTTTTTATTTTTTTTATTTTTTTTATTTTTTTTATTTTTTTTGTGTGTGTGCCGCCGCGTGTAAATTAACCGTCCTAACACGACGTGAATCCATTATCGTTTTATTACGACAACAATGTATAGATAGTGTAACGACCGTGAATTACAATAATACCGAATAATCTATTTCCCAAACAATTGGCCGTTTGACCATCACTGCTGCAGCCATCGGCGGCGATCACCAGGTGCATCGAAAACAAGCGAAACCTAACCGAAAATTATTTAAAAACGTCACAACCTTTGCACTTACTGATTTACTGAATACTGATTACTTCGATATTGTCGGGAATCAATTTAATATGAATTTAAATAGGTATTGGAAAACCATCATAACGTTGTGCGATATTCAAGCTTCTCGATTTCCTAATCAACAACAGTGGCATACTACCAATCGTTTATATTAATTTCCTATGAGAAAATGTTCACTTATCGAAAATTTTAAACAACATCTGAAAACCTATTGAATTGTTAGGTACCCACGTGTAAAACAATAGACGGTTGCAAACGATAATATGACAACGTGGCAATACTCACGATACCTATTATTATATAACACCAACCAGGATAGATATAATTGCTTTGGATAGAAATCGGGTAATGTACTTAGAACGTAGATTAGAATCGCTAGCGTTCAATAACTATTTAGAATCGACCAGGGTCGTTAAGGACTACGACACCGATAAATAACAGATTAATGACTGCCTACTACCTACCTATAATCAATATAGTTTCCAAAAGGCTAACGCGGTAAATACGTACGGAAATCAGAAAATGAAAATCCCCTGAAAAAAAAATCAGCTACATTGAAATAAATTTTAGATTCCGAGCATAGCGAACGCGATCTATTGGTTTTACTAAGATTTGTGATTCTTTTTTTTTCCCCGTCTGTATTAAAGAAAATATATAAAGCCTATTTAATTATTTTACTACAAAATGGCACATATATTGTTGACAAAGCATCACTATCAGCCGAACTTACTTCGCTCAGAATCGTTTTTTCGCAAGCGATGGTTTATCGTTGCTTACAGATATACATTAAAATCTCGTCTATATCATAACTTTCCGACTTCCCACCTACACCGTTGGCTGCACCCATCCTCATTACCTTAGCTTTTTTTTTTATATCGATTTATATGTTTTAATAATATAATAATAATAATATTTATTTGACACCAATTACAAGATAAATAATGTAGAAATACAAAGAATAGTTGAGGCTTTGGTTCTCTTTTCAAAAGCAAGCTTGTGCTGAAAAGAGAGAGTTTGTGATACAAGTAGTCATAAGAATTGGAACAAAATTTATAAGAAAATGATAGAATATAATTTGTAATGGATAGTTGCATTTTAAAAAGCTAAAGCACAGAAAAGGCTAAGCCTAATCTTTGGCCTAACCTTTAACCTAATCTGTGCTTTAGACTTTGACCTAGAGCTGGTACATATAATAAGATTTAAACTGTACATAATAATAGAGCTAATATAGCTATTTGATATTTGATATAGCCATTTAGATATTAGTAAAGAAAGACTCTTAACATAACAGTTATTGAAAAAAAACATTAGTTGTATATTCTGTATACATTATGAAACTATTAAAATTATAATTAATAAAAAATTGAATAAACTTATATTTAAGACTTTGTTACCCAAATACAGTATTCATTTTAGGGACGATGATATTAGTATTGACCTTAAAGCGAGTGTTATTATATGCATATTAACATTTTATTAAATAACAGACAAGTATTCTTTGTGTATTATGATTTTACATTTAATATATCTAATTCTTTAAATAATTTAATTGCATGAAATAATGTGGGCTTATTGAAAATAAATTTGAGAAGTGAGTTTAAAGTGGTTTCAAGATTCCAACAGTGAGTATGATAATATATCATACCTCCCTCCCCCAAAAAAAAAAGAAACTCCATGAGAAAAAATAGATTGTATTAGTGCGATGTGCGTCAATTTTTTTTTAATTTGAAGTTAAGTACAGATTTAAGAGATTTGTATACATAGAAAAATTGTCTCAGTAAATTATTAATATAATTTACGCGTACATCCCATTTCAATTTCTTATCAGTAAATAAACGAAGGCAGCGGCGTATTCACGGGGGGGGGATAGATTTGAGGATCAATCCCCCTTCCTTGGTCTTTTTTTTCTATAATTAAAGAATTTACCTGTACATACCTAGACACTAATGCCGGGTTCACAAGGAGTCGTAAACTGGGCGAGAATACTACTCACTCTGCGCATGTCTCACGATTGCTTGATTTACACGACTGATTATATACGACCTCCAGTTCACACGGAGCTAATATAGTTTCCCGGTTGATCGTGGTTTTCTTGCATTTCACATTCGATTCTTTCGTTAGACACAAGTTTGAATCTTTGACCAGACTCCTTTTCGTTTGACAAATTTACTTCGATTTGGTCATCTAGCCCACAACTGCCTTTGTCTTCTAGTTGCTTTGATGTATCGTGAACTATAAAGATTAGATACGGTATCATTCATTTCTGGATTTCGTTTCAAAATTAAATGGACAATCGTAAACCACGGCACCTTAGGCTGATAAATATCAATTGCAGATGCTCCAGGTTTTTTAGAGTTATTTATTTTTTTTAATTCTTGACAACAAGCTGATCTAATATATTTAATCTTCTGGGGTACTTCACGAATTCCAAAACTATCGGTACCCATTTCATCGCATATTTTTTTTTTAAAAGTTCCATCTCCTGCGTTTCGGTCGCGGTACATTTCAGATATTATCTTCCACCGACATTCCGCATCGCGATACAATTCAACAAATTGAAATGATTTTGTACACGGACGTTACGCTGACGTAGGAAACGTTGTTATTATACAAAAACAAAATGCATCAATTTATTTAATCAATAAAACGTTTTTTATTATATCACACGTAGAAAAATCGAAGAAAAAAAAAAAAATACGCGTACGCGCGCAACGAACACCGCGTCCCGTAGGTGTTTCGTGACTGAACCGGTCGTGTTCGCCCCAACACGCCGGAGCAATCACCACCGATCTATTTTCGGTCGTCGACGGCTACCACTACTACGACCGGTAGTGCTCTCGCCCGGTTCGCCGATCCGCGTGAACCCGGCATAAATCGCGTTTAGCGTTTACGATCATTCTTCTGGTGTATTTTTCATTTTTTATTTTTTTTTTTATTTTTCGTAAAAATCGGTCGAAAGTCCGTTAACAGCCCGCCGAAACTCCGCTGCGTCGTAGCCGGTGCGGCGAGTTCGTGCGATTGCTGTCCGGTTCCTTATCTGTCGTGCGCCCGTATGCGGTCCGCGCTGGATGCACCGGCAGGCGTATTACTCCATTGGTCATTACTGTGCGCAGTTTTAAATCTGTAATACACAAAAACAAGATATTTTTAGACCAAAATATCAAAATCAATTTATTATATTATCATGGAATGGTCTACTATGTGGTAGCATATTCCGCGTAATCGGGCTATCAGCATTCGTATTTGTTTGGAAAAACAACGGTCGTGTTATTGGGGGCTAAACGCGAGCAGTGATTGCAATTGTTGTATAATGTGTAATTTGGATTTTCGGTGTTAAACATGTTAATTAATTAAATTTTAAATGAAACGAAATACACTCGACTCGTTCTTTAATACACAACTAAAGAAGACAAATATTCATGTGCAAAACGAAGATGTAAATAAAAGAAAGTCGATAATATTTAATTAATTATAAATATAAACTATTTCGTTTTTTAAAACTGTTAATTATTGTCTAATTGATTTTTGAACAATCAATTAGGGTACTAGTGGGAAAAATACTTTCGAACAAATCAGTGACTAGCCCACAACCACCACACTAGTAAGAACTAAAAATCAATTAAAATATTTAAGTCAAATCAAATTTGAATTCAAAATCTAAACCACATATTGTTAAGGTGTTATACTTATTCTACCTAGTGGAAGGCCTAGAGGGCACTTAATATGTGACTTAATATTTGTACAATTATACATATAGATTGTTGATGGTATAAATGTTTTATGAAGTACCTGTGTATATTATATTTTGTTTTTATTTATCTTAGATAGAAAATGCTCCTGGTGATAATATTAGTAATATTGATGAAAGTGGAAAGGAATTTGAGATTTGTGTTTATAACACTTCTTTATTTATTAAAACATCTAAGTCATTAAACAGATGGGGAAAAACTAAAGGTGACATTTAATATAGGTACCTAAGTAATTTAGACTTTGAGAGTTAAGAAATCATATATATTTATTATAAATATTATAATATAAATAATTAAGATGAAATCATTAACAGTTCCTAATGTATTGCTTTTTGAATAGGTTTTGAAACACATTTGGATTCCTCATAACAATTTTAGTTTTCCAGTAATAGAAAATTAAAATTTCAGTCGACATGGATGAATTTATTTCTTTGGTTAACATATTCAAAAATTAGACAAGATGGTTATTATAAATATTGTGTTGTATTTGCCAAACATAGAGAATTAGAAATCAACCACTTGGACAGCCCGTTGTTAATCCTTTTATAAATTAAAATGATGCTCTACAAGTAACTAGTTTTACTTATTAATATGAAAAATATAATTTTTATTTTATTTTAACTTCTATAATATGTAATAAATAGTTATATATATAATATGGAAGCATAAAAACCAGTAAAATAATAAGCTATATTAAATCATTAATGATTTCCCGGGTAATGCTAAAAAAAAAGTACCATATTGATGCTATGTTAGATGCAGAGAATTTTTTGGATGTCTTTGAAAAAAGAAAATTTCTAATAATACAACAAATTGATAATAATAAGTAAGTTAGCCATATTTGATATATTTTGTAAATTTCTGTACTTATGAATTATAATTTTCAAATTTCAATATTTAATAATTTATAGAGTTATTCAAATACAAGAAAATAGGAAACGTTTGGTACCAATTATTCAATGTATCTTACTATGTGGTCGAGAAGATATTTCTTTAAGATGACACCATAATCATGGCCGAATTGATATTAATGGTAATTGTATACATCTATACTTTGTATATTAATTTATAACAGATATAAAAAAACTCAATTTTATAAATTTAGATGATGAATGTAATGATGGAAACTTTAGGGCTATTTTAAAGTATAAAGCTAAAAGGGATGATTAAAAACAGTACTCGAAGAACCAGGTAAATAGAATAAGTACATTAACCCAAGAATACAAAATCAAATCATTGAAGATTGTAACAAAATCATTTTAAAAAAAATTGTTGACAAAATAAATATGTCTGAATGTTCTTCTCTAATAGCAGATGAAACAACAGACATTTCGACAACTGAGCAATTATCTATGTGTGAAATATGTCGATAGTAAAAATATACCAAATGAAAGTTCTCTGCAGCTTTTCTCTATATAGCTTAACAGAAAAAGACTTAGCAACATCCATATCTTAATATATTTTATAATTTATAATAAATTATTCAATTTTGATTTTAATTTAACCATTTTTTTTTAAGGTTTAAATAATTGTTGAATAAACTGTGTGTTTATGTATGGTCAAGAATATAACGGAGCCAACAATATGGCTGGTAAATTTAGAAGTGCACAGAAAATAATTAATGATCAGTTTCCGAAGGCATTATATGTCCATTGTTCTGCACACTCCCTAAATTTAGCTGTGTCCTCATTAAGCAACATTAGACTGATAAAAAATTGTCTTGGAATAATTGAAAAACTACAAGTCTTTTTTAATACACCTAAAAGAAACAATGTATTACAAAATGAAGTTGAAAAAACTGATCATTCACCCAATATTACTACACTTAAATACTTTATGCAAAGGTACGATGCATTGAATGATTTCTGTAAACTTTATCCTTATGTTATCAAATCTTTAGGTTATATCACTTCAGAATGGAAATATACATCTGCCACTGATGCTAATATGCTTCTGAAGAGTATTCAAGACTTTGAGTTTATTGTTTCACTATATGTTACCAAGGTAAAATATATTATTAAATTAAATATAAAATAAATAGCCATGTAGATATATAAATGTATTCATATGAACACATTTAATAGTAATTAGTAGTAGTTTTATCTTAGGTACTATTTTCATAGTGCTTGCCAGTTTGCAAACAGTTGCAAAAAGAAAAAATATTTAGAAAAAACAATAGATTTAATTGAAAACGTTATTAGCATAGTAACAGATATGCAGAAATTTTCTGAAAAAGAATTTAAATTAATTTTAAATGAAGCAAAGGTAACATAAAAATTTAATATTTATTTTATATTTTAATATAATTAATCACTTATAGAAATCAACAGATCTATTTGGGATTACTATCAATAGAAAACGTATAAGAACCAAACAAACGTAACAGAGCTAATCCTCAAAATATAAAATCAGATGAAGACTATTTTCGAGTGACAATATGTTTGCCTTATATAGATCATTCCATATCTCAACTTGAGGAAAGATTTACAAACCATACAAATATTTTAAAAATTAATACCAAAACATTGGTTGTAAATTATTGTAATATAGGTATATTTCTATTTAATTTACAAAAATCTTATTGAAATCCCTAGGTTTTGAATGCTTATTTCATTCAGAGTTTACTGATAAAGATAAAACAGAATTTCAAAAGTTGATCTACATTCTCCTATTATCAATTAGCACAATATTTTGGCTGAATTCAAAATATGGAAATTCAAATTAACTTTAAGCAGTGAAAATCTAACAAAAAATGAAATATATTATGCACATCAAAAAATAAATAGAAAAAAAGGAATAATAATACAACAAAATATTATGGATAAAATAAAAATATAATATGACAACTAATAACATGTTGTATTCTGTGGGATAATTCAGAAATTATAAATTAAAAAGAAAAAAATGATGTAACACTATAAATGTACAAATTTAAAAAGTATATTATCCGACAAATTTCCACAATAATGTCTTATGGATCTGAAAAGCTCAAAAGTTATATTATAATAGTTAATTATATTGTAAGCGGTGAAAAAGTGTATCAAATAATAAATATTAATTTATACACTTTTTAACTCAATAAATATAGAAAAACGTAAGAGTTCCAGGTTCAAAATTGAATAATTTGCACAAATATATTTTAAAAACTAAAACAATGAACTTACTTTGTTTTGTAGAACCTATATTATGTATTTTTTTAAAAAAAAATTCAAATATACCTATACTTTTCTTTTTAAATAAGATTACTGTATTACAATTAAATTTGTATTAATGTAGTTTTATATACTATATTTATATTTATCTAGGTATTTAATTAGGTTTGTGATGTGTAAAATGTATAATGAGAATTAAATTATTTCTAAAATCCCTACTTATATAATTATCAATAATTCTATAACATAAATCTTATTTGACATGATTTTAAAATTAACTTTTTAGGTAAGCTAAATTACGATTCAGACTACTGTGCGCTATAAGCGTTACCGATTTCATTATTTTGAATTTTTATACCCAATTTTTTTCTACCAGAAATATAGCTCTAATCGGAAATGACATGAGATCGATTTTGTTTCTTTTAATAAATGACCATTAATATAAAAATCGTTTTTTGATAACTTAAGTATTTTACAAAAATTAAATAATGTTTTTTTATAATTTTTATAATAATTTTACTATACAATTTTGATGAAAATTGTAAACATTACGATTTTTCGAAAAACATATAATTGAACTTGACTAAAAATAATTTTTCGTTAACAATGGTTTATCGTTGATTAGAGGTATTAATAAAAAACTATGTATCCCATTTTTCCAACTACCCACCTACAACAGTGGCCACACAGTATCAGCTATTTTTTTTCGAATGCCTATTGAGCAATAGGCTCAACGCCTATTTGACTGAAATAGGTTTTAAGTTTCTCCATTTTTTCCCCCCGCTTTATCTAAACCATCGTAGTTTTTCATAGACTACAATATAGGTTTATGGTCTAAACCTGCATTTAAGATCGCATTTACCTACTAGTAAAATATGTATTGTTTACGGTCTTAAAAAAAAAAAATTGGCCCAAAAAACAGCAGAAATTTACAAAAAAAAAACAAATATATATGTATATTTTATAATTACCACTGGGCATTGATGACTCCGGCAGTTGGGCAGTTTATTGTCCGTTCGAATAAATTACATACAATCTATGACGATAGTCAGTTCTTATATTTGATTTAATTTTTTCAATTTCAAATGATTATTCGTAATTATTATGTTCAGTAAAACTTATGAATCATGCTATTTTGTAATTCATACAAAAATACATTTTCCAATGCAAATTTGATAAGAACTTATTGGGTATTATTGCTTATCAAATTACAGTAATACTTTGCTGATTCCTACCTTAATCCTGTTTTACTTACATTAAATCGAAAGTTGTAATCATTTTCGTTCTAAAATAAATTGTAATTGTTTTACACGTATAAAATTATTTAAAAATACTGTTTCAGGAAAATCCTTCGACTTGTATGTGACCCATTTTAGCATGATGCCAGGCCTAAGTTCTTACATCAATTTATTATCAACTAGCGTGATCTGGTGGTCAAATATCGTATTTCTTAGGTAAATATATGAGAACTAGAGAGCACTACTACATTATTATGGATAACTTATTAAAAATTGAATAGTTCCAGTATCTTCCCCTATGTTTTTAAAAAAAGAGTCTCAAGTCTGTGATAATGTGACCCATATTCATAAACTTGGCTGTCGTTCAAACGTTTCAAATTATCGGCCAATAATCGTATGTAGTAGTTCAGTATTGATAGCACGTGACTAAGCCACAAAACCCCAGAAGTAGAAAATAGGGTTCGGGTTTCCATAGGATCTAGTACCATGAAAGAAAAAATTGAGCTGGCAATAAAATAATTAAAACGTAATAAATCCGCTGAAATCGATCTTCTGAATGGGGAACTCCTGATGACTTAAGTGGAAACTGGTTAAAAAGTATTGTCCAATATAATATATGAATTCTGAAGCCTATGAAACAGGTAAAGCCCCCGAAGAAAAAAGACTGAAAATACGAAGAATATAGAACAATAAGCTTAACATCGCATGTCTCGAATGTTTTACAAAAATAGTTCACAAAAGGATGAAAAATATAATTAATGGAAAATTTAACAGATGATCAATTTGGGTTTAGAAGCAAGACCTTACAGTAGAAAAAAATGTTCAGAATTAGTAAACCTATAGGTATGCATAACCATTGTGGACTTGAAAGGAGCTTTTGACAATGTGAGATGGGATTATTCACCACAAGAACATTAAGCATTAAGAACAGAAAAAACTTAGTAAAACAATGGTATGGAATGTAACCTTAATGGAGTGGAATCATAGGCAATTTTGAAAGCTGATAGAAGAAGAATAGAAGCATCCGAAACTTGGTGTTGGCGAAAATCTCCCGGACAGCATGAATGAAGATGTGTATCATAAAATATTTGAATAGTGGACAATATGGATAACAATAGAACAATTAGGGAGAGAAAAAAATAATGCATAGAACACCTAGGCACTAAGAAATAATACGGAATACATGGGTAACATCTTACCAATCGTTCGCTTACATTTTAACATATTGGATTAAAAATAATAGTAAAAAAAACTATTTTGTGACCATTTGATATTTATGTACAATTTTTGGTGGGCAATTGAATTAGTGAAATACAGTTGTAAAAATATATTTGGTATGTAATACACTAACAAAGATACCTGATAAATTAGACGGTACATTTATATCATAGAATAAATTAAAATCCAAATAAATACACACTACACTTTTAACTGGCAAAAAATAATAACGCAAAAATTAGGTGATTGATAGTACTATAGTAGACCGTAGTTTTGTTATCATAAACACAAAATAATATGTTATTCTCCATAGATATTTATGAATGGACAGGCCATCTATGCGTATCATACGGGAACGAACATGAAAATAAAAATTATAAAGGTTCTGAGACAAATAGATAACAATATTAGGAAATGATAATTTATTTTTAAATATACAAAAGTTTTATTAGGAATTCGTTTAGGAGTAAAAAATTCAAATAATAAAATTAATAATTATAGTATAATTTAATAATTTATATTCATAATAATTTTTTTTATTATTATAATATTTATAATTTCCAATATCTATGTCTTGCAATGATAATAATCACAGAATATATCCACCAGAGTGAGGGGCATTGATAAAAACCTTGAATCATATACTACAGTAGCATTAGTAAATTATCTAAGAACTAAACCAGTCTTTCTTCCGCATTTTAGCACATTTTCCGCTATTTTGTTGGTATAGCCATGGCCTCAATATCCATTGAGGAGCATTTAGATTTTAGACATGTTAACCAAACATTAGTTTATATGTCTACGGTTTAGATACAAGAATGCACCGATCGTAGTACCTTGCGCATTGCTCTATTGTGCGTGTGATGTAGATAACATATTAACATGTTTAATGTTGGTTACCAGCAGCAAATTAAAATGAAATACAAGTGGTGATTTTAGCCAATATTATTAAATTTTAAAATCGACACAACACGCTCAGAATTTTAATGATCAATCAATATATTTTTTTTTTTTACCATAAATAAATTAAGATCAATGCAATTCTTACATTTTTCAAGAATAATATTTTCTACATTATGTGCATTTTTTCGAAAAGGTTCTATTACAAATATCAAAGGAAAATTAATTTGAAAAAAGAATTAGATCGTGAATTTAACAGAATTATACGCCAATTAATAATACTGATCAGGGTTTAGTATAATATCTTCAGTGAATATCCACATTCGTGGTATTCGTAATATTTTGTTTTCATAATCTTGCTTCAAGTAGTAGGTACACAGATACCTGTGTTAAAATGGAACATGTCTAAATTCCGGTGTCATGCCTGTGTAGATAAAGTGTGTTCCACCAATCCCCTTGAGGCTTAAATTAAATATCATAAAGATAGCTTAAAACATGTTTTGGACAAGAGTTGGTAAGTTTTGAATACAACACCATATTTATTCAAAATTTTTGTTTGCCGATAACATGTTATCTGCGTTACACGCAAGATAGCTCAATGCGCATGCGCACTACGAGCGGCGCATTCCTGTATTTAAACGCTCCTCTCCATTCTTTAGTATCTGTTATTCTCACGATTATAGATAACAGTATCTATAATTGTGATTGTTTTTAATTTTTTTATCGTAATATCATTTTATTATTATATTAATACGTGTAAAAATTTAAAATGGTTTGATTAATTAAAATATTGGGCGAGTAGACCACAGTGTTGAGTGAACATGGAATTATGTCTTCTTAAAAAATGTTGTTTAATTAAAGGATAAATGCCAAAACCCCAAAAACGAGATTATTGCCACGTCGAGTTAAATATGCAACTTTTAGACTTTTATTAGCTGTTTGATCAAATCGAGTATACTCGTAGACCTTTATTCATTATGGATGATTCTAATGTTCCATCAGCTGTGCAAACTAACGATGAATCGGGTTGTAAAGAACAAGTCGACGGTGGTAACAGCGGACTCGACGACAAACCGGCTCAAATATTAAACGACAAACCGGCTCAAATATTAAACGACAAACCGGCTCAAATATTAAACGACAAACCGGCACAAATATTGAACGGCAACCGAGTGGCACCAAATGATTGGAAATTTTATCCTGGAAAAACGATGTATGTAATGCCACCGGGTCCAAAAAAATACCAGAATATAAAAAAGTCCCCAGACAAAGAACCCAAATTCGTACCCTATGAGCCTTACAAGGCGGCTGTACGTTCGATTGTACCGGAACTTGGTCAACCATCAGTGGCCGTATTCAAAAGAAGAATGTCGACCACTTCGAATTGCAGTAAAGTGTCCAACAAAACAACCGAAGCTGACAAAGAGGACGTGATAACGACTCTTACCCAAGAAAAACAGGTAAAACAATCTTACCTACACAATTTATACTAGGTATATTATTAAAATATATAAAAATAATTATATTTTTTTTAGAATCTTGAAGTTGAGATAGCCAAACTCAACCAACAGTTAAGCAATATGAACCTACAAATGGGGTCGCAGGCAGAAATTAATAATGAACTAAAAAATATGCTCATAGCGTCTATCGGAGAAGACGTCGAGGCCAAAATACAAATGTTAACTGAGGATAAAGTTTTACTAGCACACAAATTGCTTAATTTCACAGGTGCATTAGCTGGTCGACAAGATCAATTAGAAACTGTAGCTGGAGAACGAGATGTTTTGAGAAGTAAATTTTTGGCTGGCAGGTATGTAAATGATTATAATCATTAATTTTTATTCTTACTAACACTAAATACTAGCCAAAAAATATTTTTACAGTTTAATAATAGAAGATTTATCCAAGTGGAAAACATTCCTGTGTGACCGTGTAGATAATTTAGAAGGTTTGTTACAAACTGTATTGGATGAAAATCGAAAAAATAGACATTTATTGAAATCAGCACATGAGTATGTTAAATACAGTATAAAAAAAAAAAGTGTTTCTAATTATTTTGATTTAGGAATTTGAAGATATTACAAAATGAATATAAACTCGAAGTGCCATCCAAACAAAAACTTTTAGACAGTACAACAATAGCAGAAGATATCAACAAAATATCATTATCACTTAGAAAACATTTGTTAGGACCACAAAATCAACAAAACCAAAATATACACTTTGCTGTTCACCAGACACCAACTGAATCCCGAGCTCAACAAGTAATATTACATTTTTTATAGAAATTTGTCTTATTGCAATCGCTGTTGTCACTTAAGTCACATTTAAATTATAATTATTAAATATGTAAAATTATACTATGATACCTTCAATATGTTTTATAATGAAAAATTAAAAAAAAACAGTCACAATAACAATTTTAAGTGTGAATTATAAAACTATAATTATAATTATATACTTATAAGTAAATAAGGTAGTAGATAATATAAATGTTTTTGTATATAGGTAATTTTGATATTATTTTAACAAATTGTATGCATAACAATTAGATATATAATAAAATATTACTTCTTAAAATGTATTCCTAAGAAGGACTCAAATAGTTCTTGATAAATTTAATAAGTATAATACATAAAAATAAAGAGCTATAGAATAGGAGTTGGTAAAAATTCTGCTATTAATCTCAGCTTATAAATATTTTATGATCATTTATTTCTTGTTTTGTTTGATTTAGATACTGGGACAAACATTACCTAGAGAAAAAATGAATGATGTAGATGCAACATGTAATGCCATAATGGAAGCATCACAAGCGTTAGAGACTACTAATATTCAGTTGTGCTGTGGTCACTGCACGGGTACTGTAAAATATGTTTAAACTAATATGGTTTACCAATTATCAAAAATTAAAAAATAAATGTTAACAAATATTTTTATTAAAATGTTTATTATAAATTATATGGCAATAATTTTTTGTTTTATTGTTTATACATGTGTATGTTAAACGTGCGAATTAAATTAATTTTTATATTATAAATAGTTTTTTTTTTTTTTTAATTTACCCCATGTCAATAATAACAATAATATAAAAAAATATTAAACAAGTGCATTGAATTTTCTAAAAGCTAATAATAATATTATATCTTAAATTAATAATACTAAAAATCACTTTTAATAGAAAATGTATCTTAATTGGTAAAAAAAAATACCTGAAATTGGTTGAATTTTTAATGTTAGCTAAAATTACTCATTGCACACATAACTCAATATTATTTTTATTTATTTAATTTTAAGAGGATGTCACACCCACATCTACTTTTTCATTTTAACTAACAGGCAACATAGGAAAAAAACAATATAGAGCTTTTAGAAATGTTTATCTTTAAATTTTATTTGCTCTCAACCTAAACACCGTAATTTAAGTTCTTAGTAGTCATTTTGTTTTGTTACCTGTAAGTTAGATTAAGATACGGGTGTGATGTGCTCTTAAAAGAAATCAAATTGTGATTCATGACACTTTTTTTGTGTAACTATTATGAAAATTTTTCAAACCAATATAAATAATGATTATTTTTTTTCTCATTTAGCTAAACTCAACAGGAAAATCTCCAATTACATCACTTATTGAATATAACAACTTTATCCTTTAAAAAAAGGAATACAGATTGAACATCAATTCTATGTATTAACTCCATATTTATGTTTTTAATTTATATTCTGAACAAAGTGGGCTGGTGTAAAGCTTACAAAAATTTGTTTAATGTTACATATTTCATTTTTGGAACTTTTTGAGTTTTTGATACAAATTATTATATTAAACAATAATAGATTTTATTACAATGAATGTTACAAAATAAAATTTATAATAACCTATGAGAATGTTTCTTTTTGACATTAATACGTCTTATGTCTGGGAGTAAAAAAAATGTGTGTAACAAAAATAATACAACCCTAATAATGATAGTTGCTATACCAATATAACAAATTCTCGTTGTGATGGAATGTATACAGGAAATTAAGCAATGATAGTTTCCCTGGTATTATTATTTTGCATAGTAAAAACTTATTAGAGTAACATGTTCCCAAGCACACATTCAAACATTTACAAATACAAAATTATATTTTGTACTTTTGTATCATAAACCCTAACCTAACAATTACTTGATATTAATAAATAAACCACAAGATCAGAATGTCACATGGCCTGCCATAAGACAAGTTATTAATTAATGATCTTATGTGTTTCCAAAAGCGAGACATTTTTTTTTCAACTAAAGAAAAAAACTGCCTCTACTTTCAAAACGGCTATACTATATTTTGTTAGTTATTTTGTAAACTAATTATAGTATATAGTACGTAGGTCAATAAACTTTATAAATCCATAAAAAAACAGACACTTGATTGTTTTTGTAAAATTGTTTCAAATACTACCTTAAGTGCTCCATATTACCAGCTGAAATGGATTAAGGCCACAAACTTTTAATCAAACTAAATAATATACAGGCATATTTACCATCATAATAAATAACCTGGTTTAAAGGTTTTTGGTTTAGGATTATCATCATTACATGGCTGGTGAATCATCGTATTTAATTAACTATGCAATGTGTCTTACAATGATGTTGAAAAAAATAAAGCCATTTTAATTAATTAAAAAGAAAAATTAATAATTTCATGCAATTTTGAAATTCCATACATTCTAGTTTCCACAGTAGCATTTATGTAGTCCTAAGCAATTGCATATTTATATATTAATACGGGCACATTGATATGATTGATTATAAATATGATAAAAAAATCAAGAAAACTTAGTGAAAACTTATAGATTTCTGTAGATACTATAGTTGGAAATAATTAATACTTCAATATACTTTTATGTCAAACTTGAAATTTGGCCACATTTACTAGTCATTAACAACACAAACACCTAGAAATTAAAATGATTATATTTATTTACTAAATAATTTTCTTTAGTAAAACAAATAATTTATTATAGAATATTGATAATAGTTTGTAAAAATATCTATTTGTTCATGTAAAAAATTTCTAAAATATATACTTATAGTATAGACTACTGTAGGTATCTTTATTTAAAAAAATGTTAAAATGTAATAACTTTAATTTATTTTGTCCTAACAAAGCGTAGTTTTTATATTGAAAAATTATATTATTTTGTTTTGGCCATAAAAGGTTTTAAATAAATTCATGCTGAGAACCAATAATTGAAACTATACAACAATTAATTTATGTCCAACATAAGAAAATACCATCAATTTCAATTGAATAGAGGATATAGTCACCCAGGATATTAAAAAAAAAACTCTAATAGAGACTATAGAATCTTCCAACTGAAGAAAATATAATTATGCAAAAGTATATTTAATAAACATATGTTGTGAGGTAGACACTTATGATATAAATTTATTAACAAAAATGTTCAATTCATCATTTCCATTATGATTTACAAAAAAATCATTAAAATGAAGTATTTTAAAGTTTCATTTTGAATTTGATTAAATAAATTACACATATTAATATTTAATAATAATTTTAAAAGTTTGTTTATATATCTTTGTTAGTATACATTTAAATAGCAGTAGATTTTGAAGAAAAATAAGTATTAGTTTGATGGCACAGTACAGTCAGTATATATAACTACAAAATTGGAATCATAGTTGATTTTTATTTTGGTTAAAGATAAATTATTGAAGATTTGAATTTTAAAAGTACTGGTTAATTATCACATTTTGCATAGTTTATTTGTGCAGCAATCAACAAACAGACCAATCGTATTTCTATTTTTTTTTTTTTTTTTTTTTTTTTTTGATATTGACATATAGGTACACAAATCTTTAGAAAATAAAACGATATAATATTGAGACTATAATTAATATAATATTGTACATTTGTGTTGCTCTTTGTAATAAACTTCTGCAGTTATAATGACTGTTGTAAAAACAATGCACGTATATTTATTGTATAAAAATGGAACATAATTTAATATAATAAATAACACAGATTAGTAACACTTTACCACAACATAATAAAGAAATGAATAGTTATGAAATATGTTTGAATTTTTCATTTAGCTCAGTCACATTCTTTAAAACATTATTTCTTTTAAATGTTGATGAACCATAAACCTGAAAATTAAATGTATACAATATATATTTATTTGTATAGTGTGTGACTGTGAATACTAATAATGAATACAAAATGCACCTTGATTGATGGAAGTCGTTCATTTTCTGATTTATACTCATATTCATCAATGGCTAGTGATTGTAAATATATCCATATAAAATCAGAATGATGAATGTACAATTTTGTATAGAATTCTTTACATTTGTCCTATAAAAAAAAACACTTTATGTCATTAATTGAATTTATTATACAAACAATATACAAATAATACCTGTAACTCAATTGGCTGATTTTTATCTAAATAATTTGCTACTGTATTTAAGATATTAAACATATCTTTCTCTATAAAAGTCACATTAATGACAAAATCTCCTAAACCACTCAATATGGTATATTGCAATTTATATTTATGACTTGTAAAATAAACACTTCCTTTCAAAATATTTCTACTTTCTCTAGCACTAGAAGTCAATCGTTGTAATATGGTTGGTAAAACTTGCCTGTATTGTATTTATAAATCAAATATAATATTGAATTCATTATTTTTTATAAATATACCTACTTTAGTGAACGAGAACGAATAAAATTTTTTGCTGTCAATGCCATTGTGCACAATACATTAAATGCTTCACGGAATATTATATCTTCAATATTATTATTAAATTTAGTACACAGGGGTGACCATATTTTATGTACAATTGGTAACAATTGGTTTTCATAGTTTGACAGTACATGTAACCCTTCATTGAGAATCTATAAGATAGTATAAACCTTATCCATACAGATTGATAATTTACAGTATGTTATAACTAACTTGTAAAGGAAGAAAGTGATGTTTTGAAGGTAAGAAATGCAATACTCGTTCCATTATGGAGATGACCATTTGTATATATGGCGGTAATGACTTTTTATTTTCTTCATCAATGTCTTCAATGTTTTCACTAAAATGAAAACAATTTAAATTGATTATACAAGTATATTTAAGTGAATAATAAAATAATATTTGAAAAGTATTGACATATTTCAAATTTTTTTTTATTAATCTATTGGTTTTACTATGATGTATAATTTCTTTTTCTGTTTGTAAACAACTTTTCTACTAGAAATTTTTCTTCGATGTATAGTGTTAACCTTTTTTGAAAGATAATTTTGTCTAGATAGAGCATTACTGCATTAGATAGGTAATTTTTTGATTTTCCAATGGATTTTCAAAATAGAAAGGAAAATTATTGGTAAAAGGGCAAATATTTATGGCACACAAAATAATTTAATTAATGATTTAAAAGAAATGTTTAAAAATTTGTTAATTATGTGGTATTTTGTGGTAAAGAAAAAACATTGAATGTAATATAGAATTTTTTTTTAATAAGAATTTAAATATCAAATTGTGATGAAATTCATAATAATTACGGCATTTAAAAATATATCTTACTGAACTTCACTTTGAATTATTTTTCATTAACAATGGTTTATCTTTGCGTACAGATATAAATTAAATAACTTTATGTATCCTACCTTCTCAACTTTCCACCTATAATAGTGGCTGCACCCGTCCCGAATCTTTTTTTTAATTAGTTAAGAAACAAACAGCTCCAATATGCTATATTGCCATTATTGTTTATGTCTTTTATTTTGTGAGGTGAAATGATTTAACTACTTTTAATTTTAAAATGATAATGATGCTTCATTTTCCCCTACCCGAATTTAAAAGTTGAATATCTCGCAAATGTATTAACAAAAAAAAAATGTCAAAATCAATTTAAATTAATAATCCAACTATTTGCGGAATTTTTAATAAAAGTTGCCATTTAAAAATCTAAAGTATGTAGCCATTTCACAACAAAAAATATTAATATGATATTTTAAAGCAACTTTATACTTAAATTGTCAAAACAAAAAAAAGAAATTGTTGAAGTCAATAATTTTCAAAATTATCTAATGTAGTCACTTGGAAAATGGAAAACCCTGTATATATTAAAAGGCGATAGCAAAAAGTAAAAACTTAAAAGTACATTGGTATACTGCTATCATTTACACTTTCCCAAGTCTCATCTTTAAAATCTGTGGTCATGAATCTGTGATATTCCAAAATACTTTCCAATACACAGTTATTTGCAGGTTTTTCATTTTTAATACTTTCAGTTGTTGATAAACATATTTTATGTTGCCATTTTCTTACACACGTAACAAATACATGAAATACTTTCATGAACGAATGCAAATCATCCGTACGGTGGACATCACAACTTTGGACAAGAACCTATAAGTTATTAAATGTACAGTATATAAGTAATATAGTAAAACGGTTTAACTTACATCAGTAACTATAGTGTGGAAAGATTGTAATAAATCATCACTATTATTTACATTCATCATCACTTTTAAAGCATTCAACACTTCTGGATATTCACTTAATGACCAAAGTTTAGTTGTAAAGTGATGTGATAAATAATCAGAATTTTTTGTAACAAGATCAATTGGATTATTGTATCTACCAGTTTGAACGAGTAATGCTATAGCTCCTTGACCTAGAATATATACACTTTATATTAATGTTAAATTTAATTTGTATTATTTTCTAGTATTACCGGCTAATGATATGGGACCAATTTCAGAACCAACGCGCTCCAATATTGGATATAAACACTGCATTAAACATAAATCTTGTTTAGTTACATGGAGTGACGAGACCAATTGGGCAAGTCCTTCTGTCATAAGACAAATTTGTAATACATTTTTTTGTGCTTCAGCTATACTTATATTAGAACTTTTACACACGTTGGTAGGTAAGTACCAAATATTATGTTCCAAGTACAAATCTATCACATCTTTAACTACACTATAATGGCATTCTCCATCATCTAAAACAAAAATAAATTGTAACCATAATAATTAGGTGTAGGGTAGAGTCGCCACCTATGGCCACCTTAAAAACTTTTTTCTATTAATATTTAATTTATTTTATCTATGATTGCTAAAATATTAAAAATTAAACAATAAATACACTATAAGTTTATCAACCCATAGTTTTAATTTCAGTCTTAAGAACATTATGGAGTGAATTATTTAAAAAAATATTTTATATTTTAAATTTACATTTCCCTATTTTATGACCACCCTATATTATCTATATTTTTGTAATAATTGATACAGTAAATAAATTAATGTAGATAAATAACAAATTACAATATTAAACTATTATGAATAAAATACAAATGAGTGTCCATAGGTCATAATAGTAGGGATACTGGCTATAGATGACTCTACTCTATTTAAAAATGGTTATATTATACAAGAAGTGTTTTACTTTCTGACAGCATTATATTCAATAAAAGTGTGATTTCTCTTCGATACATTATTTTTGAATCAAATAAATCCATTAAATAACGACCAATGGCATCGGAACCTCCATACAGTCCAATTAATTTGCAAATATTTTCAATTTTGATTAATGCTGAATTATCATTAAAATGTAATAATTGTTTCCAAGGTACATTTAATGACATTTCCATAGTAAATTGTGGTATAGAATTTATATCTAATAGAAAAATAACACATCAAGTTAATGTATAAATAAATAAATATTCTAATATGATAAAATAAAATAAATAAGCTTCATAAACGTAAATTTCTATTTTTTATTAAGGTACTTTTTCTAATAATATTTTTAATAAATATTAAAACAGTTCTCGAACAATGAAGGTGCAAACACTTAACACGAGAGGCAAGAAATAAATATTGTTTTATTGTATAGAACAAATATTGTATTTTGGAATTAAGGCCCACATAAAAGATGAGAATCCTGAAATAATCAAAAAATATTCACACCATATCAATGCATGTAGCAATGATTTCAGCAGTAACCATAATTCAAACATTGGTTCAAATCCAATGTGTACAATGAAATACGTGTATCAATTACAACATTGCTTCCTGACTTTGGTGAAAAAATATGAAAATAATGTTAATTTTCAACCTATTTATTTTTTATCATTCAATCGTAAGAGATGCGAGAACATTATTCTCAATAAAACTGTGAATATATAATATATATAATAAACTGTAAGATAAAAGAAAATCTTAAGAAATATATATGAACTGATGTAAAACAATTACTTAGGTATAAATGAAAAAAAAATATTATTGAGAGCTGTATATTAATAAATAATTAATACAGTTTATATGGGAAACCCAATATACTCACATATATAATATGTTAATGGTTGGAACATGTATGGAGATATGGTGGGAATGTATTAAAGAATGTTCTGACAGAAAAAATAAACAAGAAATGATTACTCTATAGATTAAGAATCACATGAAAAGGCACTGTAGAAAAGAATATGAAACTGATACATGAAAGTGTAATAATAAACTGAACTAAGGATAAAGAAAGATGGAGAGGTTTTCTAGTGGCAGCACCATTCCTTAATGGATTATTAAGCTGTTAAAAAGAAAAAGCAAAACATTAATTTATTTATTAAGTTGAAAATAATTTGAAATAAATAATAAAAGGGATATATTGATTATAAAATATATATAAACAATCAAATTTATATAAAATATCATTAACATTAGAAAATCCTTAATAAATAAATATATTTAATTATTGATTACTAATAATAAAAAATGTCATTAGGATATCATACATAATAATGTGGATATTTGTGTTCTATTAATTTATTCAAAAACTACAATATGTACATTAGTTTGTTTAAACTACATTAAAAATTGTTAATATTTTTTCTTCTACAAAAATGTAAAATTAAAAACTAATTACATTATTACCTCTAATTGACGATTCTTCTAATAAGGTAATGGTTTTATACTCTAGTTCTAATATTTGAATTAGAACTGTTATTAAACGATCTAAATGAGCACTAGAGTGGATTATTCTTACAAAATGATCCTTTCCAAACAGTTTTATATATCCAGATAATAAGGATAATTCAACTTTTTGCTGAATATAGCCTATATATTAACAATAATAATAATTGGTTAATAAATGAACACTTTGATATTATATCTAGCATCTTACTTGATGTTCTAATGAATCGTGGAATTCTAGATAGTAAAGTGTAAAAACTCTCTTTTAATAATTCTATTAGAGATTTTTTATTTTGACCATCAAATATTTTATGCAATTTATTTACTGATTCATTAGCTATTTTGTTTACTTCAAATTGTTCATCGTCAGACAAAATTACTATTGTCTCAATTACATTTATAATTGAAGATTTCATTGATCTAAAAGAGCAAATAAAACAATGATAAATTATTAAAATTAAATAATAATAATGATATTTTCGGAACAAATTCGTTTTTTACTAATCACAAACATTTTTTTTTAGTGTTGCAAAATTGAAATTTTGCTTGAGGCACTGATGTATTAATTTGTAATACCTATCTTATGAGTTTAGGCTTAATGGCCTATAACAGTGGTTTTTAACTTTTTTTTGGGTTTATGGGTTTTCTGATTTTGTAAACCAAATTAAAGGTTCCTTTTTGAATAATTATAATAATAAAAATTTAAATTAATTAATTTACTGTAATACTCTACTATGTTTACCTACTATAGACACAATTGTTTAACAATAAACAACTAACCTATAGGTAACTTGTTTTAAAACTAGGAATACAAACTCCAGATATAAGTATAACAATACATCATTTATTTTTGAAATTTAAAATTGTGATATTATTTATATTCTGAAATCCTATAAGAAATAGGTTGGTTAGTTCCAACCTTTTACAGCAGATCTAAGAAAACCTTTTATGATCCATACCATTCACAATCTTATAGTTTTAATAAACCTAAAATTTGTATGCTTCAGGTTTGCAATTGCCTGGACTTTGATTTGAATTTTGATAAAGAATCTAAACTTCGGCATTTATACTTAAATTTTGATTAAGACGAGTAAGAGAAATGGAAAAAATTATAATGTATGCGTTCGTTCACATTAAAATTCTATCACAATGTAATATTTTATTTTGTTATGTTGTATTTATTATTTTTCTCATACTACAAATCGGTCATATATTAATAATAGTAACTTTTACACTATATTGCTCTGTGGGATTTTTTTTTTTAATTCACACAGAGTGATTCAAAATTTATGTTACAGGCATTTTATTATACCTATATATTTTAATAAACTTTATTAATTGAATAACTTTAATTTATTCAAAACTATATGATTTAAAGTTAATACTAATATAGCTATAACTGTATATATATATGTATATGATACTATGTATAGTTATTATATTATACCCCTTATATTTAGGGGTATTATATTATGTTATCAAAACAATATGAAAAACAATACAATAATTATAATTTCTTACCTAATACATTTATTTAGTAAAACATCACAAGAACTGACCAACTGGAGTCTAACCCTCCAGTGTTTGTGTTCTCTTGTTTTAATCATATATGAAGTGACTATATTAAATTTATCACTGTTTTCTTGAATCCAATCATTCAATTGTTTTTTGGTATTATTTTCATTCTTAAGAATTGATTCACCTAAATATGGATTACATTCTTCTATAACATTATCATCACAGACTAACAGTGAGAAAATGGTACTCCACAAACTCAGAGCAGCCTTAAAAAAATATTTTTCAAAATTTTGAAAATCTAAAATAGAAAATTTATCTTTTTAACATTCTTACCACTGTTATAGAATGGTGTTGGATGTCCGTAGCATCAACTACAAAGGTACAAATAGATAAAATACCAGGTACAAATTTAGTTAAACTTTTGGTAATTTGAATGCGAATATTAAAATCAACATTTTTATTCCAAATTGATGATACAATTTCAATACATTTTATAGCTTCTACCCTGTAATATCAAACAAAAAATGTATAAATACAATACTTAAAATAATACAGATACAATAAATTATTTAAAACAGCCAGAAGAGATTACAAAATCAAATTGTATTTTTATACCAAAATCTTAAAATCTTTGTTTTTATAAATATTATATTATTTAAAAAAAAAAAAATAGTAACTTTAAGTTCATTAATGTATTATTATGAAATATAAGAAGATCAAGTGGATTGTGAAAACATCAAAAACATCTTAAAAATAATTTGTAAGTTTTTAAAAAAATTATTGTCCTACTCATTTTTAGTAATACTGTATTCGAGCTCGTTGCAAACAAATTTTTAAACATAAATATAGACTCATCTAATTTAAAAATAACTAAAAATTGACCAAGCTTAAAGTCATCATCCTCATTATAATTCATAGGTAGTCGAAAACTAAAATAATTATTGAAATTTAAAACTTAATGAAACAAACCTCAGGATATTCATTTTTTCTTCTCTTACAATCCTGGTACAAATATATACCAAGTATCCAACATTTGTAGGATCAGCATCACTGTACATTTCATTCAATACAATAATATCAGATTTTTTAATCAACAAGTTCATAGTGATTATAATTGACAGTTTGATGTCTTCGGATATACTCATGACTTTAAAATAAATATGTTATTTAAAAAACTACAGATATATAAATAACAAATATAAAAGGTGAAAGTTACCTTTACTGGGATTATTTTTATCAGATATTTTGTTCATTAACAATGTGTACAATCGCAAAAACGTCGCCCATATTTTGATTGATATTTTCTTCAATAGAGTTTGTAGTACATCCAAGACATTTAACGTACAGTTTGTTCTAAACAATAATTTTTTTTTTTAATTGTATAAAGAATAAATTAATACAATTCAAAATTAATGATTGTACTCACGACGTGCTGAGTTTAAAATGGATTTCTATTGGCATTAATACATATTGGTGAAGTTGTTCCACACCATACTTTGGAGCCACATTTAATGCATTCTTAAAAAGAGCAGTGTTTGCGTTGTTGGGATCTGTTATGAAAGCGTCACATACTGGTTTTAGGATTTTAAATGCCTCATGGAAGTCTTCTTTGTCCGAAGATAGCATTGCACTTATAGTAAAAGTAACGATTCCAGTGAAACACGTTAGATTATTAAGAGTAGGAAAATAATATTATTTTGTAATAGATATTTATACTCAAGTGTTAGTAAGACAATATTTTAACAATATACGTAATTTATTGTACAATCATTGATGTCGATAGTTTAAGTGTTAGATGGATCATTTTGAATTTCGTAAATTTACCACGATTAAGATATCTCATTGTTAGTAACCGCTGTTAACTTGTTCAACCTTAGATAATATAAGAATGGATATCACGAACCATTTATAGTAGGAAAATTTTTTTTGATGATCCCATATATATATAGAAATATTTAGATATATAAAAACAATTAGATAATCGACTGCTATAGTCATAGACTTATAAACATATATTGTTAGGTCTATGGCTACAGTCTATATGTATGAAATAATATTGCCAACAAAATAGCCGCCAATCGTTATCTAAAAGGTGAATATTTACAAAATAAACTGATATGATAAATGATAAAGGATACTATTTTGGAAAAGTGTACAATATATATAATATTTAATTAAATTATGGGGCATAGACCTTATTAGTAGGTTATATAGAATTATTAGATCTATATAATTATATAATAGGATATTATAACATCAGATACCCACATATAAAGGGTTTTTCAATAAGAGCGGGTCGATGTTGAAATGAAATAAAACAAGCTATGTGTGAGGTATTAGTGAAATTTTTTTTTTATTTTAAAGTTCTAAGTATGCCAATTATGTTTTGAATATAATATCGTTTAAATGTCCGCCACGGCTTCTCACAGTGGCACGAATCCGAGTGGTCCAATTTTCAATAACTCTGCCGCATAGATCCGGTTGAATTTGAGCGATGACCTGGGTTATGTTCACTTTAAGGTCATCTGTCGATTTCGGCTTATTGGCATAGACCTGCGACTTCAGGAAACCCCACAAGAANTCTTATACGAGTGTAAGCCCAAGTCCCGGCGCAAAATTCGCCAAGTTGAAGACTGTGAAAGACCGACTTCTTGTGCACGGCGAGGAATTGACTGCCTCGGGTTCTCCTGCACACTTTCACGTACCGCGGCGATATTCTGGACCGATCTGGCGTTTCTTTGACGTACGGGTGTTAACTGATCGTTTACCGAACCAGTTGTCTCAAATTTCGATACCAAACGTTAGATAGTCGACTTTGAAGGACCACTACGTCGGCCAAAAAATGTCAACAAAACGATAAGGCTATACAGCGCAGATAAGATCGGCCCGCTCTAATTGGAAAACCCAATATATACAACTAGATAATCCTCTTTGGTATTATTATTGTTGCCAACAAAATGGCCGTCATCCTTATCTAAGAAGTTAGTATCGTATATCACTTATCATATCAGTTTAATTTGTAAACATTCACCTCTTAGATAACGATTGGCGGCCATTTTGTTGGCGACATTATTTCATACGTATAGATTACAGCAGTTGGCTATCTAGTTGTTTTATATATCTGTGGATGATTCATACTTCACAATTGCTATCAATTGAAAATGTTCAAAATTAAAAGTCTAGTGATGTTGGGATAGCTTCAACGTATTTAGCTCGTATACTATTGATAAAAAAGTGGTTACTGTGGTGTACATTATGTTTCATTCACTAGAATAATACGGGGGTAATGTCACTTATTTACTTATCTAACGTGTACATAATATTAATCTAAAAAGTGTAAAAAGTGACAAAATCTGTTGGATGATATCTACCAAAAACATTTAAATGTGCGAACTTGTTAGTTATAGGTACGATTAGTAATCAAAATCATAAAATAATAGTGTATACTTAATTATCAAACTCAGTCATGTGTGCATGTTTGGCAAATCAGGAAATTCGTGCAGTTGTGATACACATTTTGGGCAATGTTCATTTTAATACTCCAACTTTTCCTACATTGACTAAGCATAGTACGAAAATGACTAAGTAAAGTGTATTTTATCCGGATGCATGTAAACATAGTGAATTAAATCAAATTATTCACAAAGTAATTATTCTAGTTAGATATTATTTTCATGTTATGTGCTATAACATTTCAAAACCATTTTTTTTTTATATTTTATTCACTTTCACACAATTTTTACCGTATTATGCCAATCCGACTAAAAATCAGTTAACCTTATAAAATACATATAATGGTAAGGAAAACAAAATAATTTCACCATGATCGGGTAGAATAGCTCGTAAAATATTGTACTTGTCTATACATCATTAGGGTGGTCTTAGACTATAGATGAAGACAATTTTTTTTCGATTTTTGATTAGGCTACCACTGAAATTTGTTCAAACCCACAAAAAAATGTATTTTATAAAGTTTCGTAATAATCAGTAAACCTGAGCGTGCCTCAAGAGGGTTGAAATTCAAATAAGGGTGATTTTTAGATTTTTGTAATTTTAGTCTAAAATTTTTAAGACAGACTAAAAAGTGTAAGAACAATATATTTTTTAAATTGTTTATCCTACAAAAAATGTTATTTGTACATTTTTCATTTAACAACTCATTCACCTACAAAATAACAAAAACTAATTTTTAGTATATTTTACATGGTAATAGTTTGTACAATATAATATACTTTGTACTAAGAAAATTTACAACATAACTGCATAAACAACTTTATAGTAGCTATTAAATAGTCCACTAATAACATGGTTAAAACGCATGCTTCATACAAATGGAAATCTGTGCAATATTAACTATACATGTTCTAACATGTCTGCCTAAACTAGCGCAGACATGATACCTACTCACATTTTTGCGACGTTGACTAGGTCCTGTGACAACACGTAGTCTTCAAATGTTAAACATGTCTTTACAGGTTTATTATTCACTCGGTTTTAGACGTATTATTTATTGTTTATATTAATTCGAACATTGTCGTCACAGCTCAGTTTATAATTGTCCACACACCATCGACGAACAGACTTTTTGATTTTAAAAATGGACAGTAAAATCAATATACGTAAACGTATTTATTTAATTGGTACTAGTTCTCATCAACTGGTTGGATGCAAGTTACCATCAAACAAACAAGTTTTATCGGTCCTATTTTTTAATATTCGAGAAGTCAAGTTAAGTTTACGTGAAAGTGCGCGGTTAGTGATTGACGAAACGTTAATATTTTGGCAAAAAGCCCGAATACCTACTAGGGGAGTTCGTAATTGTGTACCAATGTTGGAAGAGTTGTACAATACATGGCGAAGTTTGCAGAAAAATTCAAGTCGGAGAACAAATACTCAAATTAAAAATGAAAATGAGTTTGTACAATGTTTTGACGAACTATTCGACATTGCCCATGCAGATGCATTGGATAT